CATGTCATGATATCCCAATGGCGTGGATTGATGCTCATGTTGACTAGGGGGCACGGGTGGCCCAGTCGTCTAAGGCGCCGCGATTCGCTGTGCAGAGTTGCGTCCCTTGGGCACGCCAGAAACCTATGATTGTGGGTTCGAATCCCGGTTCGCCCCGATTATGTTTCTAGGTTTGTTAGCACCATACCCGTGCTCGTGGGTTTCACCGAAGTGGTAAACGTCTGAGACCTGCAACACTTCGGGCTTTCCTCCCACATTAAGCTGACACGCCGCGATATAACTGGAATACTGTTAAAAGTGGCGTTAAAGCCAACCCACCCACTCGCTCATGCTGACTACTAGATTTGATTGTTTGTTGTTTAACTCCGTACTCAGCAATATTCCAGCCACATGACGGCGGTGTGTAAATAATCGAGTCTGGACCAGACAATCCAGTGATTGATAGCATGAGCATCGATCCACGAAATTGGGATACGATGACATGCATCAACCAAGTCAGCGAGGCTGACCACCCGATCCCGTTAGTCGCCTCTTACGACAAGCATAGTCGCCTTTTACGGCAAGCATGGGTTGTTGAAGACCTATTCTACCTAGGATCTTCACGCGTCTGACTACTAGAGATTGTGCGTCTTTGTACTCCGGTAATTCGTGGATAATGAGTTGATAATGTTATCAACCAGGATGTTTATTTGGCCCCAACTAGAATGTGACCGCCGTGGTTTGAAGTTTAGAAAAAGATGACTACATGAGTTATGTACTGAAAAAGAATGTTGTACAAAATATAATTGTTCGGCTGCCATTTCTGTATTGTATGTTTCAAAGCAGTAACCGCAAAATTATCCTCTCTCAAACCAATACAGCTGCAAATATCTGGTCCCAACCTGTTCTCAGACACACGGTCACGCGACAGCACACTCGCACGTGCAGAACGTGATCATGAGTTTACAGTTATACACGGTCACGTGGCGGATAAAGTCGTTCGTGGAAACGAGATCATTTTAACAGTTTTTTTGGTCACGTGAAAGCTTTTTACACTGGCACGCGGAGGAGCCAATCTTATTTTGAGAGTTACACGCGGCCATGTGACGGAGAGGACTGCACGTGGAAAACGTGATCTTAATTTAACATTATAACGGTATATTGGGCATGCAACAGCACGTGGAAAACATGTTTTAAACATTATCGCAGTTACATCGTATCAGATCAACTGAATTAAATCGTACTTCCCCAATAAGCTGGCATGTAGCGATATAACTACATAATAGACTGTCCAAAGCAACGTCTAACGAATATGTATAAATTATACCTAACTATACAAAATATAGACTAGTCCTGCACCATGACTGTGGAATATATTTATTTTATGAAAAATTACTATCTAGAAACGCATACAAAAGCAAGTCTAGCCAGCTCTAGCTCGCTCTATTCCACATGAAATCAGCAGAGGGAATTATATTTTTAGAGTCACGAAGGATATTGTGTAATATAAGATTTCATAGACTAAATGTTAGTCTAAATATAGACAAACTGAGTGGAATATTTTGAATGGTACCTATATTTGAACAGAAATAGTGTACGACTATCTTATGCATAAAGTAGCAATTCTTTCTTACCCCTTTAGGCACTACGACTGTCGTAAGTCTGTGTTAAGTAAGTATAGGAGTTACGATCATCGAAATACATGTGTGTGTGTGTCTGTGTGTGGATTGGGTGGTCAGGGTTTGGTGACTTTGTTGATTGTGATTGAGAAAATCTTTATACATTATATGTGCGCTTCTCTTGCAGACGCTTGTAATATGTCTGCAAGAGAAGCGCACATATACTGTATAAAGATTTCTCAATCAGTGTTCTCAAGTGTCCAAATAATACGATTCATTATTTTTATTTATTTAACAAATACATATTAAAGTGCTGATCTCAAATAACAATACGTGATATTTATCAATTATCAATTAGTGTTAATTCACGAGGGCAATATGGTTTATGGGCCCAAGAAACGGAAACTTTCTTGAGTTCCATAAAACATGACCTTTCCCAAATTGTGGTCAACAAAATAAATTCACATAATATAAAATAAACAATATTTCAATTTGAGCTTTTAATAACCAACAAATTCAACAATAATTGATTCCCACGAGATGTCACAGGAAGCAAGGATGAAATGCTCATATATATGAATGTTAATTTGAAGCATTTAATAACTGTTTAACAGTTCATCGATCAATATCTGTGTCAGCCATTTCGGTTATGAGTGTCACGTGAGCCGTTGGTTGGGGTTCAGGTAAGGCCTGAAATAGATTCCTTGTTGAAGGTGGGGGCGGTCGGGTAGCTTGGTGGTTAAAGCGTTCGCTCGTCACGCAGAAGATCCGGGTTCGATGTCCGGCATGGGTACAATGTGTGAAGCCCATTTCTGGTGTCCCCCGCCGTGATATTGCTGGACTATTGCTAAAAGGGCGTAAAACCATACTCACTCACTCTTGACGGTGGGCAGGTTTTGTCACTCAGATTGCGCGACCTGATCTTTGTGCCGTCATCTGTCATACCTGTGTAAGTTTTTCGTCTGTTTCGCTTTTGTGAGCGACCAGTGTCATCAGGTGTCTCCTAGGAATTTGTCCTGAATCCAGCACAGGACCTGTAGTTGCCCTGACACAGTGATTAGTGTAGATCTTCGAGTGACCAGGTGGTTTACTCAGGGTTAAGGGCATAGTGCCCAGCTTGTTTTTTTCAAGTGTATATAGGGTCCAGATATTCGTGCTTGTCAAAACTCCTTTATCCACACTAGTTCTTTCGCCGTTTAACGGCTCTTCGGGTGTAAGAACGGCGAAAGATCTTGTATGGATAAAGGAGTTTTGACAAGCACGAATATCTGGACTCTGTTTTTTTCTATATTTAATACTTATACTAAAACAGCTAGGTCACTATCGAATACTGTCTTCTAAAGAAGGCCATGTGGCCGTTTCTCAACCAATGAGTTGTTTGTTTGTTGTTTAAAGCCGCACTCAGCAATATTCCAGCTATATGACGGCTCAACAAATGAAAATACAGTTTTATACACCAGAAGAAACAAACCACACGTTGTAATCATATTTACATTCACAAATGATATCTGTATTTTTAACCAATGAAAATACAGATATCATTTGTGAATGTTAATATGATTACAACGTCTGGTTTGTTTCTTCTTGTGTATAAAACTGCAAAATCCACGCGTCATTCAAGTCCATCGTGTTAACAGTGTCAAATCAACTTTCTATATCTTACTCTTTCCTACACAATGCAGATGAAATCGCATTGTTATTTATTGTTTCACTTTGAAAAAAAATTGGATATTAGTAAAGGGGAATGCCCGGGTAAATCTCCAATCCCTAAAAATAATGGAGCCAGGGCCATTACAGACAGACAGACAGACAGACAAGACAATTGTTTATTTGAGTCTCATCCCACTAATCCAGTATATACTTTGCAAACATATATAACACAACATAAAATTATTACTTAGGCCACTCGATAAGGATTTGTGAGAGAATAAAACGTTTAAAACCGCCTCCGTGGTTTAGTGGTAGACCGTCCGCCCGGAGAGCTGAAGGTCTGGGGTTCGATCCCCGGCCACGTCATACCAAAAGACGTTAAAATATGGTACTTGTTGTTACCCTGTCGGGCGCTCGGCATTAAGGGGCTAAAACAAGGACTGGTCAGCTCGGAGTCAGTATACTGTGTCTGAGTCGGGTATTCATGTTAAACTGCGGCATGGTATCTCAGTGAGCTAGCACTATAAATCGGCAACATTCCGGACTAGTACAAGCAGCCACACAAACACACACACGTACATGCACGTCGCTATATAAGTGCAATAATCTTGGACGTTACGTTAAACCCCATTTCACCTCACCTAAAACGTTTAAAATTATGTACAGCAAACATGTATAAAAATAGTAAAGAAATATCACACTTTGTTATAAATAACCGATTTACGTTCTTGTAAAATTGCATAGCAGGTTTTGGCACTCAGAATACACGTAAAATTATTGGGAAAAAACAAGACACTTTTTCAACTTCGCTAAGAGTATTAACACCAGTATACATATCACAGCATTGTGCTAAAAGAGGTTGAGGCTCATCATTATAAACAGTACGATTCAATGAAACATGTATTTCATCTTCAATAAAAGTTTAGCAACTAAAACAGAACCTTTCATTCACTGGTGTATAATTAAATCTTCCCGTCTCGATGTGTGATGCACGAGGAATGCCTTCTCTGCTGTTGTTGCACGTGCACCAATCTCCGTCGCGTGCATTCGTCACCACTCGCCCCTTTCCGTAACCTGCTATTCGGCTTATCCCGGAATAACACGAGTTGGTCACGAATGCGTCGCGTGCTGATATTTACAATGCATGGTACACGGCTCTTCATAATTTCGTGTGGTCCTAAACTTGTATTTTATCAATCGGTTGCACGATGTAAATACATGCTGACGGGGATTACAGGAAATATGGAGCCCAAAACAAGGATGTTTATATTTACCTGATTTTTTTCTCTCGTCAAAAGTTTATCTAACTGCTTTAATTATGAACATTGTTGCATGTAACCAGCTGTTACACAATGATTATATATCATATATATAATATAATGACGCCACAAATGTGTTTTAACTTTCTCTCATATTATTTCCATGTACTGTACACTCTCGTCTAGATGTGTCTCGTCTCGCAATAGTCCACTGAATCCGAAGAGAATCTGAGAGTAATTGTTGCTTCATCATTATAGGTATATTTTACCAAACAATATATTTGTTTCTGTTAACTGAATTTTGAATGACTTCAAGGACGTTTATACAACACAACTACTATAGTGACATCAATAATTTACACAAAATCTTGCGCAAAGCTTTTTTCAAGTAACATATGTACATGTTACTTGTTTTCAATTAATAGTTTTATAGGGAGTCACGAGGAGAGCTGCGAATGTCCACTGGCCAATGAAATGCAAGCCCTCAGTGTAAGGGAGATAACTCACATTGTGATTGCTATAAGGGGCACTGGAAGGTCGCTAATATAAACGAAAAAAATGGCCTCACTGCGAGCTTCCAAAACAGCAAGTTTCTTGCGAAGTTGGCGCAGGTGAGCACTCGAACACCACTACCACTGCACGTGACAATCATGACACATGACGCATGTTTTGTTGTTTTAATAAGAACTAATGCCATTGTGTAAACATAGCATCATCTTGTAGATGAACTGGATGATTATCATGAACTACGGTCCACATGAGGTGTCTCATACATACATAGACTTAGCAAACAGGCAGAAAAAAATGAACAATGAATGAATCCGATAAATATATTGCATTGGCTCAGCATCGTGAGGTAATCAGGGGAGGTAATCCAGGACTGACCATATAGCCCCTCAAAGAGGAGGGTTATGCTTGGTACAAGGACGGTTTCCCCAAATGAATCCATCCCACTTCATGTTGCAGTTGGAATTATTTTAAACATTACTGTATCTCTTAGTATGTTTCAGTGTCTGCATAAACATGGTAGATCTGCCTGCTTTCCAGGCAAACAAACCTGGTACTATCCTCAGCTAGGCTATGTGACTTTTCGAGTTTCAGACCCGTGAAGATCTGGGCTAGAATAGGTCTTCAGCAACCCATGCTTGCCGTAAAAAGGGACTATGCTTGTCATAAGAGGCGACTAACGGGATCGGGTGGTCAGGCTTGCTGACTTGGTTGATGCATGCCATTGTATCCCAATTGCATGGAACGAAGCTCATGATGCCAATCACTGGATTGTCTGGTCCAGACTCAATTATATAGCTGGAATATTGCTGAGTGCAGTGTTAAACAACAAACAAACAAATTTTGAGTTTCATTTGAGCATCCCCCTGGTAATGTGTATTTGGTGTGTGTACTCATTAAGTCATGTGAGTAGCATTCAATGTTAGACACAGTCACTACATTCTGTTTGTCCGAGACAAGCTTTAAGTCCACTGGGATTAGTTGTTGCCTGAATGCCAGTTACCCTGATACCTGTGAACATCCGGGGTAGAATAGATCTTCAGCAACACGTGCTTGTCATAAGAGGCGACTACGCTTGTTGTAAGAGGCAAGTAACAGGATCGGGTGGTCAGGCTAGCTGACTTCATGCATGCTTGTCATTGTATCCCAATTGCGTGGATCGATAATCATGACATCATTCACTGGATTGTCTGATCCAGACTTGAAGATCATCATATAGCTGGAATATTGCTTAGTATGGCATTAAACAACAAACAAACAAATAAGGAACAATTAAACTAATATTTTTCTGTATCAACAAGTCCAGATTAATGAACCATGTATTTCAGTTTGCCAAGAACTACTGAGTCAACTAGCCAAAGAGCATCTTCCCGAGGCAACCGAGAGTTAACTGGCTCATACACCTTACTAGCCCTGTTATTATGTGGCCTATTATTAGCTGACATTACCAGATCTAACAAAATTTGACTGGACACAGCCTTGGATCTGATGGCTAAAGTTGCAGACTGCATACTGTAAATCTTGAAATTAACACGAGCATGAATTAAATGCAAAAAATGCGAGTGGTCTTTGCTCGCATTATTAAACAATTATCAACAATAAGACATTTTGGATAGCAGAAATACCAACTCAGACATACGCTGAAAACAAACAACTATGTATTCCACATCACTGTTTATTGAGCAGCACTTGTAACAAGTATGTATACAATGCCATTCAAACACTAATTACGTCCTGTGAATTGTCACTGCTGGGGTCCAGACAGGAGTTCCACACACTTAGGTCATCACTGATCACACCTGCAAGTCCAGACAGATGCAACATGGTTTCTTTGTTCTTTGCGACTGCGTCAATGGCCGACATGAGCCAGCGCGCATGTATTGTTTTAGCGGGAGTACTCTAATCAGCGCTAATGAGCGGTGCTATTTGGTGTGTGATTGGATTAATGTTAGGTTGGATGAGGGTGAGGATTCTCCTGTAAACCTGACAGAGAACATTTTCTTTAGATATAAATCCACTGATGCTTGAGAGGAGGGGGGTGTCGCATTCATATTGAGACGCATTATTGGCTAGGGGCCAGCAGTCGCATTCTTTTGGAGACGCATTAATTTCACGATTTTACAGTTACTAGATGTTCCCAAGGTGGGTCAGGACTATAATTATGCACAGCGTTGGACTGACGACTGAATATATACAATGTCAGGCTATTGTCGATCTAATAAACAAAACCGCATAGGACCGATGGAGTTTTCCGACATGGGGTCAGTGATGCACGATATGTCACAGGGACATTGGCCTTGTGCCTAAGATTACAGAAGAGCCCTGTCCAATCTCATTAAAATCAGATCTTAGTTTTCCCTACTGCTAAACAAAGATCTGAGGACATCCCATTACGGGTCACGTCAGAACGACCTCTCGTGAACTTTGACCGATCAATGAAATGACTGACAAGAAATCGACATTAGCCAATCAGAAGGCAGCTTTCTCGAGCTTTACGACACTAGTTTCAAACTGGCCACTACGCTTCGAAACATATTTTGACGTGTTCTCAGTTAAAAAATTTAAAACTGATAAAAAGAACATTCTGGAATGGCTTACAGATGGCCTAGATTGTATGGATATAATCATAAAACCCGTAACTGTCGTTCAGAATACCCTCTGTTAAATATTTTGAGGTTGCATGATCAGAAAACACATTCCGTCTGTCACTTTCATGATCTGGTAAGCGCCGCTCTGATTGGTTGGATGAAAAGTCGTTCTGACGTGACCCGTAATCGGATGTCCTCAGATCTTTGTTTAGTGATAGCGAGAACTAAGATCTGATTTTAATGAGATTGAGCCCTGTCCAATTTGTATTTGCCTTTAAAGAATGTTTGCAATGACCTGGCATAATGTTTCCACCAGAAACCATTTCCTGATGTATTTCCAGATCAGACATCAGCACATCACTATGTCGCAGCTGGAACCGACCTGCATCACAAGGTTGGTATATCATGTGACTTCTGACTGATGGGTGGGCACGGGTGGCCCAGTCGTCTAAGGCGCTGTGATTCGCTGTACAAAGTTGCGTCCCTTGAGCACGCCAGAAACCTATGATTGTGGGTTCGAATCCCGGTTCACCCCGATTATGTTTCTAGGTTTGTCAGCACCATACCTGTGCTCGTGGGTTTCACCGAAGTGGTAAACGTCTAAGACCTGCACCACTTCGGGCTTTCCTCCCACATTAAGCTAACACGCCGTGATATAACTAGACTACTGTTAAAAGTGGCGTTAAACCCAACTCACTCACTCTGTCTGATGAGGTCATGGTTGTCTAAGTACAATGTCGGTCTGTAGAGTTGCATTCCTTGCCAATGCCATAAACCTATGATAGTAGGTTCAAATGAATTGCGTGTAGACTATTGTTCAAAGCAGCATGAAACCTGTCTCACTCACTCACTCATGTCTTACAGCTGCAGCTGCCGCCCCGATGGAGAAGCTGCTGATTGCCAACCGAGGGGAGATCGCCTGCCGCGTGATGAGGACAGCCCACAAACTGGGCATCAAGACGGTGGCCGTGTACAGCGAGGCCGATGCCGATTCTATGCATGTTGCCATGGTAACAGAATACAGTCGCTAAGCACAATTTGGTCATGAGTGATGTACAGCTGCATAATTCCTTTTTTATTTCTTGTTTACTCCTGTCAAAACGAGATTTTCATTGAATTGTAAAAATTGTTGGCATTTGTATAGATTTGAATTGCTCGTACATATGTAGGACATTTTTGAGCTGCAGAAATAGGTGCTGTACCGGTAACTTTGATATTTCAGTTGATATGATTTTGAATATGAGAATGAATATATTTTGAAGCCAGGGTGAGGCATATATTCATGTGTTGTGTGTTTGTGAGGATGTGTATGTGCCAGACCTTGATATGAAATAACCAATAGTACCTTAAGTCTACATGACCATTAAGGTATGCAACTTCACAATCCATTTGGGTTTTGGACAGTGACATCTATTTTTATCAATTCTGTGTGTTTAGGCAGATGAAGCCTACCTGATTGGACCCCCTGCAGCGGGGGAGAGCTACCTGTGTATGGACAAGGTGATGAATGTTGCCAAGGAGTCTGGTGCACAGGTGAGTCAGGTGTACATGTGAGTCAGGTGTACATGTGAGTCGGGTGTACAGGTGAGTCGGGTGTACATGTGAGTCAGGTGTACAGGTGAGTCAGGTGTTCATGTGAGTCGGGTGTACAGGTGAGTCAGGTGTACAGGTGAGTCAGGTGTACAGGTGAGTCAGGTGTACAGGTGAGTCAGGTGTACAGGTGAGTCGGGTGTACATGTGAGTCGGGTGTACAGGTGAGTCGGGTGTTCATGTGAGTCGGGTGTACAGGTGAGTCAGGTGTACAGGTGAGTCAGGTGTACAGGTGAGTCAGGTGTACATGTGAGTCAGGTGTACATGTGAGTCAGGTGTACATGTGAGTCAGGTGTACATGTGAGTCTGGTGTACAGGTGAGTCAGGTGTACAGGTGAGTCAGGTGTACATGTGAGTCGGGTGTACAGGTGAGTCGGGTGTACATGTGAGTCAGGTGTACAGGTGAGTCAGGTGTACATGTGAGTCTGGTGCACATGTGAGTCAGGTGTACATGTGAGTCGGGTGTACAGGTGAGTCGGGTGTACATGTGAGTCAGGTGTACAGGTGAGTCAGGTGTTCATGTGAGTCAGGTGTACAGGTGAGTCAGGTGTACATGTGAGTCTGGTGCACAGGTGAGTCAGGTGTACATGTGAGTCAGGTGTACAGGTGAGTCGGGTGTACATGTGAGTCGGGTGTACATGTGAGTCGGGTGTACATGTGAGTCAGGTGTACAGGTGAGTCAGGTGTTCATGTGAGTCAGGTGTACAGGTGAGTCAGGTGTACAGGTGAGTCGGGTGTACATGTGAGTCAGGTGTACAGGTGAGTCAGGTGTACATGTGAGTCAGGTGTACAGGTGAGTCAGGTGTACAGGTGAGTCAGGTGTACAGGTGAGTCAGGTGTACATGTGAGTCTGGTGCACAGGTGAGTCAGGTGTACAGGTGAGTCAGGTGTACATGTGAGTCGGGTGTACAGGTGAGTCGGGTGTACATGTGAGTCAGGTGTACAGGTGAGTCAGGTGTACAGGTGAGTCAGGTGTACAGGTGAGTCAGGTGTACATGTGAGTCAGGTGTACATGTGAGTCAGGTGTACAGGTGAGTCAGGTGTACATGTGAGTCAGGTGTACAGGTGAGTCAGGTGTACATGTGAGTCTGGTGCACAGGTGAGTCAGGTGCACATGTGAGTCTGGTGCACATGTGAGTCTGGTGCACATGTGAGTCAGGTGTACATGTGAGTCTGGTGCACAGGTGAGTCAGGTGTACATGTGAGTCTGGTGCACATGTGAGTCAGGTGTACATGTGAGTCGGGTGTACATGTGAGTCGGGTGTACAGGTGAGTCGGGTGTACATGTGAGTCAGGTGTACATGTGAGTCAGGTGTACATGTGAGTCAGGTGTACTTGTGGGTCAGGTGTACATGTGAGTCAGGTGTACATGTGAGTCAGGTGTACATGTGGGTCAGGTGTACATGTGAGTCAGGTGTACATGTGAGTCAGGTGTACATGTGGGTCAGGTGTACATGTGAGTCTGGTGCACAGGCGTACATGTGAGTCAGGTGTACAGGCAAGTTTGGTGCACATGTAAGTGATAGAAAATAGGGATATATTCAGTAACAGAAAGGTCTGCAGGAGAACCTGAAAAAGACACAATTTAAGTCCCATGACATATTGCAGCTCACAGGCAGAATGCTTAAGAAATTTTGTGTTTCATGCAATGACTGACTATGAAATAAAACATGGGTTAACTTATTTCAGAGATTATGATACCATATTCATGATGGATACAAATTCACTGTATTTTATAACTTTCTTACCATTGGCTTGTCTCCTCCAAACTTCCCTTATAACAATAAACAAAGAATTCTTGGAGAAGATACATATTTTGGAAAGGAAGGTGAAAGATTGTTCTATCAATAGGATGATGTTAACAAGCTTGTAACAACTTGGTCATCTTCCTGAGGCAAGGGAGTTAACTGACTTTAAAAGTCCAGTTTCCACCCTTGCCGAACTAGGCTGGAATTCCTGGGCTCGATCGTAGCGCCACCAGTGGCTATTACCAGTTATGTTCCTTCTAAGCCTCTCCTATGGATCAATCAGATTACACCTCTTGTATCACGTGCATTTGCTTCAAACAAAATGGCGTCGCCACGTCAGGACGATCTGCTCGATAATCAAGATCTATATTGTGATAAAGCGGGTCTTGCATCGCGAAATGCATCAAATCACGTGAGCACCTGGATAAAAACATGAAAAGATTTAGAAAATATCTGTTGACAACGAGTTAGCGGTGCACATGCTTTGCAAATCCTGCAATAGACCGAAATCTGCATGACAGTTTACGAACTGTATTTCGATTTCGTTGCGCGATTTTGATTGGACTATGCATAGACTCGTTAGTCCAGCCAAATTGTAACTCCATAATACCAGCCTAGTTCGGCAAGGGTGGAAACTGGACTTTTATAGTCAGTTAACTCTCTTGCCTCGGGAAGATGCAACTTGGTAGGAGTGGAAGTAAGGGCGAAACCTGTTTGTAGGTTTTCCTCCTGTCTCATATTGATTTACTTTGTAGGAGAATATTTTCATCACTGAAATATAACACTAAGCAAATAGAAATCACAGAGGAGTGGAATCAATGAGATTTGTGATGGGTATGGAACCCTATGTTCTCAAGAACTTTCATGTTCACAGTTTGATTTTGTTTGTTTGTTGTGTTGATCAGGCCATCCATCCTGGCTATGGTTTCTTGTCCGAGAACACCGAGTTTGCCGAGCTGTGTGCCAGAGAGGGCGTGACCTTTGTAGGCCCACCTGCCTCCGCCATCAGAGACATGGGAATCAAGAGGTGAGATGTGGTCCTGGGGAAGTGGGAATTTGAATCACTAGGTGGGAAATTGGAATCAAGAAATGGGAAATGGGAATCAAGAAATGGGATCAACAACTAGGAAATGGGAATCAAGAAATGGGATGAGGAAGTGGGAAATGGGAATCAAGAAATGGGATCAACAACTAGGAAATGGGAATCAAGAAATGGGATAGAGAAGTGGGAAATGGGAATCAAGAAATGGGATCAACAACTAGGAAATGGGAATCAAGAAATGGGATAGAGAAGTGGGAAATGTGAATCAAGAAATGGGATCAACAACTAGGAAATGGGAATCAAGAAATGGGATAGAGAAGTGGGAAATGTGAATCAAGAAATGGGATCAACAACTAGGAAATGGGAATCAAGAAATGGGATGAAGAAGTGGGAAATCAAATCAAATGGTAGGAAAATGGGAATGAAGAACTCAAATTGGGAATCAAAAGATGATCTGTGTGACTGAAGGAGAGGGAAATTGGAATCAAGAAGTGAAATATGAGAAACTAAAGGTGAGAAATGAGAATTGTGAGTTGAAATGGTATGCAAGAATCACAAGGGATTGATAAGGTGAGATATTAGAATCATGAGGTGAGATATTAGAATCATGAGGTGAGATATTAAAATGATGAGGTGAGATGAGAATCATGAGGTGAAGTATGGGAATCAAGGTGAGATATTAGAATCATGAGTTATATGAGCATTGTGAGGTGACATGAGAATCATGAGATAAGATATCGGAATCAAGGTGAGATATTAGAATCATGAGTTATATGAGCATTGTGAGGTGACATGAGAATCATGAGATAAGATATTGGAATCAAGGTGAGATACAAGGATATAATGGAGAGATGTAGGAATGACATGCACGTTTTAAGATGTAAAATCAGTTGGGATCAAGCCATAATTAAGTACAAAACAGAGTTTCTTTTAGAAGTTAGTTTTTACTTTCCAGTACTTCGAAGACTATCATGTCAGCTGCTGGTGTGCCAATTATCCAGGGTTACCATGGCGAGGACCAATCACTTGACAGGTTAAAGAAAGAGGCCAAGCAGATTGGCTACCCAGTCATGATCAAGGCAGTTAGAGGTGGAGGAGGCAAGGTAGGTGGACGCAAAACCAGTCATGTTCCTTCGAGATATATCACTATTTTTAAACTGATCCTATCTCACACTATGCATTTCTTCTTTCTTCTTCGATCCTCTGTGGAAACGTGCTTGAACCAAGTTTCCAGCTTCTTATGTGCGTGACCCATTTGTTTGGGAGGTGACAATGGTGATGCTGGGGTGTGTTGTAGATTGTTTTTTCGAAGCTGGAAACTCGGTTTAAGAACGTTTGCACATAGGATTGAAGAAATGCATAGTGTGAGAAAGGATAAGTATATGAATATACAATTTATTGGAAAGTTTCCAATATTGATATCCATTTCCATGAGGTATATGTTGTAGCCATTTCCTGCCTGAGGCCCAGCATTAAAAGCATATAACAAGGACTGGTCGGCTCGGAGTCAGTATAGTGTGGCTGAGTGGGGTATTCATGTTCAACTGCGGCATGGTTTCTCAGTGGGCTAGAACTATAAAACTGAGCTAGAACTCTGTATGGGAAAACCAGTGTATAAGTCATCCTCATTCGTTTTTGACAGAATTTATGTCGCATCTGAAATGTAGTTATGAACAGGATTGGCATACTCTTCTGGTAAAAGGTAGTAAATCTTTCTCGTATTCTCTATTCAAGGTATCGTTTGGTACAGAGTTGTATCTTAGCTGTATGACTGTCAGTAAATTGAGAGTGGCGCTAGCTCGGTTTAGATGTTTTTCGCATCAGCTGTGTGTTGAAACTGGGAGATATGCTGATATCCCACGTAACAGAAGACTATGTTGTGTTTGTAATGCTGGGTATGTGGAGGACGAGTTTCATTTTTTGTTAGTTTGCTCCGGTTATAACAAGATACGCATGGATCACTTACCACAGACATTTTATGAATATCCGACCATACAAAAATTTAATATCATTATGTCTACAACTGATTGTAAATAAATTGAACGTCTAGCTATCTATATCTATCAAGCGATGTCACTTCGTAGTACATTATTGTCACAACAATAACAGCTGTGTACATCACGTTCATTGTAATACAAATGTAACTATGGGCCGATGGCCTACACTTACGAAATAAACCGAATTGAATTGAACTATAAAACTGGCATAAGTCTGGACTAGTACAAGCACACATGCATGCATGCACGCATCTCTTTATAAATGCCACAATCTTGGAAGTCCTGTGTGTTATGCAACCTATACCGGCGACTAAATGGATGTGGTTGATTGCTTGTCATCATATCCCAACATGGTGGATCAATGCTCATGATGTCAATCCCTGGATTGTCTGGTCGAGACTCGATTATTTACACATACATGTAGCTGGAATATTGCTGAGTGCAGCATTCAATAACCAACAGACAAACAGTTAAACCATAGCATTCCAATGTGTCATGTCTCACAGCCGTGACAGTTCACGTAGGGAAAGAGTGCTACTGAAAATTAGAGATAACATTTATAGTTCACAATGTTGGTAAATAGGGCTCGGTCAGGTAACTAAGGTACCCGGGTCGGGTGGGTCCTGAGTAGGACACGGGTACCCACAGTACTACCCGGACTCGTGGTAAATCATGTGATATATTGTTTAATGACAAAAACTCTCTATAGCTCAGTGGTTACACTACAAGATGCTAGTGTTCACATTTCTTTCTCACGATGCACACATTCCTTTTGACTTGTATATATTGAGTAAAGATGAAGCTTCAGTCAACTTCAGTGTATGCATGATAAGATCGTTATCTAAATAGTATTGGACAGTGCTGCGGTAAAACAATTCCCAATCAGACATTTTGTTTCCAGCTCTTGCGATCTACAGTGGATCCCCAGGTAGGGTTGGGTAATAGGTTGGGTACCCGGGTAGTAAATTTGGACTCGTCCCAGCCCTATTGATAAACATAATTATTCTCTTTCTGATTAAATCCTCCTTGGGGCACTTATTGCATTTTCCTTGCTCAAGAAAATCTATATGACATAGTTGTAACCATTTTCCTTAATAAAAAATGTTACCACACAAAAAACTTCGTTTTTGTATTATATACGACCACCCTTACGGGGCCTCACCCCCAACGGCGCCTCACGCCAGGGGGAGCAACTCTCACCCAAATCACTTTCCATATGTCATCGGTTTTGGTGACCTTGATCCCATTTTCAAGGTCACAGCAGACAAATTTGCTTTTAGAGTTGGAAAACGGTGTTGCCGCGATATCTCAAGAACTAAAGACTGGATTGTCTTCATATTTGGAACTATGGTGTATATACAGACACCGCAGACACCAGTCGGTTTTGGTGACCTTGACCCCATTTTCAAGGTCACAGCAGGCAAATCTGCTTTTGGAGTTGGAAAACGGTGTTGCCGCGATATCTCAAGAACTAAACACTGGATTGTCTTCATATTTGGAACTATAGTGTATATACAGACTCCGCAAACACCAGTCGGTTTTGGTGACCTTGACCCCATTTTCAAGGTCACAGCAGGCAAATCTGCTTTTAGAGTTAGAAAACGGTGTTGCCGCGATATCTCAAAAACTAATCGCTGGATTGTCTTCATATTTGGAACTATAGTGTATATACAGACACCGCATACACCTGTCAGATTTGGTGACCTTGACCCCATTTTCAAGGTCACAGCAGGCAAATCTGTTTTTGGAGTTGGAAAACGGTGTTGCCACAATATCTCAAGAACTAATCGCTGGATTGTCTTCATATTTGGTACTATGGTGTATATGGCGGGGGATATTTCGTCACTCTGTGACAAATACTTGTTATACTACGACATTGGCTATTAGTATCGCGTTACAAATCGCATTCTACATTACGCCTTTGCTTCTAGTTTCACAATTTATGCACGTTTCTTTCCGATCTTTATATTGCACTGATACACGTTGATACCCTTCCCGCCCACCTCAGAAATTACGGTCTTGTTTACAAGACCTTCAAACTGTGTACGGGTTGTTCTAAGACAGGCACGAACGCTGCCTAATATGTCTGGCGGAGGACATTGCCTTTACCCCCCGGGGCCCCCAAAAAGAGACAAGTTGACTTGTTCCACTTTAAAGAGGTCTATTAAAGGCGGGGGTTGATATCAGATCTACTAAGACATCCCCCCCCTCCCCATCTAAAAAGGGTATAAAAAAAAAAAAAAAAAAAAAAAAAAGCTGCCGAGATTGTCTCCCCCGCTCCCTCTCCGGGGGCCGGGGGAGAAGGCTCGAGGGTCCCCGTAGTAAGCACTGCACCCTCTCCTGCACTGTCTTTGGCAGACTTTTCTGCGTTACTTAAGTCGCAGATGGCGTCGATGATGGAGGAGGTAAAGTCTCAGCTCCGAGAGGAGATGCGTTGTCGGCGCCGGACGCGGCTTCGAGACCTTGTGATATGCCCGGCGTCGGCCGAGGCAGGCAACTTGGTCTCGGGGACGATCTCAGACCGGGCTTCGGCAACGGCTCGAGGTCGCTCCCCAGCGGAGGGGTGGCGGGCGCCGGCCCGTGCACTACAGACGCACAATTTTTCCTAGCGGAGCCAGACGCCTCTTCCGAGGCCGAGGCTTTCACTAGTGGATTCGTAGCCCGGAGCCAGGGGGGTTCCCTTGGTCCCGGGGACGATCCGAGACCGAGCTTCGGCTCCGGCTCGAGGTCGCTCCCCAGCGTAGTGGTGGCGGGCACCGGCCCGTGCACTACCGACGCACAATTTTCCCTAGCGGAGCCAGACGCCTCTTCCGAGGCCGAGGCGTCCACTAGTGGATACCTAGCCCGGAGCCAGGTTGGTTCCCTTTGTCTCGGGGACGATCCGAGACCGAGCTTCGGCTCCGGCTCGAGGTCGCTCCCCAGCGTAGTGGTGGCGGGCACCGGCCCGTGCACTACCGACGCACAATTTTCCCTAGCGGAGCCAGACGCCTCTTCCGAGGCCGAGGCTTTCACTAGTGGATTCGTAGACCGGAGCCAGGGGGGTTCCCTTGGTCCCGGAGACGATCCGAGACCGAGCTTCGGCTCCGGCTCGAGGTCGCTCCCCAGCGTAGTGGTGGCGGGCACCGGCCCGTGCACTACCGACGCACAATTTTCCCTAGCGGAGCCAGACGCCTCTTCCGAGGGCAAGGCTTTCACTAGTGGATACCTAGCCCAGTGCCAGGTGGGTTCCCTTGAACCTCCGGCACCTCGGCACCGGGACTCGGCCTCGGGCCGGGTGCAGAGACACGTGCGGGACAGGATTGTCCATGTACTGCCTCAGGTGGCTGCGCCCATGCCAGAGTCGGAGACACCCAACTTGACTAAGGTCAAGCAGGGCCGGCGGTTGCCCCCCCTTTCCCGTGTGCGGTGCGGAGTTGAAGGCTGCTTACATATGCTTCGAGGAGCAATATCATAATGCATGCCAACAGCTCCGTGTGTCCGTACACTCCGCGTATCTGTCGGCTGTACAGAGGGAGTTAGCGGGAGAGGGGCCGGCCGACTCTTCGGAGTTGGCCGCGCAACTAACATTATCTTGCGCGGGACGCTATTCGTAGCTGTGCCTCGCAGATGATGTGCGCTGTTATGTGCATGCGCAGGCGGTGGATGTCGGTATCTAAATACTCGACTTACACACGCCAAGACCTACTTGCTTTGCCGTATAAGAGGGTGCCACCCTCTTCCCTGGGGCTCAGCAGGCGGTCCGAGAGGCTGCTCAATTGTATACTTCCATCAAAGACTCATAAGGCCTTGTTGGAGGTACCAAGCGTTAAAACCGCGTAAGCGGGCCTCTCCAATTGTCCCCTCCTACGCTAACGCACGGGTCAGACGTCCACACCTGCTTGGAAGCCGCCGCTTCCTTCAGGTATAAGGGCGCCGGGAGGAGCAAGAGAGGCACGGGCCGGGGCAAGGCAGCTGGTCGAGGCCAACAGCTTTTTCGTGGGGCTGGGAACGATGGGTTCCCATTAGCGCCCGAAGAGCCCCGGGTGAACCCACAGTCGCAAGTTATCGGGAAAACTCATCCGCTCCTCCACTTTTCCGGGATAAAGCACACTCCGGTGCCTGCTACCCGAGAGAAGGCGGAATGCCTCCGTGCCGAGGTCGACGCACTTCTTATGAAAGCTGCGATCGAACCGGGTCCCGAGGGACAGGAAAGCGAGGGCTTCTACTCGACTTGTTTCCTAGTCACCAAACAGTGATCTCAACTGTTGAGACAGGAGAATGGCTAACGTCAATAGACTTAAAATACGCCTATCTCCACATACCAATACACCCCGAGTTCAAGAAATACCTGAGGTTTTCTTTCGACGGGAGGTGTTATCAGTTCAGGGTTCTACCATTCGGGATCTCCACGGCCCCGAGGGTGTTCACCAAGCTGATGTTGATTCCCGCCCAAGTGGCCAGGTCAAAAGGTCGGTTCTGCCATCCGTACCTCGACGACTGGTTACTAAGAGCTCTATCGCAATCCCTGAGTCAGATAGCTACACAACAAGTGATAGATATTCTGATCACTCTAGGGTGGATGGTTAATCTCAAGAAGTCAGATCTGAGCCCCACTCAGAATCTAGTCTTCCTAGTGGCTAATTTCAACACGGTGAGAGGACGTGTATCTCTGTCACAAGATATCTAGTCCCTTAAGCGCAAGTCACACTGCTCGTACATGGCTCCAGTTACTGGACAACATGGCGGCGACAGTGGATTTGGTCTGGCGGGCGCGCTTGAGAATGAGTCCCATTCAACAAGCACTCCGTCGACTTTGGGCGAACTCGGAAGATCTCGAGACTGTGCTCGAGACTCCGTAGTGGCTCATTACACACCTCCAGTGGTGGACCGAGGTCGGGAATCACTCCCGTTCCGTCTCTCACAGTTCAAACCGACGCGTCACTCTCCGGCTGGGGAGGCGTTCTGAATGATCACACTGCCTCGGGACTATGGTCCCAGCAGGAGATCAAACTGCATACCAATGTGCTAGAACTGAGAGCGGTCAGGTTGGTGTTCCAATGCTTCCCGGATCTGCTTCGTGGCCAAGTGGTTCGTCTAGAGATGGACAACCAAACGGCGATGACTTACATCCGGAAGCAGGGGGGAACGGCGTCTCCGTCGCTTCGACGAAAGACGTGGCAGCTCCTACTATAGTGCGACTCTCACGATATCAGGGTGCTACCTGTTTATCTCCCGGGGGTGGACAACGTCCGTGCGGACGCTCTGTCTTGCCGGATCCTCGCTCCTCACGAGTGGAGGCTCGACCCGGGGATATTCGGGATTTTCTCCCTGTTATACAGGTCGTTACAGGTGGATCTGTTTGCGTCTGGGTTAAATAACCAGACACCAACGTTCTGCTCCCGAGTCCACGACCCGAGGTCGGTGGCACCAGACGCCTTTCAGCTAGATTGGACGGACAGTTCTGTGGGCATTCTCTCCAGTACCTCTGATTTCCAAGGTCCTGTCTCAGCTAGGCACTCAGCCTGCGCGACTAATTGTGCTCCTGGCACCTCTTTAGTCGGCGCAGAGTGGGTTTCCAGTAATACTCAGGTTTCTGGCTCAGCCTCCTGTTATATTACCTTTACGACCGGACCTCCTATCCCAGAACGGGGCCCTCCACCCGAATCTCAGGATTCAATGGGTGGCTTGGCCACTGTCAGGAATCGCCTCCAGAAGAGCGGTATTCCTGCACGAGTTGCAGACACAATACTGGCTTCGCGGAGGGATTCGACAAACGTTCAGTACGATAGATAGGCCTGCTATGCGCCCTGGTGTGTCGAAAGAGGGATTGCAGATCTTTTTTCTGCAGATCTCGTATCCGTGCTTGAGTTTCTCCAGTCGCGACTAGATGACGGCCTGGCCGCATCAACAGTCCGAGGGTACTCTACAGCTATAGCAGCTTTTCACGTCCCTGTCGACGGGGCACTTCTGGGTGCACACCCATTAGTGCAGCGCTTTTTAGCAGGTGTGGACAGGATCCGACCGCCAGTCCGGCGGATCAGTCCCCCTTGGGACTTGTCAATCATTCTAGATTGGCTGTCCGGTCCTTCCTTTCGGGATCTGTCGTCTCTCTCTCTTCAGCTGTTGAGCTGGGAGACGGCGTTCCTTGTGGTGGTAACGTCCGGCAGAAGGGTAGGCGACATTCGTGTTATGTCAGCCGATCCCAAAATAACTGTCTTCCATGGGGTCGATAAATATCACCGGGACAGTCAGTTTTCGTCTACCGGACTATTACCGTCCTAGGGTCGCACACGATTCCACGTGAACGGCTCCTATTGAGCTACCTGCTCTTTCACAGCCTTCCTCGTCGGGGACCACTGCAAGACATGCTCATGTCTTGGATGTCCGCACGACTCTCAAGGCCTATATCAGCAGAAATATGGGTGTCCGTAAGGATAACCAACTATTTTGCTGTTACTGCGGTAGGAAGGTTGGCTCACCTGCGAGTAAACAATCTATCTCGAGGTGGATAGTTTCAAACATTTGTACAGCGTATACGCTTACAGGCAGGGACCCCCCTACCAGGTTGAAGGCTCATTAGGTTAGAGCAGTAGCTGCGTCAAAAGCGTACGCCGCGGCTCTGCCCATTGAGCAGATCTGCTCCGCGGCTATTTGGAGCCAGCCGAGCACGATTCATCAAACCTTACCAACTCGACAAACACTCAAGCGAGCGTACTCGGTTTGGTCAGTCAGTTCTCCGAACTGGGCAAAGTTCTAATCTCTAGCTGATTGAGCATTCGAGATTTTAGACAGTCTTCCGGTTATACTGCTCAGTAATGGTCCGGATTTTATCTTCTGCGGTCGATAAATATCAGTCCTTACTACTCGATAATACTCGTATTTTGCGCACGCACTCCTTCGATCCTCGGGGACCCTCTGGCCTAGCTCAGCGCTGGTTATGGTCTCTCGTGATCTACGCCCTTATATCACTTGTTCAAAAAAGTGTGGGGGGGTGGGAGGTGTTTCGAGTTCTCAACTTATGACAAGCCGCAAAAACAGGCTTTATCATAATATATGGTCGACCACGCCCTGTCTCTAGCCCCCGCCTTTCGACGGTGGTGCCTCACGATAAGGTTGGTTCCATTTATTGAACTCAATATTTTATTCTGTTGAATAATCAAATACGATGTATTTATTTACGCCTGTTGCTGACGGATGCCACTTCCTAGATTATCTTTGGGAGTCTGTCTTGATGCAATAAGTGCCCCAAGGAGGATTTAATCAGAAAGAGAATTTTACAAACCTGTAGAGGTTATGAATTCTCTGATGAAATCCTCCTTGGGGCACGGCCACCCACCTCCCCACATTCCGTCAGCATTTGACATATGGAAAGTGATTTGGGTGAGAGTTGCTCCCCCTGGCGTGAGGCGCCGTTGGGGGTGAGGCCCCGTAAGGGTGGTCGTATATAATACAAAAACGAAGTTTTTTGTGTGGTAACATTTTTTATTAAGGAAAATGGTTACAACTATGTCATATAGATTTTCTTGAGCAAGGAAAATGCAATAAGTGCCCCAAGGAGGATTTCATCAGAGAATTCATAACCTCTACAGGTTTGTAAAAGTTTTCAGATTTGCAGGTGTTATTGACACCTGAAACACAGAATGTTGATATTTTAGTTCATACATATGTACAGAGGCTGGCTTGTTCACAGGGGATGCGGATCTGTATGTCGGAGGAGGAGTTTGAGACCCAGCTGGAGTCAGCCATGACGGAGGGTCGGAAGTCTTTTGGTGATGACGTGATGCTGATTGAGAAGTTTGTGGAAACACCAAGGTAGGACAGGAAACATTTCCCATGCCACATTGAGAACTCTTTGTCAGGAAATCAAGATGTCTGAAGGTTTCATTGCTCAGCGGGGAGCATCGGAAGTGGTCTGTAAACATTGTACACGTCTGAGGCATCAAACCTAGAACTTTGGATGAGCGCTTCACCTGCTTGGCTACCAACTGTTAGTGTAGGTTTACCGAAGATATAGAGGATGATTCAGAGTTGGCTCCTCTCTATATGCAGTTGTTAAATGTTTAAAGTTCGTTCATAAATATATCGAGATCTCGCGAGAGCGAGACTCCATTCAAAATGGCGGCACCCAGCGAGTGATTGCATTTGATGTCGCCAGGGTAACATATATCTTGTAAGTGATGTTCTTTGTGAATGTGATAGTATATGTGACGTTATGGAGGTAGGCTGCTGGGGAAAGGACAGTTAGACGTTGGGATGGTTGAGAGTACTGCTGTGTGCGCACCTACATGCATTATTATCAAATATATAACCAATAAATAACTTTGACTGATGATATCATCATTGTGTCATCTGGGCCATATTCTGATCTAACACAGTGAATGGTAGTGACGTGGTCAGTTTCTGTGTGTTCTTCTTTGTCAGGCACGTGGAGGTGCAGGTGTTTGGGGACTCCCACGGCAACTACGTGTACCTGTTTGAGCGGGACTGCAGCGTACAACGGCGCCACCAGAAGATCATTGAGGAAGCACCTGCAGTGAGTTTATATAACCAGTACTTCTAGGCCTCATAGTATGTATTCACAGGTGATGGAGGAATGAAGTGTATACATCCCCCTGAAGTATTGACGATGGACTTGTCATTAAGTTGATATATTTATGAAAAATGAAATATGAAAAATATTGCACTTGTTTTTCAACAGTGTGTCATGTTTTTGAACAATGTGTCAAGTTTTTCAAACAGTGTGTCATGTGTTCAACAATGTGTCATGTGTTTCAACAATGTGTCATGTGTTCCAACAATGTGTCATGTGTTCCAACAGTGTGTCATGTGTTTCAACAATGTGTCATGTGTTCCAACAGTGTGTCATGTGTTCCAACAGTGTGTCATGTGTTCAAACAATGTGTCATGTGTTCCAACAATGTGGTATGTTTTGCAGCCTGGAATCAGTGAAGAAGTGAGACAGGCTCTCGGTGAGGCCGCAGTGAAAGCAGCAGCCGCCGTCGACTACGTTGGAGCAGGTAGGTGGCGCTGTGTTCATAAAATCCACCATAAGACAGTGTGACAACCACATCCACTTACGATTAGGTTTCTAGAAATGTTAGTCTTTAAAAACAAATCTTTGTGAACGAAGGGGGAAGATGGGTTTTAAGCCAATTTTAGCAATATTACAACAATATCACAGCGGGGGACACCAGAAATGGGCCTTACACATTGTATCCATGTGAAGAATCGAACCCAAGTGAACGCTAAAATTACTAGGCTAACCTGCCGCCCCAAAAATGTGTAATATATTTTAGTGGAATGAATGTTTTGCTTTCTTCCCTGAATCCTGTCATGAAGATTTTCAAAAGACTTTTTTTCAAATTAGTGAAATTTTTGGTCATTGAATCCATAAAACAAAAATTACAACAAAAAAACATGCATGAGTGTGTGTTGTGCAGGGACAGTGGAGTTTATCATGGACAAGGACTTCAAGTTCTACTTCATGGAGATGAACACACGTCTGCAGGTGGAGCACCCCATCACGGAGATGATCACCAGCACCGACCTCGTGGAGTGGCAGCTCAGGGTGAGGGACTCGACCATTATTGACTTTACTTTGTCATTCTGCCATTCTTTGGATGAGAAGCAGTCACATGTCAATGGACAGAAACCCATATTGACTTAAAATCAGTTATAGATAATTTACGGTATTTACTAAAAATAGAATGGGACAATGTCTGATAGTATAATGACAGTAAATGAATATCTTGTCAGCGTTTCACCAATGGGTGACTGTACTGTCAATGAATATTTTTGTCACCAGTTTGCTGCTGATGTGTGACAATACTGTAAAGAATATTTTGTCAACAGGTCGCAAAAGTGTGACAGTACTGTCAAAGAATATCTTGTCACCAGGTCGCCAATGTGTGATGATACTGTCTGTCAATGAAAATCCCACTGCAGGTTGCCAATGTGTGACAGTACTGTCAATGAATATCTTGTCTACAGGTTGCCAATGTGTGACTGTTCTGTCAATGAATATCTTGTGACCAGGTCGTCAATGTGTGACTGTTCTGTCAATGAATGTCTTGTCAACAGGTCGCCAATGTGTGACTGTTCTGTCAATGAATATCTTGTCTACAGGTTGCCAATGTGTAACTGTTCTGTCAATGAATATCTTTTCACCAGGTCGCCAATGTGTGACTGTTCTGTCAATGAATATCTTGTCACCAGGTCGCCAATGTGTGACTGTTCTGTCAATGAATATCTTGTCACCAGGTCGCCAATGTGTGACTGTTCTGTCAATGAATATCTTGTCACCAGGTCGCCAATGTGTGACTGTTCTGTCAATGAATATCTTGTCACCAGGTCGCCAATGTGTGACTGTTCTGTCAATGAATATCTTGTCTACAGGTTGCCAATGTGTGACTGTTCTGTCAATGAATATCTTGTCACCAGGTCGCCAATGTGTGACTGTACTGTCAAAGAATATCTTGTCACCAGGTCGCCAATGTGTGACTGTTCTGTCAATGAATATCTTGTCACCAGGTCGCCAATGTGTGATGATACTGTCTGTCAATGAAAATCCCACTGCAGGTTGCCAATGTGTGACTGTTCTGTCAATGAATATCTTGTCTACAGGTCGCCAATGTGTGACAGTACTGTCAATGAATATCTTGTCTACAGGTCGCCAATGTGTGACTGTTCTGTCAATGAATATCTTGTCTACAGGTTGCCAATGTGTGACTGTTCTGTCAATGAATATCTTGTCTACAGGTTGCCAATGTGTGACTGTTCTGTCAATGAATATCTTGTCTACAGGTTGCCAATGTGTGACTGTTCTGTCAATGAATATCTTGTCTACAGGTTGCCAATGTGTGACTGTTCTGTCAATGAATATCTTGTCTACAGGTTGCCAATGTGTGACTGTTCTGTCAATGAATATTTTGTCAACAGGTCGCCAATGTGTGACTGTTCTGTCAATGAATATTTTGTCTACAGGTCGCCAATGTGTGACTTTTCTGTCAATGAATATCTTGTCTACAGGTTGCCAATGTGTGACTGTTCTGTCAATGAATATCTTGTCACCAGGTTGCCAATGTGTGACAGTACCCTCAATGAATATCTTGTCACCAGGTTGCCAATGTGTGACAGTACTGTCAATGAATATCTTGTCTACAGGTTGCCAATGTGTGACTGTTCTGTCAAATGAATATCTTGTCTACAGGTTGCCAATGTGTGACTGTTCTGTCAATGAATATTTTGTCACCAGGTTGCCAATGTGTGACAGTACCCTCAATGAATATCTTGTCACCAGGTTGCCATTGTGTGACAGTACTGTCAATGAATATTTTGTCTATTGGTCGCCAATGTGTGACAGTACCCTCAATGAATATCTTGTCACCAGGTCGCCAATGTGTGACAGTACTCTCAGTGAATATTTTGTCTACAGGTCGCCGGCGGAGAGAAGCTGCCTGTAGCACAAGAGCAACTCAAGTTTACTGGTCACGCCTTTGAGGCGAGGATCTACGCTGAAGACCCCAACAACAGCTTCATGCCTGGAGCCGGACCCCTTCTACACATTACCACCCCTGTGGAAGGGGATGGAGTCCGTATCGAGACTGGAGTCCGACAGGGTAACCTTGGTTACTGCTCATTGTTGTAGAGTCAGTCCAGCGACATATATCCGCGACCCAGGGCCCATTTCACAAAGCGATTGTAGTGCTACGACTCTCATAAGTTCTCCATTATTCCAGGCTAATTCAGCAAGGAGGAGACCTGTGAAGATCCGGGGTAGAACAGGTCTTCAGCAACCCATGTTTGCCGTAAAAGGCGACTATGCTTGTCGTAAAAGGCGACTAACGGGATCGGGTGGTCAGTCTCGCTGACTTGGTTGATGCATGTCATCGTATCCCAGTTGCATGGATCGATGCTCATGATGTCAATCTCTGAAATTGTCTGGTCCAGACTCAATTATTTACAGACTGCGGTCATATAGCTGGAATAGTGCTGAGTGCGGCGTAAAACAACAAACCAACAAACAATCAAAACAACAAGGGTGGAAACTGGACTTTTACAGTCCATTTACTCCCTTGCCTAGGGAAGATGGAAGTAAAAAGAAAACCAAATTTTTACATATGAATAAATCTCTGATAAGTGTAAAACTGTAAAAGCTGGGATAATCTCTTTAGATATGATGGGTTCTTTTAAAACTTGGAATAACAAAATGCAGCTTATGTTTATGAGTCTGGACAGTTGCACCAGAGCCGGTCACTTCATCTCACAGAATAAAACTGTCATTGTATAGTTCATCAATGTAACTGCATAGCCTAATCAAACTAGCAGTTCATCATGTGAGTTAGGGGTGTGTGTTTCTGCTGCAGGAGATGAAGTGTCGGTGCATTACGACCCTATGATTGCCAAGCTTGTTGTGTGGGCCGCAGACAGACAGTCAGCTCTCAGACGCACCAGGACAGCATTGCAAGACTACCACGTAAATATTATACAAAGAATTACTCTTGACGAATTCAATTTGCGAAAATTGTGATCAATTTGCGTATTCACCTCATCAAGAGCAATCATTCGTGTTGTTATACCGAAATTCACTTTAAAGTTTATGAAGTCTTAATAAAACATCCTGTTTCATTACAGTAACTTAGTTGCAAACCGAGAAATGTTTGTACCAGAAGCCATCTTGTTTTCTACGGACGAGTCAATACTGATCATGTGACGAGTCATTATTCGAGGTCAGTGTCAGTCACATGATTTCAGGGTCGACATTGAAATGTATTGTTTCGTCACATGGTATGGATTAACCAATGGAATTGCAACATTCTTAACAGAGGTTTAACAATGTCAATTATTGCCAACACATTAACACAGATGATGAGACGTGGCAACACACCCCTCCCTCCTTTCATGGTGTTTCAGATTGTGGGTGTCAACACTAACATCAAGTTCTTGTTGGATCTGGCGGCACACCCCGAGTTCCAGGCAGCCAACGTTCACACCGACTTCATTCCCCAACACAAGGACCAGCTCTTCCCACAGTCCATCCTCTCGGCACAAACACTGTGTCATGCTGCTGTTGCTATGGTTACACTACAGCAGAGTCGGACGGTTAGAAGAAGCCAAATTACACAAGGTGAGTTGTGTCACGTCTGCCTGGGACCGCCTCCATGGCCTAGTGGTAGAGTGTTTGCCTGAAGAGTAGAAGGTCCAGGGTTCAATCCCCGGCTGCGTCATACCAAAAGACATTAAAAGATTGTATTTGCTGTTACCCTGTCTGGCACTCGGCATTAAGGGGGGTAAAACAAGGACTGGTTGTTTGGGAGTCAGTATAATGTGTCTGAGTGGGGTATTCATGGTATCTCAGTGGGCTAGCACTATAGATCGGCATCAGTCCGGACTAGTACAAGCAGCCACACACACACGTGCTTGCACGTCGCTATATAAGTGCAATAATCTTGGATGCAACGTTAACCCCCATTTCACCTCACCAGGAAGGCAGAGTTTTAGTTGGAGCATCAAGCTGTGAAACTGAAGAGTTCGATATCATCCATGAATTCAGTTTATGACATGCTCCTTGGCGTATGTTGCCATGGCATTGCTAGGACGATATAACAAGTTGTATAACCCTCATCACAAAGAGAAGTTGTTGAGATTTTCTCTGCAACCTGTGATGCCACTGATATAAGGTTCGATCCCCAAAATACAGTTTATTTTGTTCTTGCCATGAAAGTTTGTTTGTTGTTTAATGCTGCACTCAGCAATATTCCATCTATATGACAGCAGTCTGTAAATAATCGAGTCTGGTCCAGTCAATCCAGTGATTGACATCATGAGCATCAATTCACACAATTGGGATACAATGACATGCATCAACCAAGTCAGCGAGCCTGACCACCCGATCGCGTTAGTCCCCTTTTACGACAAGCAAAGTCTTCTTTTACGGCAAGCATGGCTTGCTGAAGACTTATTCTACCCCGGATTTTCACGGGTCTGACATGAAAAAGATTGTTATCATATGTCTATACAGATTTCTTCTGCTGTTCTTCACAGATCCCTTCTCTCCTTTCTCGTGGTGCAGCGGAGCCCGTGTTAACCAGGCTGCGTCTAGGCAACTGTTGCTATGTGACGGAGACGAAGGTGAGGCTATGTTGATAGAGGGCTGTGTTCCTGGGTGGCTGTGTCCCAGTGGAGCTGTATTCCAGGGAGGCTGTGTCCCAGGGGGGCTGTGTTCCAGGAGGGCTGAGTTCCAGGGGGGCTGTGTCTCAGGGGGCTGTTTCCCAGTGGGCTGTGTTCCAGGGGGGCTGTGTCCCAGTGGGCTGTGTTCCAGGGGGGCTGTGTCCCAGTGGGCTGTGTTCCAGGGGGGCTGTTTCCCAGTGGGCTGTGTCCCAGGGGTCTGTGTTCCAGGGGGGGCTGTGTTCCAGGGGGGGCTGTGTTCCAGGGGGCTGTGTTCCAGGGGGGCTGTGTTCCAGGGGGGGGGGGGGGGCTGTGTTCCAGGGTGGCTGTGTCCCAGGGGGGGCTGTGTCCCAGAGTATCCCAGGTGTGGTATTTCAGAGATAATACTGCAGGTGTGGTATTTCAGAGATAATATTGGAGAGGTATTTCAGAGATTGTACTAGAAGTATTTCAGAAGTAACATTTAAGAAGTGGTGTTTCAGAGGTGGCAGTGGAAGTGGAGTCAGATGGAGGTATGTTCGTTGTGCGGATGGACGGCGTGGAGCGTGAGGTGGTGGCGGAGATGAAGGAGGATGGGGACAGACTCTCCCTCACCTGCACCATCGACGGAGTCAAGACATCATCCACAGTCATCATGCAGGGAAACTCTCTCCACATCTTCACCCTGGTGAGCTGGGACACCCACTGAAGCTTCCAGCTGCTTCCACCTCACATCATTATTAACAGTATTCAGCCCCGCTTTTTGTTTGGAAAAATAATTGATTTTGCAATTAAGATTTTTCCAGTACAGTTCTTCGTGAAGCTTTGAAGCTTTTTTCTTTTTTTGTTTTGTTTGCTATATGACGGCGGTCTGTAAATAATCGAGTCTGGACCAGACAATCAAGTGATTGATATCATGAGCATCGATCCATGCAATTGGAATATGATGACATGCATCAACCACGTCAGCAAACCTAGACACCCGATCCTGTTAGTCGTCTCTTACTACAAGCATAGTCCCCTTTTACAGCAAGAATGGGTTGCTGAAGACCTTTTCTACCTCGGATCTTCACGGGTCGCTATGAATCAAACCATGTAACTTTCTAGTGATCAAGATCCGGGTTAGAATTGGTCTTCAGCAACCAATGCTTGATTGGTGCTTCGATTCACTGAGTTGGTAGATACATGTCATCAGATCCCAGTTGCGTCGATCAGTGCTCATGATATCGGTCCCTGGATTGTTTGGCCCATCTCTAAGTTACAGACAGCCGTCATATAGCTGAATTATTGCTGGGTGGGGCATTATACAACAAACAAACAACAAATATTGAGGCCTCTTAATGCTGAGCCATCCTCTTTACTTGTTTCATGGCTTGTTGCTCATGATGTCAGTCACTGGACTGTGTAATCCAGACTCGATTATTTACAGGCTGTTGTCATATGGTTGTAATATTGCTGGGTGATGCGTTAAACAACAAACAAACAAACAAGTCGTAGGACTGTGACCGCAATAAGTCTATGTTGAGGTATGTCAGAGCTCCAGATAAGCTGCGTATCTGTGTAAAATACGCATCGGAAATGCAGAAATATGCAGTAAAATAAAATCCAAGCGTATCAAATACGCAACGAACATTACAGATACGCTACAAAAATAAAACTTGTGCTTATCATCAAAATATTGTGAAGTAACCCTGCGTATTCGATTCGCAAATCAGCAACTTATTTTGAAATTATCTACGGGCATTCCGTCAACTCTGTCAAACTCCACGATGACAGTTACATCATGATCATTTGCCATCACACTTTCTTGTGGAAGTATCATGGTATTTTTTAGTCCTTCAAAGCTCTCGAACCCACACGACACCAGTTTGCAGGGACTACATGAATATTTAAATATTTAACTTAATTACCCACATGTGTAAAAACTAGTGGGTAACAGAAATTTGAATACCCAAATAGAATTGCTGATACGCAATGATTTTAAAATGCATGGGTAAAATACCCACAACACCAAAAGCTTATCTGGAGCTCTGGTATGTAGCACTACGATTAGTTTGTGAATAGACGCGATTGTTTCCAGGATGGTAGTCACGAGCTGCACATCCCTGTGCCAAAATATCTGCAGTCTACCGAAGGAGGAGCATCAGATGACGACGCAGTGGCGCCGATGCCGGGCGTGGTGGAGCGGGTGATGGTGGCCGAGGGGACACAAGTTGAGAAGGGGGACCCCCTCGTCGTCATGATTGCCATGAAAATGGAGGTGAGTTGGAGAGAGTTATTTTGGAGAGGGTGGTATGTTGTTTCCCTCAGATTTTGCAGGACAATATAGAAAATGCAATGGCCATACGGTCGCATCCAGAACGTGGACATGATATGGCAACCTCTGTAGGGAGAAAAGGTACAGATCAGCGCCGTTAGAATTGAAAATCTTTAAAAAATTGCATTGTGATCAAATCGGATGTTGGTAACATTTAAAAGAGCAATCATAAACCTATAGTGGATGTTTGCCATTGTAGTGATGGGTACTCAAAACACTGGAACACTTGTTACGAGGTTTCACTTGAATGTTCAATCAATACCTCACAAATGGAGGAATAATTGTAGAGTATTAATAAGACACCCCTTGACAAGTTTTATTTTCAACCATACAGTCAGTTGAAATTTGGGCAGCTATCTGTGCAGGTTCATCTGGTACATGATGTTTGCTTGTTTCAGTATGTTATACGGGCTCCACGGTCCGGGGTGGTCCAGCGGGTAGCGGTATATGATGTTTGCTTGTTTCAGTATGTTATACGGGCTCCACGGTCCGGGGTGGTCCAGCGGGTAGCGTTCCAGCCAGGTCAGACCGTCAACAGAGGGACAGTGCTGGTTCACTTCAAGGAAGACGAAGCAGCACACGACTGAGACCAACAGCATTAGGACATATTGTGTATATAGTGAACAGCGTAGTAGTGTATACGCTGAACAGTGAACAACATTGCTATGGATGAATAGATATCAAACTTGTTGATATCCATGAACTTAGGGCCAGTGAGATTTGTGTCTGTGTGTTGTGTGTGTGTGTTTCACCAATACCAACATGAGGTATCCAGGACTAGTATTCAGAGAGAAATACAAGACATCTTTTATGTGAATTGTTTGATAGGGATTACTTAGACGTTGACGTTACGGTATGGATCCTGTATAAGGATAACTGTATAAGGTGTCAGCCTTGCTTGACAACTGTATAAGGTGTCAGCCTTGCTTGACAACTGTATAAGGTGTCAGCCTTGCTTGACAAATGTATAAGGTGTCAGCCTTGCTTGACAACTGTATAAGGTGTCAGCCTTGCTTGACAACTGTATAAGGTGTCAGCCTTGCTTGACAACTGTATAAGGATCTATACCAAAATGTCACCTTTACAGTAAATGAAGTTGTTATCCATAGATTGTGTCTACTTTATCTCTTATGTGGATCGTAAAAGTCAGGATGTTCATTACTTCCTTCCTTGTTTTGAAATAGGGTCAAAGAAGACATTTGTATCAAGGTTGCAATAATATGGTTAGTGTCAAACAAAAAGATACTGTGTTAACATCTTGACACAAACTTAAGGATTGTAATTTTCCGATGTTATTAATATTTATTTGGCAAGCCTTCTGACAGCCTGTTGGCATGGTGATGGTGAATGTAACTTAACTTGTACATACAACTTTGTGTGTGAGCTGTGTATCTGCACTTGGAAATAAATCATGTTTCCATATTGTCGGAGTTGAGGGTGTTTACTTAAAAATAATGTGCATATTCATGATACGCCAAATCCACACCCTAAGCCATACTTGAGGCACTACATTATTACCCCTGTCCATGGATCAGTCTCAACTCCCTGGGGAGTATGTGCAACCCAAGCTGCCTGTGGAGTGCTAGAAGGTTAACAGTCACACTACCATCTCATCCTAACAGGTAAACCATTCAGTGCTGGGTGAACAGAGGCATATTTCTAACAAAGTCCCTTGCCTAAGGGACCCGTGAAGATTCCGGGGTAGAATAGGTCTTCAGCAACCCATGCTTGCCGTAAAAGGCAACTATGCTTGTCGTAAAAGGCGACTAACAGGATCAGGTGGTCAGGCTTGCTGACTTGGTTGATGCATGTCATCGATCCCAATTGCGTGGATCGATGCTCATGATATCAATCACTGGATTGTCTGGTCAGACCGCCGTCATATAGCTGGAATATTACTGAGTGAGGCGTTTAACAACAAACCAACCAACCAACCAACCACTTAAGGAGACTTGTAATATTGTCTTCCATGTGGGCAGGACTGAAACCCTAGCAACCCTCAGGAGACCAGCTAATAATTTACACCAATATACAGCCTGTCCGGAGCTCTCTTAATATGTATTGAAAGTCAGCACAGACAATAGATATGGATCACAGTATTTTTTATTTTATAATAACCATGAAAATTACATAACTATCACTATTCCTTGGTGCAACTACTTCAGACACAAACACTCTGTATTCTTTCATATCACTGAAGTTCTAACAGGCATTACCTACCGTATATGTCCGCAGATAAGCCGAATTTTGAAGACCAGAAAAAAGATTCTGTAGAAAGGGGTTGGCTTATTTTTCAGATTGTGATCTGTAAGAAACATCGCCTGAATGACGGTCCGATAGATTACAACGTCCCAAAAGTCTGGAAGTTGCCATGACTACAGCCATTGTTATCAATGATCAATAAAATAATTACACATAAATGTTTCAATATAATTACAAGGTTTTCCATCTTATATTAATGAAGTACCATACTGGTACAGTCTTGCAGTCCGACTTTGCGGTGTGTCGTTGCCTTTCACTTCCTGGTTCGGCTTATCTACGGGTTATATCATGTTCCTTCATATTTCAATGGTCAAGTTTATACCTCGGCTTATCTACGGGGTAGGCTTATCTGCGGTCATATACGGTATGTAGCCCTGGCAGAACGATCACCATGAATCTATTTCCAATTCACCTTGTTCTGTTGGAAACGGTAGGAACATATGTCCCAACTATCTCAATATCCTCATCATCGATGACTGGCACACAGTCACAATCTCTGTTGAAGACATACCACGTCTTGGTCCAGGACCTCAATTTGAAACGGCACACACACTAGAAGTTATACTTATTCCCACTTCTTGGAACAGTTTAAGTGATTGAGCTCATCTTCTAAAAGTTTATGTGGAATCATTTTGAGCTGTTTTGATGCTCTTAGTTGCTCAGTTTTCACAGCGCTACGCTCTTTAGTGTGGCCATGTTCTTCATCCTGCAACATAAAAAATGTCATGATCAGCAGGGTGATAGTGAGTGTGTGAGGTTTAACACTGTTTTGAACAGTATTCCAGTTATAGCACAGTATATCAGCTTAATGTGGGAGGAAACCCGAAGTGATTTAGGTATCTTTGTTGAAACCCACGAGCACGGGTATGGTGCCAACAGACCTAGAAACAATCGGGACGAACCGGGAATCGAACTGACATTAGTTTTCTGTAGTGCCAAGGGATGCAACTCTGCATGGAAATTGTAGCCCTGAGACGGCCGGGCCACCCTAGCCCCGGTTACACAAAGCCACTAGTCTTCATACAGAGACTAGCAACATTCTAGAAATAATAGTAATCTTTAGTAAATACTTCCCATGTGTGTTTGTTGTTTAACGCCACACTCAGCAATATTCCAGCTATATCACAGCAGCCTGCAAATAATCAAGTATTGACCAGACAATCCAGTCATTGATATTGTGAGCAACAATCCACGGTGTTGGGGGAAGAAGACACGCCATCAACCAAATCACCATGCCTGATCCATTTAGTTGTTTCCTACAACCAGCATAGGTTGCTGGGGCCCTATTCTAACACGGAATTCCCACTCGGCTAATACTTCATGTTTGCCACCACATTCCTACATAAGCCATAAATACAAAGCTGCCAGTACTTGTAATAGTGATGTGATGTTATGTCTAATTTTAGACCAGTAATAATATGAGGCTGTGTATTACTCACTGATGTCTAACATTGCCCCGATTAGAGCCAAGGCCACAAGGCACATGTGTGCACAAAAAATATTGCCGATGTAATCTGAGCCAAGGCTTGATTCGTTGGTGAAAAATAGCGACTACATTACAAAGTGACTGTATGTATTCACTGTTGAAGGAGGAATGTGAGTGAGTGAGTTGGGTTTAACGCCGCTTTTAACAGTATTCCAGTTATATCACGGCGTGTCAGCTTAATGTGGGAGGAAAGCCCAAAATGATGCAGGTCTCGGACGTTTACCACTTCGGTGAAACTCACGAGCACGGGTATGGTGCTGACAAACCTAGAAACATAATTGGGGCGAACCGGGATTTGAACCCACAATCATAGGTTTCTGGCGTGCCCAACTCTGCACAGCAAAACGTGGCGCCTTAGACGACTTGGCCACCCGTGCCCCCTGGAGGAATGTGAAGTATAGATGTGTTCTCCCACACAAATAGTTGTGCTACATGAACCCCTGGTCCAAAATCAGTAGTGTACACAACTTTAATGCTGGTAAAAAAAAACGCAATCCCACATGCATGAACTAAACAACCATACCGAATGTACTGGTACCTGTTTGCTTAAAGCCTTGCTTCAAATTGTTTCACATGGCCATGATTGCAGTCAGTGGTATTATAACATGACTAATGTAGCTCAAGACACCATACCACACACGTATGCTCTAAGTGCATGCTCCGTCAACTGAGCAGTGTTGGAGACAAAAGAGTATCAAGTGGTCCTTCGGGTTTGCTGTACTAGTATTTGATGCCAGGGAGCCCCAAACCTTTTAACTTTAAACATGTTTGATATTGGGAATCGTCCATTTATTACAGGGGTGGGGTGGGTCAGAGGTTTTTAATGTACAAATATATAGAAAAAAATGACTCTCCCCTATTGTCATATTTTTGGTTGACCCTCCCCATGTCCTTGTACATTTTTTTCATCACCTTTCCAGAAAAGACAACATGCAAAGAAACTTTGTATTTCATTCTGAAATGTCCATTTTTTTCATGACCCTCCCCACATATGTGTATTATTTTTTATGATCCTCCCCTAGAGACTGTCATAATATTTTACCCTCCCCAGATTCCCTCTGGTTCACCCCCTCCTATAATAAATGACTGCTCCCTTAGGATTATGACTAGGATCCTTTTATCATTCTTAATTTCAAACACTGGACCCTTGCGCTTTCCAACTGTCTCGCCTCCCTTGTTACTACATGCACTCTGAAATTAATGCCAGTAGAAATAACCTCAGGCTAATGATATCATAATTCTACAAGCCATACAGCCTGTAAGTTTTTTTACACATGCTGTAAAATATCTATCGTTCTCCATTCCCTGCGCTAGACATTTGGCACAACCCTTTGATTCTTGAAAAACTGAAATGTGAAAGTCTGCGTATATTATGAGGACTTGTAACATTTTGCAGGGTGAGGAGAAAACAAATGCCACTATCCCTATGGCCATGTTTGGCTTTTGAGTTAATTTCCATGTCTGAGCGCTTTGCATGCTATGCTGGTGTATAGTTCTACCTACCCCAGTCAGGTAGGGGTTCTTCAGAATGTCCAGGTTGTCCTGCTCCACCAGGAGGCGACACAGAGCCCTCCGCTTGGCAGCAACAGAGATGCGCAGGATTATCTTGTTCCTCCTGCAGTGAAAACACAACCAGGTAAGTTGAGGTAACCATAGCAATTTGGACATGTTGATTAAATATGCTTCCTGATACATCCAAGTGAACATGATTAATGACATATCCAAATGTATACTACTTAAAAGAGGTTAACACATGGTTTTATGTTACACTAGTTAATCTGTCTTGCCATAACAGATTAACCATAGTATTCATGAAGAAGAGAATTTATGGATATCAACTTCTTTATTATGAGGAACACAATTTTTCAAAGTAGATGCTTACTCTTTCATCCTCATAATAAAGAAGTTGAAATCCATAAATTCTCTTCCTTATGTGTATCACTTCTAAATGCCTTTCAGAGACTTCATAGTATTCATGGTGGTCCTTAACTTCTCCTGAGTAGTGAATGTTTGGATAATATATCATAATTTAGGACTCACAATTTGCAGTGTTTAGACTTTAGAGGTAATCTGATTCAAAACTGAATCCGTTAACCTAGCTGAAAATTTCAACTCTAACTTGTCTAATACCATGAATCTTACACCAGAATATTGAATCCATTGTCAGAAAATTACAAGTTGTGACTTACTAATAAGTTCCATCTAGTGCTCAGTTTGCAATTTGTTACACTAACAAAACTAATTCAAAACAAAATATGAAGCAGTAGCAAGGATCATCTGAAAACGTGTGACTCTTCAAAACCCTGTACACCATGAAAAGAAGCAAAGATATTTACAGATGACTTACTCTTGTAGATATGGCAGCAAAGCCCACATCCATAACTGGCTTCACAAACAGGATAGTCCCGATACATTTACAATTATTTATTCGAATAAACAAAAAAATGGTTTGTTTGGTGATGGACGTTTATGATTGAGATTATCATGTTAGTGGTGTTACATGCAGAAGGGATTTTAGTGAGTTGTATTTAACGCCGCTTTTAACAGTATTCCCCTTATATCACGGCGTGTCAGCTTGGTGTGGGAGGAAAGCCTGAAGCGATGGAGGTCTCAGACGTTTACCACTTCGGTGAAACACACGAGCACGGGTATGGTGCTGACAGACCTAGAAACATAATCGGGTCGAACCGGGATTCGAACCTACGATCATAGGTTTCTGGCGTGTCCAAGAGATGCAACTCTGCAAGTAATTGCCTCACCTTACGCGTTCCCCCCTATTGTGGTCAAATGTAAAACTGTTATATTTCTTAGTCGGTATCCAACTCTAAAACGTTGCCAAGAAAGCGAAGGGTTTACTTGACACCCAATACTTTCGTTGACAGTCGTGCCATTGAGATGGTTTTCTTTACGACTTTAGTCATTACCCTTGATACAGCAACCCCGGCACACGTATCCTGTGTTTATAATACTGCAAGCACCTTGTGAAAAACATTTTTCACACGTGAAATTAACCGGAAGTAGTAGATCTTGGCATACTGTGAAAAAGGTTTCGTATTCTGTCTGATCTTACACCTAAGCATCCTGAAAATATATAAGAAATCTGAACAAAGAAATTTAATTAATGTTACATTCTTTTGATGTCCACATTAGATTATTTATGCAATTACTACGAAAGTACCATACTGATACATTTTCAAAATGGCCGCGTCCATGCGACGAGTGTGCAAAACATGTTTTCAGAGAAAGTTCTACAGGACATTATTTAAGACAAATCCATGTGTTGTTGGTGAGCGTTATATATTTTGAAGCCATGATTGAATGCATATATGTATGTTGAAGTCTGGTCTGTGTTCAAGGAAAATAGAGACAAAAATTCGCATAAGTTTGGCAGAGGCCCTCATCAATGACATCATGACACCGTTTCCTCACTGCGGGTTAATAGCTAAAACGGCACCTTAGCAAAACGTCACCGATTGGCGAAAACGTCACCTCGCCTCAAGCGAAAACGGCTACTATTGCCAGGCGAAAACGGCACCTTATTTTTTTTTACCTTGGTAAAATAAATGAAATTTAACTTACATGGTAACTTGCAAGTTTTTACACCAATAATTGTGAAATGTTGAAACAAGTTTACATTAGAAATTAGCCTCTACAACAATATTCCAAACTTAGCCTGTACACTACTCAACTTACTGTGAAAACATAACGTGCTTTGAAGTATGAAATGAAAATAAACTCACATCATCTCTTACAAACACAAATAACAGGAAATACCATGTAGTCTAAATACATCAAATACATCCAATAACATGTAAATAAACCATAATTACTACTACATTCTTATCATTGTTAAAAATAGAGGTGCCGTTTTCGCCCAACACATAGTAGCCGTTTTCGCCAAATGCTGTGCCGTTTTTGCCCGAGAAATTGGTGACGTTTTGCTGAGGTGCCGTTTTAGCCTGCATCCCTCACTGCGCTCAGGGAATACATCGTATTCTCTGTAATAAGCGCATTGGGCGCATAGAAAATCCACAAGGGAGAGTGTTTAATAAGTCCATACACAGACCAGATAAACTTGTGGTCAGAGATCGAGCTGTAGACAGCAGACTTAGTTTATAAATATGTCAATGAAACGTCTAGACTGTTGCATTTTCTGTGAAAGATCACTGACGTACACAAGGAAATATGGATTGTCATGTAGATTGCCAGACTTAGTACGGTACGCTTATAAAGATTGCACTGAGCATTAAACGGATAAAACAAGGACTGGTGGCAGAGAGTCAGTCTGAATGGGATCTCCATGTTGAACTGCTGCATGGTATCCCACTGGGCCAGCACTAAAAGACCAGCCTGGTACAAGGAGCCACACACATACATACATACACATTTGCTACTGTGCATGTGCATCAAGGTAAACAATTGTGTGCTGGTCACAAGGTAAACACACATTAACCATTTGTGATAGCGCCTGTTGTCGCCTGGTAAAGTGTTGGCTAATAGGCTAACAAATGTGTAAGTTTAACTCAGCTCAATTGGCAATGCAAGTTTTATCATCCAAGTGGCACAAATTCAAATCAGGAAAAAAAGAGTCTGGTAAAGTGCAGTACTCCCCAATAAAGGTACAATACATTTATGACAGGTTTGTTAATTTCTGAAAAACATATTGATCATGTTGCATTGATTACGGTAGCATCTCTTTTTTTATGCAGCAAACCCTGATCAGTAGAACATGGTAGAATATTTCAGCAGTCACAGTGATTTTGCCAGAGACAAATGGCAATAGGACATTTTCTTGATTTTACCTAGGTTTGACATTCTTCTGCATGATTACTAAATTGTCATAGAGATTATGCCTGTAAACATGGTAAAGATCTGTGTTAGAATAGGTCTTCAGCAACCCTTGCTTGTCATAAAAGATCACTATGCTTGTCGTAAGAGGCAACTAACAGAATCAGATGATCAGACTCGCCGACTTGGTTGATGCAAAGACGTATATAGAATATACATGTATATATATATATGTATATACGTCCGTGGTTGATCCATGTCATCATATCCCAACTGCATGAATCAATGCTCATGGTATAAATCACTGGATTGTCTTGTCCAGACTCAATTATTTACAGACCACCATCATATAGCTGAAATATTGCTGAGTGCGGTGTTAAACAACAAACAAATCATAGAGATTGAACTGATCTGAAACAATGTGGCTATTTGCAGCTGATATGCGATAAACAATATACAAGCATTGGCATGATCAGTGTGAATGACCTCTTTTGCAATCCCTTTAACCTTACAAAGGATTCTGAGTAAAATATTTTCTATGTTATTTCACATCTCACTGAAAACCCAGGTATATAGCCATACTTCAGACTGAAAATTATTCAAGGTCACATCTGCATTTTGTTGTTGGGGGATCTAAGCCTGCAATCTATTTTGAAAAAGTAAGAAAAATGAAAACGGTTTTAGATTAAAAATATGGTAATTTAGAAGTTTCAACATCTTAACATGTTAGTGTTTGAATTTTTTGTTAGAAGACTGAATGTCACGGCAGCTTATGTCGTGGTGCATTGTTCATTGTCTGTCTGGTCAAAGAGTTTTCTGTCCATTGTTAACTTTCACATTTTTCATATCTCTAAAACTACAAGGCCTATAAAATTGAAACTTTCCATGAATTATCACAGCTATGGTGTCTCTAAACTTGTTCACAGAATTCCAATCTGACTTTGAAAATGGCAGCTGTGGCAGCCATATTGAAGATGTCATTTCTTCCCATTACCATGATTATTTAGTCATCTCTACATGTATCCTTGTGAATTTGATACGCAGCAAGTATGTGGTATATAATACGTTTTTATTAATACGTGTTGCTGTATTTTCAATGTCTCCTCTGAAGCTACACAGCCTATTGAGCTAAAGCTCTGTATGAGTGATCTTGCTGTGTTTTTTCTAAATAATGCCCACATAAGTCCGATCTGACGTGAAACATGGCTGACATGACATTTTTGCCTATTACTGCCTATGACATATCTGCATGTGTGTTTATATGCAGCAGGTATGTGGTCAGAGGAATAACGTATACATGATATCCCACTTGCTGGTTTTTGTCATGTTTCTCCAGAAATATTGAGGCAAATGTTTATTGTTGTAGTGCCAGATAAAGGCTACAAGCGATGGGTTCCAAAGATCGACAACATGTTGTATAATCGCAGACTTGCGGCGGGTCCGGAGGTGGAGAGACATCGGTCAGAGTGGATCAACTGGTGAGTACAGGATGGTATTTTGTATCTAAATAATCTTAGGCAGCATCTTCCCTAAAGAACTATTTCCTTTGTGGGATGCAAGTATGACTGTAATTGCATCCGGTCAGCACATGTTTAACACTGTATGTGCGGCATAGGACCTTCTTCTAGCACAAGCACAAGCCCTATTGTTGTGTTGAGCATGTTGAGTGTGGTGGGCTATCTCACGAGTTAAAGCTCACCTCAAATATGCAAAAACAGTTTCATCATGTTCATGACCAGTGAACCAGCGTCATACCAAAAGACTTTAAAAGATGGTACTTGTTGTTACCCTGCCTGGTGCTCAGGATTAAGGGGCTAAAACAAGGACAGGTCAGCTCGGAGTCAGTATACTGTGTCTGAGTGGGGTATTCATGTTAAACTGCGGCATAGTATCTCAGTGGGCTAGCATTATAAAATCGGCATTGGTACAGACTAGTACAAGCAGACACAGACACACACACACACACTATATATATATATATATATAGTGTGTGTCTGTGTGTGTGTGTCTGTGTATCTGTGTCTGCTTGAACTAGTCTGGACCAATGCCGATTTTATATAGTGTGTGTGTCTGTGTCTGCTTGTACTAGTCTGGACCAATGCCGATTTTATAGTGATAATATAAAGTGTTTATTGTGGATTGTCTGGTCCAGACTGTTTTTACAGACTGCCATCATATAGCTGAAATATTGCTGAGTGTGGTGTTATGCAACAAACAAAATCATTAGGTAGACAATTAATTATGTTCTTTTATTTCAGGAATTATGATGCTGAAGTATATGCTTTCGGTAAACGACTGGGTGAGGAGTTTGAAGAAGGTACGCTGCGGAGAGCTTTGACACACAGGTATTGACAACTTGAAAGTCTGTTTCACCTGTATATTAATCATGTTAATTATGAATCAAACAAACCTGTGAGGATATGTAGCAGCTGGTCGTAGCACAAGCTTTGTCAAATGTAAGAATACTACTCAAAGGAAGTTAAGGAACACCCGACCCTTGAAGATCCAGGGTAGAATAGGTCTTCAACCCATATTTGCCGTAAAAGGTGACTTACAGGAATGGGTGGTCCGGCTCGCTGACTTGGTTGATGCATGTCATCGATCCCAATTGCATGGGTTGATGCTCATGATATCATTCACTGGATTGTCTGATCCTGACTCGATTATTTACAGACTGGCGTTAAACAACTGATACACAAACTAAGAACACCGGTTTTTTCCTATGACTACAGTAAATCTGTCAGGGCTGGTGGGTGGGTGTTCTTTAATGAACAAGTAGAGGGGAGTTTTGCCATCAGTTTTATTGTACATTTTATTCTGTCATTTATTTAAAGACAGCCTTGGAAACGTGTCCATATCGCTTGGATATCTTAGAAAGACAATTCAATCTGGAAATAAATGTAGTTCAAATTACCCCCTGATATGTAGTGATATTGGCACTGACCTTGATTCAGTCTTGTGTGGGATGATTGACACATGTCTGTTACCATATACATATATATGTCATAAACACCGGTACCCTTACTGTGAAGATTCCAGGGGTAGAATAGGTCTTCAGCAACCCATGCTTGCTGTAAAAGGTGACTATGCTTGTCGTAAAAGGCGACTAACGGGATCGGGTGGTCAGGCTCGCTGACTTGGTTGATGCATGTCATCGATCCCAATTGGGTGGATCGATGCTCATGATGTCAATCACTGGATTGTCTGGTCCAGACTCGATTATTTACAGACCGCCGTCATATAGCTGGAATATTGCTGAGTGCGGCGTTAAACAACAAACAAACCAAACAAAAACCCTTACTGTGGATAGAGCATCTGCTGGGAGAATGGAAAGTTTGTGGTTCAATCCCCAGGCACGTTATACCAAATGATGTTAAATGATGGTACTTGTTCTTTCTCTGCCTGGTGCTTAAGATTGGGGGCCTAAAACAAGGATTGGTAGCTCAGAATCACTATAACGTGTCTGAGTTAAGTGTTAAACTGTGGCATGATATCTTAGCGGCTAGGACTATAAACTGACATTAGTCTGACTGGTACAAGCAGCCACACACATGGTACTGCACCGCATAATGTGAGTGGAATAATCTTGAATGCAACCCATTTCACCTCAACCATGTTTATCCTTAGCAACAGTTTATAATTCCAACTGCTTCCATCTGTCAGGTCCTACATAGAGAAAGAAGAAGAAAGGCGAAGAGAACTGGGTATTGACCTTGATGCCGCACCGCTTGGACTTTCAGATAACCAGGAATTAGCCGCTATTGGTGAGACTTATCTCCCTTGACACCTTGAGCTGTGAAGCACATTGGGCAAATATCATTATTGTTCGAAATGGGGATAACTCCTATGGATACTTCACCTGTATTACCATGATTACATCAAACTATAAAATTCTTTAGATTCAACAGAAGTCCTCTTCACTGTCAACTATCAATAATCAGTTGTATGGATAATAGTCTTCAACTGCCCAGTGCTCTTGCACATATCTAAGATGAGAAAACGTCACTTCTTTCCGATAATCAAACTTAAATCATGATGCAGATATATTTGGGTGGGATTACTATTGATGTAACAGAGGTAGCATTCTTAGAATTATTAACTATGATAACTATTGGTTGATTGTTATAGTTAAAGTGGTATTTTAACATTGTGTTTTAACATTGCTTTCAATACAATAATGTATGACTAAACATTAAGGCCTCTTCCTCGTTATTGACCATAGCATTAGTAGGGAACTTGAAAATGTTGAAGTTTGTACTGATATTTGCTGCTGACTTTTGGCCGACCCTGGTTTCCAGTCCCCTGACCCTGGTTTCCAGTCTCCTGACCCTGGTTTCCAGTCTCCTGACCCTGGTTTCCAGTCCCCTGACCCTGGTTTCCAGTCTCCTGACCCTGGTTTCCAGTCCCCTGACCCTGGTTTCCAGTCTCCTGACCCTGGTTTCCAGTCCCCTGACCCTGGCTTCCAGTCCCCTGACCCTGGTTTCCACTGGTTTCCAGTCTCCTGACCCTGGTTTCCAGTCTCCTGACCCTGGTTTCCACTGGTTTCCAGTCTCCTGACCCTGGTTTCCAGTCCCCTGACCATGGTTTCCAGTCCCCTGACCCTGGTTTCCAGTCTCCTGACCCTGGTTTCCAGTCTCCTGACCATGGTTTCCAGTCCCCTGACCCTGGTTTCCACTGGTTTCCAGACCCCTGACCCTGGTTTCCAGTCTCCTGACCCTGGTTTCCAGTCCCCTGACCCTGGTTTCCAGTCTCCTGACCCTGGTTTCCAGTCCCCTGACCCTGGTTTCCAGTCCCCTGACCCAGGTTTCCAGTCCCCTGACCCTGGTTTCCAGTCCCCCAACCCTGGTTTCCACTGGTTTCCAGTCTCCTGACCCTGGTTTCCAGTCCCCTGACCCAGGTTTCCAGTCCCCTGACCCTGGTTTCCAGTCCCCCAACCCTGGTTTCCAGTCCCCTGACCCAGGTTTCCAGTCTCCTTCGTGGTATTTTAGGTCAACTTCCTTACCTGCTGTCCTTTAGGTTTCCTGCGGATTCCAGGTCAGAATTTGTCCCCAACCCATGCTGGTCGTAAGAGGTGACTTAATGCACACTGTCCTACTGTTGCAGGTGCTGAGTCTATGAGTGTGTACATCAAGGCCTATCTGCGCCATGTGTATCCCCGCTTGTTTGAAGAAGGCGTAAGGTATGAAGAATGATACACATTTCAATGGAGTTAAACTGTAATAATGCATGTCTGGGAGACCTAAGTTTTAGCTGAACTATGTTTCATATTCTTTTCTTGTGGTTGCAGCTTTCTCTTGTCATGTCATGCCCGAGACCTGGCCCTGATTACAATGTGTAAAGACACTACTAAACACAATGTCTCATGGCAACTAACAGAACTGACTCAGTTGATGCACGTAATCATATCCCAGTTGTGAAGATCAATGTTCATGATGTCAATCACTCTACTAGACTCAATTATTTACATATTGCTGTCATATTGCTGGAATTTTGCTGAGTGCTGCATGAAACAACAAATATAAAATAAAATAAAATCACTGACCCACTCTTTCACAAATTGTGCAATGTAGGGTGTTTTGTGGCTATTTTTAAGGCTTACTTTGTTGAAATCTTTGTCTCTTCTACTTCATGCCAATGTGTCAAAATGGGACTAACTGAGTATCATTTTGTAAAGTCTAGATGGGAAAAGCCTTGTAACATGTTTCATTCTTTCTTTTGCAGTGCTATACATGATCATTTGATATCAACTGAAGTGCTGTCCAAAATAGCTTCACATATAGGACTGACGGACCTCATCCTTTGTCAGGTATTTGTTTTTGTGAAAACATCCATCGGTATATGATAGGGGTCTCGTAGTATCTCCATCAGTGTCGATCTACATATCTCATCCTTTGTCAGGTATTTGTTTTTATGAAAACATCCATCAGTACGTGATAGGGGTCTCGTAGTATCTCCATCAGTGTCGATCTACTTAATGTCTTCTTTAAAAGTCCTGTTTGTGGCACTGAGTATATATCATTTATATACACATGTGATGTGATGAAGGGCTATTTCCTTTGTATAGTTCAACATTGAGCACATTTACCATGTAAGGGGTCACAGGTGGCCTTGTCATCTGAGGCATCGCAATTTGCTGTGCAGAGTTACATCCCTTGTGCAGAAACCCATAATTATGAGTTTGAATCGATTTGTACTTTGTAGGTTTTTCAGCTCCATACCGAAAGTGGTAAATGTCTGAGACCTGCATCATTTTGGAATTTCCTCCCACATTAAGCTAACACGCTATGATATAACTGGAACACTCTTCAAACCAATGTTGCTTGCATGACAATGTCTAAGGGAGATCACTCTTGTCTGCTACAGAGAGTAATTTATATTCAGTAAGTGACTTACCGGTAAAACTAATTTTTCAATTAACTCACTCACTCACTCCATTCCATTCCATTCCATTCCATTCCATTCCATTCCACTCCACTCCTCTCCTCTCCTCTCCATTCCACTCCTCTCCTCTCCTCTCCATTCCATTCCACTCCACTCCACTCCTCTCCTCTCCTCTCCTCTCCTCTCCATTCCATTCCATTCCACTCCACTCCACTCCTCTCCTCTCCACTCCACTCCACTCCACTCCACTCCACTCCTCTCCTCTCCACTCCACTCCACTCCACTCCACTCCACTCCACTCCACTCCACTCCGCTCCGCTCCACACAGGTCTGGTCCACTCAACTCCACTCCACTCCACTCCACTCCTATCCACTTACTCACTTATTTTTATCCTCTAATAATCTGTCTGATGTTGGCAGGAGTTTCCTGTGGGCGCGGGGACTCAGAGTGATACACTCCAAGCAGTCATTGGAGCGCTTGAACATGGCCAGGTACAGTACCCGTTTCTTCATGTTGTAGGAGTAGCATGGTGGCTTAATCAGTCACTTGTAACACTTCTAAATTATTATTGCCCTGGTCAGTGGATCAGTGTACACTTGGTTTTTCATTATCAGCTCCCTGGGGAGTATACAACCCTAGCTGCCTGTTAGGCACTAGAAGGTTAACATCCACATTGCCATCTATTCCTACCGGGTACCCATTCACTGCAGGTGAACAGAGGCATATTCTAAACAAAGTCACTTGCCTCAGCAAACGCCACATGTGCTTCAGACCCGTGAAGATTCCGGGGTAGAATAGGTCTTCAGCAACCCATGCTTGCTGTAAAAGGTGACTATGCTTGTCGTAAAAGGCGACTAACGGGATCGGGGGGTCAGGCTCGCTGACTTGGTTGATGCATGTCATCGATCCCAATTGCGTGGATCGATGCTCATAATATCAATCACTGGATTGTCTGGTCCAGACTCGATTATTTACAGACCGCCGTCATATAGCTGGAATATTGCTGAGTGCGGCGTTAAACAACAAACCAACAACAACAACATGTGCTTCAGAGTGGGGCAGGACTGAAGCCCTAGAACCTCACAGGAGTCTGATGCCCTAGAACCTCACAGGAGTCTGATGCCCTAGAACCTCACAGGAATCTGATGCCCTAGAACCTCACAGGAGTCTGAAGCCCTAGAACCTCACAGGAGTCTGAAGCCCTAGAACCTCACAGGAGTCTGATGCCCTAGAACCTCACAGGAGTCTGATGCCCTAGAACCTCACAGGAGTCTGATGCCCTAGAACCTCACAGGAGTCTGATGCCCTAGAACCTCACAGGAGTCTGAAGCCCTAGAACCTCACAGGAGTCTGAAGCCCTAGAACCTCACAGGAGTCTGAAGCCCTAGAACCTCACAGGAGTCTGATGAATACGGTCACCCGTCTAGCTACTCTCCACGATCAATGTTGTCACAGGACCACGTGCCACCACATTCATATTGAACACCTATAACTCATAGATAGTGTTCATAGAGGTGGCACATAGCTACAGTTAGGTCTTTCAAAACATTTACATGACATCAGTACTGAAAGAAAGGTATATTTCATTTTCAGGGCAGAGACAGAGCTCATCTGTTTGTTCGCGACTTTGTGCTGCCCCAGCTGATAGAAACAGACATGGCAGAGCTGTGGACTGTCCCCAACCCCATGGGGCTCCTCACCGACATACTGGCGAGGGAGGGCCGGCCACCCCCGGAACCCAGGTGAGTGCAGCTGTCTGTGTGTGCCTTAAGCTCAGTCTGAATGATGCAGTGTTTGCTGGAGAAAAATGGCATATGCACGATAGGACATCTTAATTATTTTGTCAAATATTGGACATTTTTCGGTATCAGTACAAATTTCAAAACAATCTGTCGGACATTTGGGATGAAATCACTGTCCGTGAGTGAGTGAGTGAGTGAGAGAGCGAGCGAGTGAGGTTTTACGCCACTTTTAGCAATATCCCAGCTATATCACGGCGGGGGACACTAGAAATGGGCTTCAAACATTGTACCCATGTGGAGAATCAAACCCGGGTCTTCAGCATGACGAGCGAACGTTTTAGCCACTATGCTACCTCACCCCAGTGTCCTAGAGAAAGACCTGATGTGAAACTGTGTTGTGCCTTCAGGTTACAGTGGAGTTCAGCTTCCCAGACCGTGATGTCCCTGTACTACGTCGGCATCTACTGTGATGGACAACTCCTGGGCCAGTGTGAGTACCTGTTTACATCCAAGCTCTTATAAAGCTTAATTGAAACTCCTCAGGACCTTGATTATTGTTCATTTGATCATCCTGATCCATGTGTTCTAAAAGCTTTGTTACCGTATTCGACGTAATAAGCGCCCAGGGCGCTCTCAAAATTAAAAATAGGGGGCTCTTATTAGAATATTATTTTGTCGTAAAAAAACAGAGTTGAAAGTTAAATTTTGTGGTTTATGCTGACAGCCTGAAATGTTTATATACGAGAGATATATTTTTCCAGATTTTAATTGCCCATAATTAAGGGTGCATATAACACACGAGGGCATATTATACTTGAAAAATAAGTATTGTGTACATTGATCAATCGGAAAGGGTGCTAATTGGGATTGTTCACGAGCCAATATATTAGCGGGGGGGGGGGGGGCACCTACCTATGCTGGTCGTAAGAGGTGACCAAATGGATCAGGTGGTCTGGCTTGCTGACTTGGTTGATTGCATCTCATAGTACCCTGATGTATGTAACCAAATAAACTGTTGTGTACCATTAATCCGGGAAAGTGCCTCCCTACATAAAGACATACAAAAGCATACAAAATCCTATTGCCGCCTTGACTATACGAGATGCACAGTTAAGCAGTGGGTATGTAAAGGGAAGTAACTTTATTGGATCGCATTGTTGTTATGTTTTCGGATTTAAAAAAAATAAATTAAAATGGAAATAAAATTGAAACCTATGGCGGACTTTATGTTGATGTGGGCGGTGCCTGAGAAACAAGAGTATCATTTTTTTAGCCTAATGTTTGCCATCATTTTGTCCTCAGCTCCAGGTGAGACTCTGACGATTGCAGAGGAGATGGCAGCTAGAGATGCAGTGAAGAACCAGCTGGGACTCGCGGACAGCCGGTCCCCACTCCCCCTCGGCAGCCTCGCCAACACGCTACAGCTCGACTTTGACAGAGTGAACCCATGTGTGGCAGACTTGACAGCCTTGGAAGCGTCTTCGATGTAGGACTTTGTGTCAGAAGTGCTGTAAACAATCATACATCAAATATGGAGTGCACTGCGTGATGGCACATTGAAGAGGATTGCTCATCACTGAAGCCTCCTTGCAATTGATGCCTATGTGACAGACAAAATGAAAGTGCCCCCAGTATTAGTGTTGTGGCACAAGGATTCATCAATCTCTCATTGCCAGCACTGTCACCTGCAATTATATGTACATCTTCCTGAGGCAAGGGAGTTAACTGACTGTGAAAGTCCAGTTTCCACCCTTGATAAACTAGGCTGGAGTTTCTGGGCTCTATTGTAGCGCCGCCAGTGGCTATTACCAGTTATGTCCCTTCTATGTTTCTATTGACCAATCAGATTCCACGTATCATTCGCATATGTTTCAAACAAAATGGCAGCGCGCAGTCAAGGCGTTCAGATCGTTATGCAAGATCTATATCGTAATAAAATGGGTCTTATCTCGCGAAGTGCATCACATCAGGTGAACACCTTGATAACCAACATGAAAAGACTCTGTACAAGAAGCATTGAGACTGATGTGCCAGCGGAATAGTCACAGGTGTTGTTAATTTTACATAGCATGTAGCAGGCAACTGATGTGTTCAGTGTTACATTGTGATAAAATAAACTATTGAAATACTACATGTGGTGTTATCTTTTTTCAAATGTCGAGAGATTCAATGGTTGATCTCCAACATCACCAAATCCCCTAAAGCTGACTTAAATATCAATACTGCAAAATTTACTTTTATAATTGTTCCATCTCATTTCACTCTGAATCAGAACATGAAGACAAAAATACTATTAAAATGTTGGGGCCTGTTTGTGTAGCGTCTGTGTAGCGTCTTTGTCACCTGAATTTGTTCAAGAAGTTCGAAGCCGATTTTCAATATGGCCACCACGGTAGCCATGTTGAAAAACCTATTTATGGTCATTATTACTTGGCCATATTTGTACATATACTATTGGTAGCCAAGTAGCACCTGTTGGGAGCTTCTAGTTGTGGGTTGGAGTCCCGGATTTGCCCCTGTCATAATCTGTCCCCACGACACCTTTGTGGTTAGCATACAACCTGTGTTACTCTCTGCTTTCGGACCCGTGAAGATCCGGGGTAGAATAGGTCTTCAGCAACCCATGCTTGCCGTAAAAGGTGACTATGCTTGTGGTAACAGGTGACTTACGGGATCGGGTGGTCAGGCTCGCTGACTTGGTTGATGCTTGTCATCGATCCCAATTGCGTGGATTGATGCTCATGATATCAATCACTGGATTGTCTGGTCCAGACTCGATTATTTACAGACCGCCGTCATATAGCTGGAATATTGCTGAGTGTGGAGTTAAACAACCAACAAACAAACCAACCAACTCTGCTTTCGCCCTGTGGGGATATCCGGTTAGAATTTGCCCTCACCAGCCTTTGCTGCTAGAAAGAGGTGACCAAATGGTGTAGGTGGTCAGGCTTGGTGATTTGGTCGATGGCGTGTCATCATACCCTGATGACAAGGATTGTTGTTCACAGACCCGTGAAGATCCGGTGTAGGATAGGTCTATCACTACAGACCTCTGTAAATGGTATTTAAGAAGCTGTAGTGACAATGACGACAGAGCTGCCTTTTGGAGTTCAGACATGTGAAGATCCAGTTTAGAATAGGTCTTGAGCAACCCATGCTTGCCGCAAGAGGCGACTATGCTTGTCATAAAATGCGACTAACGGGATAAGGTGGTCAGATTCGCTGACTTGGTTGATGCATGTATCCTAATTGCGTGGATCGATGCTTATGAAGTAAATCACTGGATTGTAAGATCCAGACTCGATTATTTACAGACAGCTGTCATATAGCTGGAATATTGCTGAGGGCAGCGTTAAACAGCAAACAAACAATCAAACAAACAAATCACATTACCAATCACAGGATTGTCTGGTCCAGATTTGATTATTTACAGGCCTCCTTCATACAGCTTAAAATTGCTGAATGCAGTGTTAAACAAAAAAATAAACAAACACTATTCTTTCCTTACACATAAAGAAGACACGCTGTGTGCAATACTGTTTACAGGACAGTAAACTCAGATTTTCTCTCGTTCATTCATTCCACAACAGACAGGACTGAGTAAACAATGTTTTTATTGTTAAATGTGAAAATATAAGCATACAAGGCACTTGGAATGTGATAGTTGACATGAATACTGCGGAGTAATGGCAAGTATCAATCGATGTATCTGCTGTAAGAATCCTATACATGTGTATAGAAAAAATGTAAATGTATCTACGTCACATAAGTGTTTACACCCTAAACATCTGACATATATAGATAGCACTGATGGAATTTCTATGTCATGGACATCAGATATGTGATATATCGTGAACGACCTTGGTCTGATAACAGAACAATGACCTTGGGAGGATAACAATAACTTACCGTATTAGCTCGAAATAACACAACCGCAAAAAGGCAAATAATAAACTACTCATAATAATAAGCTTCCATGTTTTCTTGAATAATGATAAAAATAAGAAGACATTCATTTCATTTTGGACAGAACACCTTAATGATATGAACCATGATGTTTGCACATTTCAATCAATTCCTCATTATATAAACAGTTCAAAATTAATTTGTTTAGAAATTGTTCCCTGGTCTTGCTATAAGTTAGGTTTTGTTGGTAAAAAAGTAATTCTTTCAGAGAAAATAATTGTTTATCTTGAGCCACTGATTGAAAAAATAGCATCCTGCCTCAAACCAACATCCCAGGATATGATCAGTCTGTAACTAGAATATTGACAGTACTCCAGTAACAAAACTACTGTAAGGCTTAAAAAAATAAAAGAATTGTTCTCAGGCAATGGTTTTTGAAAATATAGTGCGAGTGGGCGTTGTCTTTTTTTTTTTTGGGTCATTCAAACTAGTATGTAACCCATAAAAAGTTACGGTATGTAATCAATTGTGTTCAATCAACCTGGGAAAGGGCCTCTCTACATAAATGTATTCCTTGATGAGTAAAATATTGGAATACACTATTTGACTACCGTTGGACTTGGAATATTTAAGGATTTTTTTGTTTGTTTTTTAAAAATGGAAATAAAAATGAAACGTGCGTCGAACTTAATGATGATACGGGCGGTGCCTGAGAACCAAGACTATTATTTTTTTAGCCTAATGTACTGTGTGAGTCAGGCACAGTAAGACAATGGGGTGATACGGCTGAGATGATGACAGACTGGGACAGATAATGTGTAAGCAAGTGTCTGGCACAGTGACACAATTGGGAGATACGTCAGTGAGTTAATGAACGACTCGGACAGATAAAGTGCAGGTGAGACATACGTCCTTGGCATAAATACGCTACTGGTCCGATGGCCTTGGTATATTTTGAACATGATGTAACACAGTGATTGAGTAAGGTATTTTGTGACCCCCTTGCTGACACTGGAGATGTACCCGGTGATTGATTAGTTCAAGGGCTCCTTAAGCCATAACCCTTATGAATCAAGAGAACGAAACAGGAGTGTGCACTACGGTTGTCCTCGCCTATTGATTTTTATACAAATTTTTAATTTTGATACTATATCGATACAAATTTATGAATATCAATTCTAATTTAATAATTCACTGCCCAACATTCACGCTTGTAAAGATTATCTGGTTAAGATGGATAAAAATGGCAGAAATTTAAATTATAAATATTTAATGGACCAACCTTGTTCATATTGAGCATTAAGCTTATAAGTCATGTACAGATAGGAATTTCTTTTCCATGCTCATACAGAATAACTTATTTGTTATTAATCAATACATTGACATTTCATGATACTCTTGAGTTGTTATATATTGAAACTACCATATTGTTTTGAGTATAGTGTGCACCCAAGCATAAATCGCATCGTATTCCAGGCGATGCAGTATTTTGGACAAAAAGAGATTTTTAAAGTATTTTGAACAGTCGGAAACTAGATCATATCCCTTGAGGAGTACGAGCAGGTGATAACAAACTTTGTCAATAAAGATGTAAATTTGCTTTAAAACATCACTAGACATGATGATCTCCAAAACATCCCAATCAATCACAACCCTAGTGCGCACCACCTGTTTTAAAGCATACTAAACATGTACATTTAAACATTATACCGGTGTTTCAGCTTCAGTCATCATATAACAACTATATGGCTAACTTATATGGCGATACATTTTCTACACAACTAAACAACTACTTATTGCGAACTACCCAATCACAAATGCTCCCATACTGTTAAACAAAGCTGTAGTATATGATGCACTGGTGCATCCCCTATTGGCCCACGTCCAATTTGGCCTACGTCCCATATGGCCTAAGGAAACAGAAATTATATTATTGTTTTAAACAACCTACACCCCTATTGACAAAAATGGTTTGGTTTAAGCTTAATTAGCTCTTGTTATTCACACAAGATCTTATGCTAAGGCATATTACGTTTGATTAATTTTATACAAATACTTTGGCCAAAAATTCAATGTAAGTGGTCGAAAGAAAGAAATAGGAAAATTCTGAGATTAATTTGAACTAATTAAAAAATTGTGGTATTGATTAGTTATGTTGTAATGACATTTGATGTTGATTTCTTGTCCTTCATATTTTTTATAAATTAATATCATGCAAACCTTGCTGCTGATTTTTTTTTTATTAATGTTAATTAACATACGTTACAATAAATATACCCAAACAAATACATTAATTCACCCAATCTGTGATGAAAGCAATTGTAAATATTTCCATTTTTGGTAAAATCACCCAGGTGTCTTTACCCTGAATGCTGCTTGTTGCCACATCCCTTGTGTTGCTCTCCGACAGTTATCTCTGTCAGGTATGGAACATCTGATAGCATCATGGAGCAGTCAAGGTCATTTAATGGTGACGTGTGGAATTCATCAGCTTGTGGTATCGGTTTCTCAGCAGGAATGCAGCAGCTTTCGGCTGGCGTTGGCGGGTGAGCACACCTTTCTTGTTGCCCACGACTCGGGTGACACCTGCAGTCAGTGAAGGAGTTGTAGGGATACATAGATATCTCACTCAAGTGTCTTGTGATATGAAATATATCATCTTTTGATATGACATATATCATCTTTTGATATGACATATATCATCTTTTGATTTGAAATATATCATCTTTTGATATCAAAAATATCTTTTGATTTGAAATATATCATCTTTTGATATGGAATATATCATCTTTTGATATGAAATATATCATCTTTTGATTTGACATATATCATCTTTTGATATGACATATATCATCTTTTGATATGAAATATATCATCTTTTGATTTGAAATATATCATCTTTTGAATAAATAAAAAATATCTTTGATTTGAAATATATCATCTTTTGATATAAAAAAATATCATGAAATATATCATTTTTTGATTTGAAATATATAATCTTTTGACAAAAATATATCATCTTTTGATATGAAATATATCATCTTTTGATATGAAATATACCTTTTGATATGAAATATATCATCTTTTGATAACAAATATATCAACATGAGTCAGTAAAAGCTTAAACTTGTGAGGCTTGCTGAGAAGTCTAAAACTTTCAACGATGAGTGTTGATATATTTCCTATCAAATTACTTTAGGTGGAGATTCTATTTATCATCCCAAATCATTCTTCAAATTTTTTCAGTTTGCAAACAGTTATAACCAGTGTCTTGAGTTAAGAATGTGTAGTTAACCAACTTCAGTGGCAAAAAGATTAGTGATGTCATTTGAATGTGACATCATGGTAACCGATGACATCACAATGGTCCAAGCATTGTGATGCAATTTCATTGCAGCGACATCTCCTGGAAGATATTGCTTCATCTCACCAAGCTGTATCTCTTGTGGATGTCTGTTTTGGATATCATAACAAACAGTGTTCCCATTGGTTTTTGAAACTGCCAGTCCTTGTGGACTGGCAACTCTAAGAAATACCAGTCCCCCCTAATTTTTGCCAGTCCCCCCTAAATTTTGCCAGTCTCAACTTTCAACAAATAAAAAAATGTATGAACATTATTTGGTTTTTCATTCTTTCAACATCATGTTCAGTGCAAAGATGTCATCTCTGAAGTAACTTACGGTAGTTAGATCTATACGTCATTCACACAAACTTCAGTCACAATTTTCTCTCTCTTTTTTAATATTTCTAGACAAAGTCCCTACAAATGGTGGTAACAGACAAGCTGACTTTGTTCGAAAAATGTACTTACACGAATATCACCGATGTTTTGTTCAATAACAAAGATTTATAAGGTACTTTATTTGCTGGTCACATGAATTACCGGTCCAAGCCTACTTTTACCAGTAAACAACTGGTAATTACCGGTAAAAATGAACGCCGATAAACTTCATGGACACTAAACATGAACATCCTGACTGCTGAGATTTGAAGTGATTTTGCTTCATGCTGCTTTGAACATTATTTAAGTTAAAAAACTCAGCTTGAGATGAGGTCATAGACATTTACCACTGTGGTGAAATTCATGAGCATGTGTTTGGTTCTTCAAATCAAGCATAGTGATGAGTACAAATCTTGGTTTTTATACCACTATCAGCACATCTTGGTGCAGCCAAGGGACAAAACTCTACATGGCTTCTTAACAACTGGGCCACTTGTATCCCACTTGTATCCCACTTGTATTCATTTTTAGACATTGCTTATTATAGTTGTCGAAATACATGACACATCAACAAATGAAGGTTTGACACAAGCTTAAAAACACTAACACTACAGGCCTTTAAGTGGTATTTTAGTAGCTGTAGTGACAATGATGACAGAGCTGCCTTTTGGAGTTCAGACCCGTTAAGATCCAGGTTAGAGTAGGTCTTCAGCAACCCATGCTTGCCCCAGAGGCGACCATGCTTGTCAAAAGAAGCGACTAACGGAATCGGATGATCAGACTCGCTGACTTGGTTGATGCATGTCATTGTATCCCAATTGCGTGGATCGATAGGCATGACGTCAATCACTGGATTGTCTGGTCCAAACTGGATAATTTACAGACTGCTGTCATAGCTGGACTATTGCTGAATGCAGTGTTAAATAGCAGACAAACAAACAAATAACCGAAATGTTGCATTGAAAAAATAAAAGAAGTTTAAATCCATAGGTCAACTCTGTTTTCAATCCAAACCAAATCTTTGATAAAATTTATCTAAATCAAAATTGCATCAAAACAGTGTATAACGATAGGTAAAAATATATGACACAACATCACCACAACATCAACTTTTTGTCAGTCTCTTCAGTATGTGAGAGTGCCGCCACCACGTTTGCCTGTTACCATGGTTACAAAAGCAACATTAGAAACTTACCCTGCTTTGTCATAAAGTCGGCAAAATTCCACACCATTTCACCAACTAAATATTTTCCAATCCTGGAGTCGAACAGTTTGTGATATTCACTCATAAAATCCACTTGGTATTCTTCTGTAAATACAGATGAGGGGTCCTGAAAAAATATATTGATGAAGTTGAATCTTTGGCAGTCCCACAGGTTCCAAGCATGAAAATGTGACTTTGCAAGTCACTTCAGTAAAAAAACATTTATAGTATTTCTGGAGGCTGGACATGTATACTCACTGTCACTGCCAAAAGAACATGTGTGTGTGTGTGTGTGTGTGTGTGTGTGTGTGTGTCTGGTGTGTGTGTGTGTGTGTGTGTGTGTGTGTGTGTGTGTGTGTGTGTGTGTGTGTGTGTGTGTGTGTGTGTGTGTGAGTGTGAGAGTGTGTGTGTGTGTGTGTGTGTGTCTGTGTGTCTGTGTGTGATTGTGTGTGTGCCTGCTTGTACTAGTATGGACCAATGCCGATTTATAGTGCTAGCCCACTGAGATACCATGCAGCAGTTTAACATGAATACCCCACTCCGACACAGTATACGGACTCCAAGCTGACCACTCCTTGTTTAAGCCCCTTAATCCTGAGCACCAGGCAGGGTAACAACAAGTACGATCTTTTAACATCTTTTGGTGTGACGTGGCTCATGGTTCACTGGTCATGGAACTGAGGTGAGCTTTAAGTCGTGAGATAGCCCACCACACTCAACATTTGACAACCAGTACAAGATTGACAATCAGTCATGTGTTACCACAGTGTCCTTATTCTTATCACGATATGCTGCATGTGTGCACGAGACAAATGGTGTCATGGATCTATGATGTCACATGTGATGCGTTCATGAGCATCGGTTCACATCATACCAGTATGTTCATTTGTACATCTAACATCTCTTGAATATGAGTAAGTCTTCTGTATAAACCAACCTATATGGTATTCGTGTTTCTTTGGCAGTGAGTATCCACTGGACATGGAGAGTAAAGATTTATGTCTGAGTCCCTGTTATCATAGTTGTCAGCTTCCTATTCAGTCAGTGAGTCACTTGTTCTTTCCCTGTGTAATGGTGAGTCTCTTGTTCTTTCCCTGTGTAATGGTGAGTCACTTGTTCTTTCCCTGTGTAATGGTGAGTCACTTGTTCTTTCCCTGTGTAATGGTGAGTCACTTGTTCTTTCCCTGTGTAATGGTGAGTCACTTGTTCTTTCCCTGTGTAATGGCGAGTCTCTTGTTCTTTCCCTGTGTAATGGTGAGTCTCTTGTTCTTTCCCTGTGTAATGGTGAGTCACTTGTTCTTTCCCTGTGTAGTGGTGAGTCTCTTGTTCTTTCCCTGTGCAGTGGTGAGTCTCTTGTACTTTCCCTGTGTAATGGTGAGTCTCTTGTTCTTTCCCTGTGTAATGGTGAGTCTCTTGTTCTTTCCCTGTGTAATAGTGAGTCTCTTGTACTTTCCCTGTGTAATGGTGAGTTGCTTGTACTTACTCTGTGTGATGGTGAGTTGCTTGTACTTATCCTGTGTAATGGTGAGTCTCTTGTACTTTCCCTGTGTAATGGTGAGTCTCTTGTACTTTCCCTGTGTAATGGTGAGTGGCTTGTACTTACCCTGTGTAATGGTGAGTTGCTTGTACTTACCCTGTGTAATGGTGATTCTTTTGTTGTACTTACCCTGTGTAATGGTGAGTTGCTTGTACTTACCCTGTGTAGTCCAGCAACTGTGTCAGCTCCATATTCAGTGATGATGAGTGGCTTGTTGTACTTGCTCCGCCAGCCATCCATATCGCTTCCCAGTTGGAGCTGTATGACCTCTGTGTGCCCCGTGTCGCTGTACCAGCCATAGTAGCGGTTGAAGCAGATGATATCCACATAGGGAATCTAGGAATATAGAGGATATCCACATAGGGAATCTGGGAATATAGATGATATCCACATTGGGTATCTGGGAATATAGATGATATCCACATAGGGAATCTAGGAATATAGATGATATCCACATTGGGAATCAGGGAATATAGATGATATCCACATAGGGAATCTGGGAATATAGATGATATCCACATTGGGCATCTGGGAATATAGATGATATCAACATTGGGCATCTGGGAATATAGATGATATCCACATTGGGAATCTGGGAATATAGATGATATCCACATTGGGAATCTGGGAATATAGATGATATCCACATTGGGCATCTGGGAATATAGATGATATCCACATAGATAATCTGGGAATATAGATGATATCCACATAGGGAATCTAGGAATATAGATGATATACACATAGGGAATCTAGGAATATAGATGATATCCACATAGGGAATCTTGGAATATAGATGATATCCACATAGGAAATCTGGGAATATAGATGATATTCACTTTTGGCATCTGGGAATATAGATGATATCCACATAGGGAATCTGGGAATATAGATGATATCCACATAGGGAATATTGGAATATAGATGATATCCACATTGGGAATCTGGGAATATAGATGATATCCACATAGGGAATCTTGGAATAGAGATGATATCCACATAGGGAATCTAGGCATATAGATGATATCCACATAGGGAATCTGGGAATATAGATGATATCCACATTGGGCATCTTGGAATATAGATGATATCCACATAGGGAATCTAGGAATAAAGATGATATCCTCATAGGGAATCTGGGAACATAGATGATATCCACATAGGGAATCTAGGAATATAGATGATATCCACATAGGGAATCTAGGAATATATAGATGATATCCACATTGGGAATCTAGGAATATAGATGATATCCACATAGGGAATCTGGGAATATGTATATATATATATCCACATAGGGAAATCTGGGAATACAGATGATATCAGGGAACAAATAGCACTCAGAACAATAACCCCTGGACTAGATCTGACATTGTGTGGTACACTGTGTACCTGTGTTGCACCATCTGCAACAGTACAGCCACTGTTTGATAACGTACTGCAACCATGACAACAATGTCCCATTGACATGCCTTTGTGTCAAACGACACCAATGACATCTCATAAACAGCCGACATTAATATTCACAGTCGCAGTCAAGGTCTTTTTCGAAGAACAAATACAAATACTCTTCTTAATTAATATACAATATCTTCTAGAATGCAAGTCATTATCAAGAAAATATGCAATTTAGTAAATGCAACTCATCCAATTTTTAAAGTTTTAGTCAACAAAATGTAAATAGTATAATTCATACTAATGCCCTGTGACTTTAAACTATATCATAAGGAAAAATATAGTATGCAGTGCTTCACAGTTTGTCTATGTGCATACAGGAGTTTAGCTGTGTGATCAACTTGTGATACAACAGTTTAACTGTGTGATAACTCGTGATACAACAGTTCAGCTGTGTGATAACTCATGATACAACAGTTTAACTGTGTGAGTGAGTGAGTGAGTGAGTGAGTGAGTGAGTGAGTTGGGTTTAACTCCACATTTAACAGTATTCCAATTATATGGACTGTGTGTTTAACTGTGTGATAACTCTTGATACAACAGTTTAGCTGTGTGATAACTCATGATACAACAGTTTAGCTGTGTGATAACTCATGATACAACAGTTTAGCTGTGTGATAACTCATGATACAATAGTTTAACAAGGGGTTGGACATGGACATGGGGATAAAGTGAGTGAGGGAGTGAGTGAGTGAGTGAGTGAGTTGGGTTTTACCCTGCTTTTAGCAATATCACGGCGGGGGACACCAGAAATGGGCTTCACACATTGTATCCATGTGGGGAAACAAACCTGGGTCTTCGGGGTGGTGAGTGAACGCTTAAACCACAAAGATACTCCACCCCCTGCAATTAAAGTGGGGAAGGGGGGGGGCAATCACATTAAAGTTAGATCTGTTACTCCCATACGGTACCTCTCTGCGTGATAATCTGATAATCCTAAACTTAGGATTCATGGATTCTGAGCCAATGAGATGTGAGTTTTCTAAAACTGTCCATTTTTTTACAACCTTGGTTTGAACATTTTGATTTTAACAAAAGAAACCCACAGAGTACACATATATTCCTTTGGATGGTATTCTCTTTTAGGTGCGATGTCATGGCACTCAGAAATGAAAGGGTGATTAAATTAACCACAACAACAATAGCATGGCCTTTTTTGTTTACATTTGTAACTGTCAGTTAAAATGTGTTTACAAGATACAGAAAGCAGATATCCTTCCTTCACTCATACCGAGAATTTAGATGCCTCAACACTGTTTACAAGATACAGAAAGCAGATATCCTTCCTTCACTCATACCGAGAATTTAGATGCCTCAACACTTAGTGGCTGGTTAGAATGATCACCTGGGGCTGTTTTAAAAGCGATCATAGCGCTATGACTACCATAACTCCTATACTTTAACATAGACTTACTATGTCTTAGCGCTACAATCTCTTTGTGAATCGGGCCCCTGATACAACCTCCTATTGCTGGGTTGTCACACAGAGAGGTATTATTTCAGAGTAAAAGATTTCATCTCAATGGGATTGTGACATCTACTCACAGCAAGATCATTGTTGAAATCATGATCACTAACAAAAGTCACAGGTCGAGTTGGGTCAAGGACTTTAGTGTGACCAATCACTGACCTGGAAACAAATAATCAATAAATATTTAACTTACAGCCTTATCACTATAATAGTCCTCGCTACACACAAAGGTCACAGGTCGGGTTGGGTCAAGGACTTTAGTATGACCAATCACAGACCTGGAAACAAGGAATAAGCAAATGTTTGACTTACAGCCTTATCATCATTATAGTGATGGTTACACACAAAGGTCACAGGTCGAGTTGGGTCAAGGTTCTTTGTATGTCCAATCACAGATCTGAAGAAGGAGATTTTGTTGGGACATAAATGTCATGAAGAATGAACATGTAAAAGGTGAAGGTCAAAGCTTGTAGTTTGATAAAAACATCAAAATATGTATCCTAGTATTTCGCATATTTATTGCATATTAATGTCATAATGATACATCAACATGAATGAATAACAGGTAAAGTGAAGGTCAAAGCTTGTAGCTGGATAAAAAGATCAAAATACCTATCCTATTTTTTCAATATACCACATATTTATTGCATATCAGCTTTAAAATGATACATGCAAAAGGGCTAAGTAATAGGCAAAAATAACATATGCAAAATGACTTTCAGCCAGGTGAGCTAAAAGCAAATATTTTCAATAACTAATATGTTTTGACATTTTTTTTCAGTTTTACAAAATTTAGGGAAATCAGAAAGTATAAATTGGTAAGGGCCCATTCCACAGAGTGACTTTAGAGCTACGACCATCGTGTATGTCAAAGTAAATGGGTGCGGTGGTCATAGCACTAAGATCACTTTGTGGAACAGAGCCCTTGTTCAGCAGAAGTTTGTGTTATGTTAGTATTAGTTGTTAGGTGTATAGTTTCGTCAACCAGAGGTCTTGTTACATGTATTGTATCTTGTTCTCAGTTAATTAAGTGTCCACCTAGAAGCACGTCGTCTTGTGTCTCTGTTCGTCCCATTGATGTCCTTGTCTTGTTTTTTGTCCAGTCTCTTGTCTTGTACAGATAATAATATTGTAATGTGTAATTACACAATATACAGCTTTTCCTTTTGGCAAGAGGTCCGTCACACAACCGCGAAATTGACGTTCATGAGTATATGTTAGACACAATTTGACGTTCATACGTTTTGCACTAGACGGTATTCTTAAAATGACGTAAACACTGACGATCTACTTACATATTCCTTGGGGAACCCCTGGGAATTCCCTTGCACTAATTCATAGAGAAGCGTTTTTCTGATCATTTAGACCCTTTAATCTTGAAATCAGTGTTTTAGCACACTTTGAGAAACATCAGTGAGTTTTATTGCATGATCGTTTATGAATATCCTTGCTACGACCCATCCTAGTCAACAAAACGACGAAATTGACATCCAAACTATCGTAGTATCGACTCGATCCATGTCTAGAATGACAGTGACAGTCTACAACAATCTACGAATTTAACTTAGTATCTATTTACGCATCTTTAAAACCACCTTTCAATGACTGGCCAATTAATCAAGGATGACCAACATAGGTAACTGCCACAGGTTCATTAACAACTTCAGAAATCTCTCCAGTCACATTTATCGTGTAGGCCATTTTGACATCTTGTATTTGATGTAAATTAATTACAATGCGCTGTCATTCTGACTGACTTATTGAAGTCCTTCTTAACAGACCTTTCTCATCAAATGATGATGTTATTTGAATACATTACTTGTAAACTAACTACAAGACATGTTCCTGTAGAGCAAGTTGAGCATACATACGCTCACGTTGCCTCTCTTTTTGAGGAACTATTTTATTCCGCAGTACAGCTGGTTGTTGTATGGCTGTCAGTGTAAACAAAGTGACACATAATAAAAAATAATTGTGAATAGATGTGAGTCCTATGTCATTCCAGGTAAAAAATAGTGATACAAAAAAATTCAGAATTGACTTTCAGTTTGTGTGAGTTCATTGGAGCAGGAACCTTCATCATGTTCATTGAATGAAGGCCAAACTGTACGAACATCGTCTCAAACTCAGACATTTATACAATTTGGCCCTCACTCTATGAAGGTTCATACTCCAATGAACTCACAATAAATGAAAGACAATTCTTAAATGGATGTAGAAAACTTAAACACGGCAGTGCCCTGGCGTAAAATAAGTTGCTTACTTGAAGTAGGGTGCAGCAATGTCCTTGCTAGTTGATGGTTCGTTGGCCACAGACCAGATCATGACAGAGGGTCGGTTCTTGTCCCTCCTCACCAGCTCGCCCATCACCTCCAGGTGGTGAGACAGAGACTCATTGCTGAAGTTCTCATCCCTGAATAACACACCAGTCATCCCTGAATAACACATCAGTCATCCCTGAATAAAACACCATGCAGTCATCCCTGAATAACACACCAGTCATCCCTGAATAACACACCAGTCATCCCTGAATAACACACCAGTCATCCCTGAATAACACACCATGCAGTCATCCCTGAATAACACACCAGTCATCCCTGAATAATGCCTTGAATGCTTTCAAAAGAGCTTTGCACACTCTCCATTCCCTGTGAGCTTATTTAGGATTTACTGATTTACCGGTCCAATAAATTAACAAATATTTCGTAAAATTTTGTACATTGGTATTGCAAGTGATGTTTGTTGTTGCTACCACCTACGAGGAAATGCCGACCCCCGGGCTCTCATCAATGACCATGACACCCTGTTGATCAGCCTGATCCATGATCTCCTCGGCGTACGGGTAGTGGGAGGTCCGGAAACAGTTGACCCCCAGCCACTTGATCATGTTGAAGTCTTTCGCTATGAGGGCATAGTCCAGGCCTTTCCCTCGAATCTGCAAAGGAAATTGCAAATTTTAAATTAAATTGTATATTCATACATTTATCCTATCTCATACTAAGCATTTCTATCTTCTTCTTTAGATTCTTATGTGGAAACGTGCTTGAACAAAGTTTCCAGATTCTGAAAACATTTCTCCCGAACACATCCCAGGATCACCATGGTCACCACCCAAACAAATGGGTCACGCACTGTAATTCTGTGAGTGTGACCTTTTATGATTTGATAACCTGACCACCCCTGCCACATCATTCTCTTCCTTAAGAGCTGACAGGCTAAAGGAACTGGCTTCCTTACATCTGAGTCTTCATGTTTGGCAGCTCCGTGGCAGTAGAAGGGCTTGTTGTTGATCAGGAGCTGAGTGTCGGTCACTTGTACGGTGCGGATACCAACTGGCAGCCTGTACACATCCATTCCAGCTGAAGAGGTCAAGGTCATCTGAAGAAAGGGGAAGTCGTTGTGAATATCAGAAGCTCAACACTGATATTAGACATCCAAGGTTGCAGTGATATAAGTTAACATATTCAATAACAATGAAATATAGAGGCACAAGATACAGTAATAATGAGGCATTCACTACAGTAACCTACCTTCAGTGTGTAGAGATAGGCATTCACTAGAGTACCCTACCTTCAGTGTGTAGAGATAGGCATCTTGGTGTAAAGGTACCAGAGATAGGCATTCACTGCAGTACCCTATCTTCAGTGTGTAGAGATAGGCATTCACTAGAGTACCCTACCTTCAGTGTGTAGAGATAGGCATCTTGGTGTAAAGGTACCAGAGATAGGCATTCACTGCAGTACCCTACCTTCAGTGTGTAGAGATAGGCATTCACTGCAGTACCCTACCTTCAGTGTGTAGAGATAGGCATTCACTGCAGTACCCTACCTTCAGTGTGTAGAGATAGGCTGGAGAGTCCGGCATCATGGTGTAGGGGTACCAGAGGTTGGGATTAGCCACAGACACACTGCCGGCAAAGCTGGCCGAGGTTCCCACGACGTTCCCATCCCTGTCCTCCACTTCCACCTTGATAGTGTTGCCCTGCGTCGATCCACCTGCCACGATCTGGTAGTTGACAATACCTGTAATTAAATATCAGTCATGTATGGAATATTATCAAGACTTGTAACAAAATCCAACTATTCCACCATCAAGATGTCGTCTTGTAAACACCAATACAAGTTGGTCAGCTGTTAATAATACATAGTGTTCCACACAAAGTCATCTGTTTCTCATGCCACAATGACCATGTTTACATTTTGGAGTTACCGTATCAAACCCACTGGCAGTCGTAGACAGATCTGATATTGTCTCTAAAGACGTATTTGACCGAAAAATGGAACTCTGTACCTGTGACCTTGTAATGCTAAAATTTGTGAGACGTTTCACCAGTGGGGAGTACAAGAGTGAACGAGCCACCCCAAACTGGGGTTTTGGGTGGTGGTGGGGCAAGAGTGTCCAGTGATATTTCTGTCAGTGCTTCAAGACAAACATTTTTTTCTCAGGAAGAAAGAACCGAACAATGTTTTTGTGACCAACACAATATTTTCTGAAGATCCAACATTTACAAATAACTATTTACTTTTTTTTGCATCACGACAGATGATTTTTTCCTGACATTCGAGAATAGGTAATTTCAGCAAAACTATTTAAAGATTGAATGAAAAACATTTTTTCTCTAAACAGCGCCATACCTTTTCCATTATTGATGTCTGTGGTGACTGTCACATCATCTATGTACGCGGTCGGGGTCGTGTACAGGCGGACGTGGCGATGAATACCAGCATAGTTGAAGAAATCCATCTGAAGGTTCTGAACAAAGTACCCAGCTGGATATCTGCAATACAGGAGTGAGTGAGTGAGTGAGTGAGTGAGTGAGTGAGTGAGTGAGTGAGTGAGTGAGTGAGTTTGGGTAGGTGGGTGAGTGAGTGAGTGAGTGAGTTTGGGTGGGTGGGTGAGTGAGTGAGTGAGTGAGTGAGTGAGTGAGTGAGTGAGTGAGTGAGTGAGTGAGTGAGTGAGTGAGTGAGTGAGTGAGTGAGTGAGTGAGTCAGTCAGTCAGTCAGTCAGTCAGTCAGTCAGTCAGTCAGTCAGTCAGTCAGTCAGTCAGTCAGTCAGTCAGTCAGTCAGTCAGTATTTTTGCAGGGAACACCAGAATGGGCTTACACGAAAATTCTATACCTGATTATGTTCTAATTCTGTATCGATTTTCAAAAAAATAATGTTTACAAAATTTTACAACAACAAAATGATATGTATTACCTTACCACTGATCAGGAAACATAATGCTAAATTTATAAATACTATTAGGCCAAATGCAAAGCTGTTTCAGTAACCATATTATATATCGCATTGTCAGGTATAGAATTATGATACATCAAAATATCAGAGAATTTTTGACACCCCAATGTATATCTCTTGGTTGAGATTTTTTTTGTTTCCTGGTTTATATTTATATTTTTTGTGAAAATTCTTTGTTGGCAGCTGGGAAGAACATATTACCAAAAAATCATTTCATAAGATATTTTTTTCTTCCTCTGGATGCCATGCACAGAAGTACCTAAAAGAAACTTACAATCACAATGACTAATTCTTTCAGTTCTATACCACAAACAAATCACGTATCAAATTACGGTATGACAAATCTTCATGTTCATTAAGCTCTGTTCCCAGGACCTTGTGCTTTCTGATGAGATGATTCTAAAATAATTCAAAATTTTACTTTTTACCTTATTCTAAAATTTGTGGTATGATCAACCCTCAATCCCATTGCTACAATTCATAACCGAGTATCAGATCCCTAAACCTGCGGTTTCTCCGAAGAATAATTTAAGAGAGTTTTCACGGTTTGATTAATTTTTTTTATTTTTTAGTAAAATAGAACAACAAATATATTTAATGGAAAGAACAATAACGGAATTTTCAGGCTTATTCCTTCAGCCAGTTTGTAGAAGAATGACAGATGGACAGGCGATCAACAACACGCCATTCCATAGGTAAAACAGTGGGTACGACTATACTCACTTTGTGGTGTCTGTCTCGTATGTGATGGTGCCAGGGGGAAGTGTGTGGGGGGTGAGAGTGTTGTTCACGGCAACGGTCAGCAGGTTGCTGCCAGCAAAGTTGAGATATTTGTTGATTTCTGCCTCAAACGGAAGATGGCCTCCGTTGTGCTCCACAACCTTCTGCGAGTTGACCCACTGGAAAAGAGTGTTTGTTGGTTAACATTGAACAATATTCCAGCTATGTCACACGGCTGTAGGGGGCACGGGTGACCCAGTCGTCTAAGGCGCCACGATTCGCTGTGCAGAGTTGCGTCCCTTGGGCAATCTATTTGAAACCTATGATTGTGGGTTCGAATCCCGATTCGCCCCGATTATGTTTCTAGGATTGTCAGTACCATACCCGTGCTCCTGGGTTTCACCCAAGTGGTAAACGTCTGAGACCTGCATCACTTCGGGCTTTCCTCCCACATTAAGCTGACATGCCACGATATAACTGGAATACTGTTAAAAGCGGCGTTAAACCAAACGCACTCACTCACACGTCTGTAAATGATCAGCCGGACCAAGGTGCCGTTGTACATAACAACCTTAGAGACACGACTGTCGTAAGTCTATGTTAAGGTATGGGAGTTACGATCACCTTAGGGCTAAGATCGCTTTTACAAAGTCACCCAGACAATAAAGTGATTCATATTGTGATCAATGAATAATGTGGTTGGGGGATAATAACACAATCAACCAACTCACTGAACCTGACAAACTCCCCCTCACGACCAGCGTGGGGACCAATTCGAACCCGAAATCCCCACAGTGTTGGAATAGTGTGAGTAAGCTGGCCCCACTGCCTTCAATAGAATTTAGTTACATCACAGAGTGATGTGAAACAAATACCAAACCCAAAAGTCTTACATGTTTACCACTTTGGTGAATATGGTGCTGACTATCCAACACATAATTAGGGTGAACTGGGATTTCAACCCATACTGGAAAAAAAAACATGCAAAAAAGTGAGTGACAGAGGGAGGGAGAGGAGGGTGCGAGCTTTTTATACCACTTTAAGCAATATTCCAGCAATTTCAACTCCAGAACTGGCTTCACCTGTTGTAACTCTGTATGAAATCCAACACATGATAATCCATAATTTCTTGTAGTTCGTATTCTCTTATCACTCTGTACCCATGATTCATTTATCCATACATCAGTTACTCTGTATGATGTCAGAGGGAACACTATCATATGGATAATCAGGTCAGGTGGTGAGGTGAAATGGGGTTACTGTTGCATTCAAGCATGTGTCCATGTATACTTCTACTATAGCGCTAGCCTACTGAGATACCATGCCGCATTTAACGTTAATACCCCACTCAGACACTGTATACTGACTCCGAGCCAATCAGTCCTGGTTTCATCCGTTAATGCTGAGCGCCAGGCAGGGTAACAACAAGTACCATATTTTAACATCTTTTGGTACATTGCAGCCAGAGATCCCCTCTCTGGACAGACGCTCTACCACTAGAGAAAGGAAGCCGTCTGTGTTAACTGAGTTCCACTGTATTCAATACAGTCCATACATTGATGCCAGTTCATGGATGTATCTCTGCTGGAACGCTACAACACATACTAGTTGGAGGAAAACTACTTACCACCATGGCGTAGTAATGGGCACTGCCAAAGCGAAGAACGACTCGACGGTTTTGCCAGTCCTGAGGTACAAAGAATGTGCGGTCATACCACACCCAGCCGACAAAGTCTCGAAGAGCCTTATCCTGGCCGACATCATTGTAGCTGGAGGGTACAGGCATGGGAATCACGGGACCTGTCTGGACACACGAAAGAGATATTGTCAAGGATTAACCCTGTGGCAGGGATGTATCTTGACCTGCTCAGAGGCTGATATTCAGCCCCAAGTCTGCAGCAAATGTCAGTCAAAATTCCCCAAATAGAATTAAAAGTTTGCCAATTCATGTTACCATATCTGTACCAATTTCATGGCTTTGTACAAATAAGCTGTATTTCACTAATAGCAGGCGAAAAAAATAGGAAGAGGTTGTCATACTCAGTTATATATTACTGCATGGAATGCAGTCTCAAAATACAATGTTAAAATATGTTTATTTTAATTCATGTAAAATATGAGCATAAAAAATCCCAATCTTGAACAAAGTAGCTTTTTTTTCCCAATTTGCCAGCCAGGGGCTTATAGTTTAAAATCCAAGAAAAAACCCTGCTGGGGACCCTAGTTTAATACTTAGGGGGTTTCAAAGCATTGTCTAGGATTTTAATCTTGTAAGCAGTTTGGGAAAAAACTATCATATTTTTGGAACTGGAATTGTTAAAAGTTCTGATTTTCTTAAATTCTGAAGTATGGTATCATCTTATTTTGAGATAATAATATATAACTAAGCATTAAAACTTCTTCCTATTTGTTGGTCCTGTTATCAGTCAAATACAGGTTGTTTGTACCAAGTCATAAAATTAGTTATTAGTTATTATGAGAATAGCAAAATTAATAATTAATAAGCTGCAATTGATTTCCAAAAACCTTTTTTGTTCGGTACATCTTCATTAAATGCAGCCGTCATGAATACATGAACTTTAGTGCAGTGAATAATGCAGAAGGGTGCTACATCACACCTACTGTAACATTGACAGCTACAGCTACATATTGAAACAGGCAGATATATAAATACCCCACGAGAACAAAGAAAATGTAACATGTGTAACTTAAATGAAATAGAAGATGTCCATTATATTTAGAACTAAGAATAAAATACTTACCAAAATACTATTACAGTGAAACAAACATATGTAAATTTATAAGTTTATTAAAATGTGAAAGAACAGAGGTTGTAAAGAATTTATCGATGTTTATTTACCATGCTTTTGTCCACAGAAATGAAATTGTTAACTGTTAATTAAATACTATCTATGCCAGAATAAAATGAGCATATTTATGGTTGTCATGATGTATATATGTGGGAGACAATTTATTTCAATTTGACGTTCTATTGTTATGATTAATTATTTTGAATTGTATTATGTACTAAAGGCCTGTGGCCTCTTGAGTACAAAATAAAGATTGATTGATTGAGCACTGTTGTTGGCTCATGCGACACGTTACAGAGTTTTAGAGTAATTGAGTTTTTACTCGGAGGTTTCTATTTTAATTTGGTTACACATTTATTACATTTGTCATTGGGTAAGCAAAATTTTTTCACTCATCTTTTCATCACTCTATTGGGTTTTTCCCAAAATGAGCTAACATTTTGAGATTTCAATCGAAATATAATAATGTTTTAGATGTATATAAGGGTTCTAAATATAGGCTTGACTCGGAAAGTAAATCAGCTCATAATTGTGTTTCAGATATTAGCTGTTGTACCCATGCTGAAAAAAGCTTCATTGGGTATTTACGTTTGCTGTTTTATACATTTGAGTTTTTCATTTAATGCATGCATTTCTGTATGCAAGTTAATTGAAAGTTATTGCAAATATTACAGTTATACCACAGGGGCCTGTAGTCAGCAATATTACAGTTATATAACAACAGTCTGTAGTCAGCAATATTACAGTTACACCACAGTGGCCTGTTGTCATCAATATTACAGTTATACCACAGAGGCCTGTAGTCCGCAATATTACAGTTATATAACAACAGTCTGTAGTCAGCAATATTACAGTTATATCACAGTGACCCGCTGTGTAATCAGATGTTGCCATCACATGGTTGATAAAACAATGATGTCAAGGTTTGCTACCTCAGACAAGTCCGAAGCTTTGTCACAGTAAGTAGCAGCTGTGAAACTGAAGCTACATTGATTAAAACTGGCGTACATTATGACTCCACCATGATACCAGTATCCCAATAATAAACACATATTTTTAAAACCTTAATTCCACTGTTTTGTCTCCTATCTCAGGGACTTAAGACTTCAGTCCATCCAAAAGTAAGGCATTTACGTCCATTTATTAATATTTTCTTCATTGCTTTGTTGGTTGGTTTGTTGTTTAACGCTGCACTCAGCAATATTCCAGCTATATGACGGCGGTCTGTAAATAATCGAGTCTGGACCAGACAATCCAGTGATTGATATCTTGAGCATCAATCCACCCAATTGGGATACAATGAGTGAGTGAGTGAGTATGGTTTTACGCCGCTTTTAGCAATATTCCAGCAATATCACGGCGGGGGACACCAGAAATGGGCTTCACATATTGTACCCATGTCAGGAATCGAACCCGGGTCTTCGGCGTGACGAGCGAACGCTTTAACCACTAGGCTACCCGACCACCCCGGGATACAATGACATGCATCAACCAAGTCAGCGAGCCTGACCACCCAATCCCGTTAGCCGCCTCTTACGACAAGCATAGTCGCCTGTTATGGCAAGCATGGGTTGCTGAAGACCTATTCTACCCCGGATCTTCATCATTGAGAAACAGAAACACTTTGCCATTTTTGTATCATATCGTTCATGTTTGCTTTAGTGGAGCCCACAATCACTAGTACTGTGTTGACAGATCGTGAAAGTTTCATGTCAATTTTGCAGTGTTGCCTTCTCAGTCTAGTACAAGTTGAAGTTGTAGCAAGATCAATATTTCTAATCCATAATTCATACATTTACTATTCAATATTTGTGATAAATCAGTGTGATATACATACTTATTTAATTATTTGTCATATACAGACCATGTAATCTAAATTAATGGCCTATTGTACCTACATAAGTTTGCCAGTAGAATATTACCAATAATTATCTTTCATAATTCATTTGATAATCACACAATCTAAGTTATCTATACAGAGAATTCATACTCAATTAATTCTTTCACTTCTCTTTCTGTTTAAACTAGTTTATACCATCTTTTAAAATATCAACCAAAACACACTGGCTTGAAAAAAATCGAGTAATTTTTTATAACTGGTTGGTGGGGCTCAACAACCATGATGACATGAACAAAAATAATACCATTAAATGTCATTCAAAGACTAAATATAATACTGTTGCATTATTGAAATGTATCTATGTCTGTACACTTACAACTAGGGCTGGGGACCCGTGAAGATCCGGGGTAGAATAGGTCTTCAGCAACCCATGCTTGCCGTAAAAGGTGACTATGCTTGTCGTACAAGGTGACTAACGGGATCGGGTGGTCAGGCTCGCTGAATTGGTTGATGCATGTCATCGATCCCAATTACGTGGATCGATGCTCATGGTATTAATCACTGGATTGTCTGGTCCAGACTCGATTATTTACAGACCGCCGTCATATAGCTGGAATATTGCTGAGTGTGGTGTTAAACAACAAACCAACCAACCAACTAGGGCTTGGACGAGTCCAAATTTACTACCCGGGTACCCGATCCCCTATTACCCGACCCTACCCGGGTCCCCACTGCAGGTCTCAAATGCGAACATTAACGACTTGTAGTGTAACCACTGAGCTACAGTGAGTTTTTGTCATTAAACAATATATCACGTGACTAACCACAGGTCCGGGTAGTCCTGTGGGTACCCGGGTCCTACTCAGGACCCAGCCGACTCAAGTACCCGAATCACACATCCCAGCCCTAACCCCCTTCTTCTAACTTCTTCATCTACCCATGAATTGTAAAGGTTGGTTGTTATACGGACTCATTAAGTATATACCGTCTACGACGTAATAAGTGCCCAGGGCGCTCTCAAAATTAGAAATAGGGGGCTCTTATTAGAATATTATTTTGGTGAAAAAAGGAGAGTTGAAAGATTGTAAATTTCATAGTTTATGCTGACAGCCTGAAATGTTTATACGACAGATATACTTTTCCAGAATTAAATTTCCCATAGTTAAGGATGCATAAAACACACGAGTGCATATTACACACGATTAAATATGTCTTGTGTACATTGATCAATCGGAAGGGGTGCTAACTGAGATTGTTCACTAGCGTATATATTAGCAAATAGGGCCGTGAGTGCCTATTAGAGCGGAACGCTTATTACATCGAATACGGTATATATATGTGATATTCAATGGGATATATATATATATATATATATATATATATATATATATATATATATCACTGTATTATTGTACCATTATATGATGTCAAGAGTGAGTGTGATAAACACTGGTATAACATGGTGATGTATTCCAATATTTGACAACAGTTAGTCATGCCATATGCCAAGGTGTTTAACTGTGTTGAAAGTCAGTACTTACTGCATGTTTAACAAGGATATTCCATCATAATTATAATACACTGTTACACATATTAAAGTCAGTGAGGTTATTGGATTTCAACATATCACACTACTGTACCACAAAGAGGTCAGTGTTTCACTTCATGGGGGTGGGGTGGGGAGTGGTGTGTATTTTTGGTGGTTTGAGATCAGCATATTTTATACAAGTCTTTGATAGGCATTTAGAAGTTGGAAGAACATGAATACATGACACTGTTCATGGACAGCAACTTCTTGTATTCTTTGTCACAATGTTTCTGAGCTACTTCCTGCTCCTTCATCAGATGAATCATTCACCTGATGAAGGAGCAAGAAGAAGCTCTGAAACTGACAAAGAATTAAAGAAGTTGCTATCCATCAAAAATGTCCTGAATTCATATTTTTCAAAAAAGTGTCATGTATTCATATTTTCAGTGCTTGATTACCTTTCCAACAAAAACAGGTGCTCAATTATTTTTTTTAAATAAATAAAAATAACAAACAGTATTCTTTAGACACTTGACAAGAAAAGGGCACATTATGTTTTGTTCTTACAATGTGATGTAATTTGTTTCAGTAAAATATGGGTTTGAGTATTTTTTAACAAAAAAGAAATCCTCCGCCCCTCCCACCTCCCTTGGAAATCAAATGGTCGTTCCTGAAAGATACATTACGGAACTAAATGAAACTGTCACATATATCTATGAGTAAGAAAACTATGAACTGTACTGTTGCAATATCCATTTAGTTTATTCAAATCTCTGCATCCTTCGATGCACGATATGGGAAGGACTCGTTTCAGTGTATTTATTATGCTGCGTTAAACAACAAACAAGCTTCCAAAATGTTAAACGTAACTACAGCATCAAAAAAATTCATTAACAACATTCAAAGGAAACATTTTTTTGCATTTTGAAGACAAATAATTGAAACCGAAAATAAACCTAATGTCGTAAAAAAATACCAAAGTTTACAAACAAGAAGGAACTCACTTTCGCTAGAGGCTGAGAGAACCAGCCCCCCTTCAGCCCAGCGTCCCTGGTGGGGGACATATCGGCACGGAAGTTCCACATTCCATCCAGGTTCTTCACCTCCCGACTCTCCGAGTCCCGGGGGTAGAGCATCCCTACCCCCACAACGCCTGTGACACACAGGATCGTTACTGCAAACACGCCCAACACGCCTGCCGACATTTTGACTGAATGACCACGTGACTCTCACATGACCGACTGTTTCTCTCGCCAGTCAGGACAGTTTATATATTCCCTGATGGGGTAACTAGGTTAATGGGCGATATGATAGCCAATCCAATAAGCCGATAAACTAGGTTACTATATCCACGTTTTTATCTATGTTTTTGCATAAACAGGGAGAATACGGAGCAAAGATCGACCCTATCCCTTCGGATGTATAAACATTAATAATACAACCCTGTTATCCCCAGCAGGTGTTCAATGTTAGACATTCCAAGATATGTTAAATGCTACCATTCAGCGTAAAAAGTACTAAATGAAAAGTTCATTGTGCTTCATTAAATTACTGATTCATTAATTATTCACAGACTATCTTCGGCCATTTGTCTTCAATTAGCTACAGTAAACTACGGTTATAACGAACTCAAAGGGATCACTAATTTCTGTTCGTTATAACCGTAGTTCGTTATAAGCATTTATACAGCATATATACAACAAATGGCAGGGACCAAAAATAAATACGTTTTATCCGTCTGTTCGGGATAAGCGTGTTCGTTATAAACGTAGTTTACTGTACAGTGAAAGTGGGTGAGTGAGTAGAGTTTTACGCACGCTACGCCATTTATCGCAATCTCCCAGCAATATCACGAAATAGGAAATTAACGTGTAATCGGAGGTACATATGGCACACGCTTGAAATAAAAGTATCATTCAGACGCCAACGAACATTTTTACGCAATTCATGAAAAAATAATAATCGAGTGAGTGACGCAATGAGGTAATTAGTATGTTTATTGTTTTACGCCGCAATCAGCAATATTCCAGCTATATGGCGGCGGTCTGTAAATAATCGAGTCTGGACAAGACAAGCCAGTGATTAATATCATAAGCATCGATCTACGCAATTGGGATATGATGACATGCATCAACCAAGTCAGCGAGCCTGACCACCCGAGCCTAGCCGCCTCTTGCGACAAGCATAGTCGCCTTTTACTGCAAGCATGGGTATCCGAAAACCTATTCCCTACCAGGATCTTCACGGGTCGAGGCAGTTAGTAACAGAGTTGAGGAGAACTTGGGTTTAAGGTCGCGTTCAAGATTATTGCACTTAGATAAATTTATAGGGACGTGCATACATGATATTGGCTGTTTGTACCAGTCCGGTCGTCTGCCGTTTTTAGTGCCAGCCAAGACTAATGCTTATTTAAACTTTATAATTTTAATAGAAAGAACAACCTACATTTAAATTGAAAAGGAGCCCCAGTGTGGAAAATTTAGATTTGCGTCATTTGGGGCTAAAGTATTACAGTACGGTCCGGGCGGTAAGGTAAATAATGTGGTTCATGGATTTGGACAGTCCTACGCCATGAGTGTGGAATGACTGGCCCAGTCGTCTAAGGCGCCGCGATTCGCTGTGCAGAGTTGCGTCCCCTGGACACGCCAGAAAACTATGATTGTGGGTTCGAATCCCGGTTCACCCCAATTATGTTTCTAGGTTTGTCAGCACCATACCCGTGCTCGTGGGTTTCACCGAAGTGGTAAACGTCTGAGGCCTGCATCATTTCGGGCTTTCCTCCCACATTAAGCTGACACGCCGTGTATAACTGGAATAATGTTAAAAGCGGCATTAAACCCAACTCACTCACTTATGTATTGTGTAACGAAAGATTTCATAGACTATATGTTCGTCTAGGATTGTGAGACAGATTAGTGCAAGGCCGCTGAGATAGCATGCAGCATTTTAACACGAATACTCCACTCGGGCACATTGTATTGACTTCGACCCGACCAGTCTTTGTTTTTATCCCGTCATAATGTTGACACCAGGCAGGATAACAACAAGTACATATGCGGATGACACACAGCTAGTATTATCTACCTGGGAGATATACATTGTTATCAACTCCTAAAGGTATAGAGAATCTCACTCCAGTATCTTCCGAGATGAAATATGTTCGGACGAGTTGATAACAGTTACAAATATCCGAGGCATGCTGAGGACGTATACTTTTATCAACGAGTCAGGATATATTGGAGATTGCAAGACCGATAACTCCCGTAGAAGCCAGTTTTGGATGATACATATTTGACATAAAAAGACACTCAGGTGTGATTCTCTATTTATATCTCTATCATGAAAATATCTCATTTTCTGGAATGGATAAATATTTAGTTGATTAAATGTAACAAAATATAATACACTCCATAGTCTACATCAGTAAGAAGACCCGTGAAGATCCGGGTAAGAACTGGTCTTCAGCAACCGATGTTTGTCGTATGAGGCGACTAGCGGGATCGGGTGGTCAGGCTCGCTGACTTGGTTGATACATGTAGCAATGTAAAAGTTACGATTTTTAAGTGATTTTAAAACTCAGGATTCGAAGCTGTGTTTTGTGCCACATTCAAGACTTGAAATAGGTCAGTGCTAAGAATGGTTTAGTTACAATATAACTGTATGGTGATTGATGCTTTTTTATCTTCGTGTACTTTCCTTTTAGATAATTCCCACAATTTCGTTTGAATTTCGGTTTTCGGTTGAACTTGCTATTAATAGCCGAGCTGACATGTTTAAATTGTCAAATGTTTGGTCAAGGTCGTCAAAGCATTGTGACTGTACGTTAGGCTTTTGGTTTCACATTGTAAGTTTTGACCATCTTGAATAGGTATTCTGCAATAAAGAACCCTTTTTCTACTTTTTTTCTAACCCGCCCGTCCCTCTCTGAGGAAACCTTGGAGATGAGAAACACACAAAGTAAGGACGCCCTTACGCTCACTTGAGTACATTCAAAATTCGTACTTTAAGTACAATCAAACTGTTTACTTTGAGTACAATCAAAATGTTTACTTTGAGTACAATCAAACTGTTTACTTTGAGCACAATCAAACTGTTTACTTTGACTACAATCATTACCTTACTTTTCGTACAATAATATGGCATTCCCCTTATTCCCCTTGACACACACACACACACACACACACACACACACATATATATATATATATAAAATAAAATAATAAAGTCCACGTTAGTCCATCATCTTTATATCAATTTCATACACAGTACTTTCGCTGTCTATTTATGATGTATGATATATATGATTTATCGTCAATGCTTACACCTCATGCAAACGCTCTGAAACTGTTACATCAAGCCTATGGAACAGTTACGTCAATTACAGAGTCAGGCTACTCTAGAGGCAGGCTCTTCTTCCGCCCGTCATGACCTGGGGTGTCCCGCCCCTCCCGACCCCAGGATACCGCTGACCTATTTTGGCGGGAGAACGACTCACTCAGCCGGGAGTGTGAATCTATTTATAGCAACATTTCGGCGTGGAACGCGTTGTACGTAAACACGAACACCGAAGTGCAAACAATAGCAGCTGTAGATGGGTAGCCATCTCACTTGTGCAGAAGAAGCACGTGGCGGTCAGTCTTCCCTGAAACACCCAAGGTGAGTCCTCTGTGGATGGCGTAGGGTATTTCCAAAACAGGCTATGCTAAGGGATGTACGGTTTGGGAGTCGGGAATGCGAAGCTACCACGCGCAGGGTAAACACGAGCGTCGATAGTGGATAGATAGACTCGGATGCTTGAGCCGACACAGGGATAGTCTGGATATTCACAAAGGATAGTACCCACGGACAGCCGATGCAATGGATGGATCGTTTGTAGTTACCATAAACACTACTCCTAGATACTTGTATGTTGATGCGTGTGAATCTGGTTTAACTGAGAATAAGTGAATTTGAAAACATTCTTGTCGAGACGCTGTTGGGTACATGTTCAAAGATATTGTCCTCGGACCTGATGCTAAGGGTATATAGTTACCTTAAACACTACTCCCAGATATTAATGTCACTGTGTGAGTGAATATATGGCTTAACGCTGTATCAGTGAATTCTACCCTTTCGTACCTGATGCTCCTGGGGTAGCTTCCGTGAACAGTGAACAAAGCGGTTTCAAATTTGCAAATCGTTTGTTTGTTTGTTGTTTAACGCCGCACTCAGCAATATTCCAGCTATATGACGTCGATTTGTTAATAATCGATTCTGGACCAGATATTCAGTGATTGATACCATGAGCATCGATCCACGCAATTAGGATACGATGGCATGCATCAACCAAGTCAACGAGCCTGACCACCTGATCCCGTTAGTCGCCTCTTACGACAAGCATAGTGGTCTCTTACAGCAAGCATGGGTTGCTGGAGACCTATTCTAACAACGACTATCGTAAAACTATATTAAAGTATGGGAGTGACGATCATTTTAGCGTACAGATCGCTGTGTGGAACGTTGCCTTGGTCCAATGTGCCAACTGCTTGTCAACAATGTCGTTACAACAAACTTGAGGATTAGATGGTTAATGTGTGTTTGTTGTTTGCTTGTTGTTTTACGCCGCACTCAGTTATTCCAGACAATCCAGCGACTGACATCATGAGCATCGATCTATGCAATTGCGATCTATGCAATTGGGATTCGATGACATGCATCAACCAAGTCAGCGAGCCTGACCACCCGATCCCGTTAGTCGCCTCTTACGACAAGCATGGGTTGCTGAAGACCTAACCCAACACTTCACAGGACGGTTAGGATGTGAAATGGCGATTTGTGAGTTGAGGTGAAATGGGGTTTAACAGCACTTTCAAAGTTATTGCACTCATACAGCTAAGTGCATGGCTGTGTGTGTGTGTGTGTGTGTGTGTGTGTGTGTGTGTGTGTGTGTGTATGTGTGTTTTGCAGGTGGTGGTGGGGTGGGGGGTTGTGGGGGTGGGGGTGGGGGTGGGGGGGTGGGGGGGGGTGGGGGTGGGGGTGTGGTGTGTGATGCTTGTACTAGCCCGGTTTGCCGGTTTTATAGTGCCAGCCCACTCAGACACAGAAGACTGACTTCGAGCCGACAGTGTTATCCCCATAATGCGAAGTGATGCAGATCTCATACGTTACCACTTTGTCGGGGCGGACCGGGATTGGAACCACAATGAGAGGTTTCTGGTATGCCCTCTGAGAAAGAAAGCGCAGGGAACATATTGGATTATGTCTGTTTGTTTGTTTGTTGTTTAACGCCGCACTCAGCAATATTCCAGCTATATGAAGGCGGTCTGTAAATAATCGAGTCTGGACCAGACAATCCAGTGATTGACATCATAAGCATTGGGATCGATGACATGCATAAACCAAGTCAGCGAGCCTGACCACCCGATCCCGTTAGTCGTCTTTTACGACAAGCATAGTCGCCTTCTACGGCAAGCATGGGTTGCTGAAGACCTATTCTACCCCGGATCTTCACGGTTTTTTTTTGGCTTATGGCTTAATATGTACTTTAAACATGTTTTTCTTATTTCAGAAGAGATGGCGCTGGTCATGCCAGACACTGGAGGATGAACAGTTCACTCGTCTGTGAAGATTGGCCGTGCCATCAAGTGTTTCGACTCTGGACCTTGTCTCACAGGGGTGTTGATACACAACACGATTCTGTCAAAGGATACGAATTGAACGAAAACGAAAAAATCACTATCCAAGGATTCATCGATTCTCGTGTACGCAAAGCAGCCCACCTCAAACTATTGCAGTGACAATGACGGCTAATCCAACCACGGCTACAGGAAACAGCATCAAACCCTTCGCTATCCGAATCATCGTCAAACCTAAGGTCGAACATAACGTCAAACTCAACGTCATTTGTAACAGGACCTGCATAAACAGTGTGTATGTTAAGGCTTTGTCAATATTTTGATAATGAGATGTTTAAGAGATATTCAGTCGCAGGAAGACGAGGAGACGTGTTCCATAATGTGATATATACACTTCGGTCTTGCCGTGAAGAAGAGCAGGAGGAAAGATCCAACTGAGTTATTCCGAACTGGAAAGGTTTTTGACAAATGAACAATGAAACGAAACGTGACAAAATGCCTGACGTCTTGTGTGACACCGACTGTAACCCCGGTGTCCATGCCGACAATGGCGGCCGGAATGTGCATTGTTTTTCTCACCAGCCTTGTCGCCAACTGTCTTGTAATTGTCGTGTTTATCCTGAGACCCACACTGCTGTCCCTATCCAACAAAATTGTTCTAAACCTCATTCTGTGCAATATTCTCACAACAATCCTCATCATGCCTGGGGTAATCATCACCATGGCAACAGGATCGTGGTTGCTGGGAGACGTGTGGTGCCAGGTGTCAGGGTTTCTTCTGAATGTTCTGTTTGGTGCCAGCAACCTGACCCTATTGACGGTGAGCGTTGACCGTTACTTCGCCATCGTGTCTCCCCTTCACTACAAGCTCCGCGTCACCCCCTCGCGGTGCACCGCCGCCCTGATGGCGGTGTGGATGCTGTCAGTGTGCGTGTCGGTGCCCCCGCTCCTGGGGTGGAGCCACATAAGCTTCCAGGACCATATGATGCTCTGCACCGTCCAGTGGTCCGGTCCAAAGGTTGTGGACCGGTACTACGTTGGGTGTATAACCTTACTGTTCTTCCTCGTGCCCCTGACGGTCATGTTATGGACGTATGTTGTCATCTTCTGTGCCGCTAGGGGAAACAGTCAACGCACGCGGCGGAACAGCGTCCTACCAGCGCCGACGGAGGACGAGAGTTCTATGCGAATGGAGCGTCGGGGAAGCGGCTCTGTGTCGACACTTCGTCGTCTGAGTTCCGGCACCATCCGGCTTGGGCAGCAGCTGGCCCAGAAACAGGGCTGGAAGGCGGCGGTGACCAGCTTCATCGTGCTGCTGTCCTTCCTGGTTTGCTGGCTGCCCTATGTGTGTGTGATAGTCCTAGAGGCGGCCAGGAGTCCAGCGACCGTGAGCAGGTACGCGGGGACGATCAGCATCCTCCTAGCTGCCATCAGCTGCACCGCGAACCCGCTCGTTTACGTGTTCCGGAGCCGGACCACCCGGACTGTGTTGACGCAGTTTATAGAGAGACAGACGGTTGTCCAGGACATTGCAGGCCAGGTGGAAAGTAGACGACATTCCGATGTGTCAGACATTGCCTCATCCTCCTTAACACTGGCTCGTACAGCGCCACCGGTGTCACAGTCCTCCACACTCACTCTCCCTGGAACTTCCACGACGTGATGATATTGGCAATATTGGTAGGTCCCGTTGTTGATATTGGTCATATGTCCCGTTAGGGATCGACCATTTGATATTCGGGAGGGGGAGAAGGAAGCTGGGACTTTGTATGGAGATTCTTTTGTTCAGCTACAGCTGCAAAACCTGATATATTTTATTTAGGATGTATGAACCTAAAATCATTTTTTATAAACACCTTGCAACAATGTATTTTTTGTGGCAGACATTTTTTTCCTTTCAACAATCTGAAGCATAATTATTTTTTAAAACATTTTCTTGGACTATATATTTTTCAATACACCCAGGGTATCAAATGGACGGTCCCTCACTAGTGTTCTCATTGGCCGTTTGTCCCGCTAATAGTGTTTCTATTGACCATTTACTTGTGTTGATATTGGCTATGTGTCCCATTACCAGTCTTGTTATTGGCCATGTTTCCCATTACTAATGTTGATATTAACCATTATCTAGTGTTTATGCTGGCCATGTTTCCGATTATTAGTGTTGATATTGATGATGTTTCCTTCCCATTACTCGTGTTCATATTGATCATGTTTCCCATTATTAGTGTTGGTATTGATCATGTTTCCTTCCTATTGTAAGTGTGCATATTGATCATGTTTCCCATTGTTAGTGTGCATATTGATCATGTTTCCTTCCCATTATTAGTGTTGATATTGATCATGTTTCCTTTCCATTAATAGTGTTTTTATTGATCAGGTCTCCTTCCAATAAAAAGTGTTGATATTGATCATGTTTCCTTCCCATTATAAGTGTTGATACTGGCCATGTTTACTTCCTATTATTAGTGTTGATATTGATCATGTTTCCTTCCTATGATTAGTGTTGATATTGATCATGTTTCTTCCTGTTTTTAGTGTTGATACTGGTCATGTGTCTCATTATTAGTGTTGATATTGATCATGTTTCTTTCCCATAATTAGTGTTGATATTGGCCACGTGTCATATCTGCATTATGCTCTGCGCAAGACGGTACAAAGAATTACTCCATTCCAACTGCAGTTATTTACCAAAAATGTCCCTCCGTGTGTGTTAGGAGGTTGTATATGGACAGTACAATCTGTTAGCCTTAACCATGTATACCCTATCAGAGGTGTAGATATTGACCAGATGTCCCAAGATGGGTGCTGATGTTTGCCATATTCTCCGTCCCAGATGTCAAGGGGTTAAGTTATGTGAAACTGGGAAGACATTAAAACTGTATCGTGTGCTCGTGAACAAAAACAATAAAAGTTAATAAAAGTGAAACTTCTCTCAAAAGCACGTGTCTTGTGTTAAATCACCATACCTTCCGCCGCACCTGAGTTGCCCAGCTAGCCTCCAGGATCGACATATTGCAGTGTAAAGAACATAGTTTGGCAACTGTCATGACGAAACAGAAGCTTTACATCCGTCCCCAGTTACAAGGCACCTGCATTATTAATCAGTTATTCTTCTCTCACATTTACGCACCCAACCCATCAGTTGCCGTACCATCTAAAGTACCCATTGAGGAAGTACTGTCACTGTACATGGTCTGAAACCCAGCTGATCCACACATGCTTTAGGCAGTGACGTTTGTTTGCAGTAAATGGATATGGAGGACCTGGTGGACCTAGAAGGGATGGAGTCGGATGTCTTAGAGGGTACCTGATGGACCTAGAAGAGGTGGAGTCGGGTGTCCCAGCTGACGTAGAAGGGGTGGAGTCGGGTGGCTTAGAGAGTACCTGATGGACGTAGAAGGGGCGGAGTCGGGTGTCTTAGAGAATACTAAGATGGTAGTTTGAAGATATATCCCTATAAACTTAACTTACGTAAACATATATTGGTTATGCAGTGGCTAAGTCGTCTAAAATGCCGCAAATTTGCTTTAAGTTTCGTCACTTCGTCGTGTCAGGATTCGACGATCGCGGATTCTAGTCTCAGATTCGCCCCGAATATAATACTGGGTTTGTCAGCAGTATACCGTGCACGTGGATTTCATCAATGGTCAATGAATTCCGTAATGTTCACCCGCATTAAACTGACAACCCGTCATCCTACCAAACTAACGTCTGCAACATTACTGACGCGGTCGTTTATTTTAAAAAGAGGAAAAATGTATTGTTTTTACTTTAAAGATATTTGATGAAAACAAACTTGTTTCATATACTACAGTTTCTTAATATTGATGAAGCTTGGAAAAATATTGTAGGTATGTCACAAGTCATTCTGCATCATTAAAGAACTGACCACGATTTTAATAATTCAGAGAATACACGGTTAAGTTCGCCAGAAAATACATTACATGATTGTGGGTTAACTTCAATATTCCTTAAAACTATCTTCTTCAGTAGAAGCTGGCTAATATCAAACTAAAGGTAGAAATGATTCTTACAACCAACGCGGGATTGGTTTAACGCCGCTCAGCTTGACGTAGGAGGAGAGCCCGAAATGACGCAGGTCTTCGACTTTAGTCTTTGGCGAAACCCACAAGAATGGGCATGGTCCTGACAAACCTCAGAACATTATCTGGGCGAATCGGGATCCGAGCCCACGATCTGAGGTTTCTGGCCCTCCCAGGGGACGCAACTCTGCACAGCGAACCGTTACGCCAACCGTGCACAGTTTTTTCGTTATTCTACAGTGACATATCTTTTTCGTTATGGCTCCAACTTTTTGTGCAGAGTGATTACAACTCGAAGTAAAATATACTACATAATGACAGCATTAACAATGGTCACTTATGATTTAAGTTATTTGTAAGATGACGAACGGTCATCATGGAGAAAAACGGCCAAAAGAACTGTTTGAGTCGTTCATAAAATGATAGATTTGAGATTGAACGGTGAGATTGAATACGTTGGGAATGTGATGTCAAGAAATCTGAGGTGACTATTATCTATATTGCACATTTGCCATATTGCTTTGCCTAAAAAGATTTGTATATGAGTGCCTTACCCAGTAACTGAGAATTGTTATATACTTATCTTTGTTTTAAAATATTAATTCTAGCTTTACACTTCAGAGATTGTTGTGTGATTCTTGTAATAGTTATTTGTGGTATTAGTGTGAACCCCTGCCGTTCATCCCACACGTAAAACTATGATGACATGAAAAGTGTGTGTCTTGGCAAGCTTGTGCATAATCATCTCAGTGAAATGTTGCCACTGATATCTACCCTTCCCTTGCGGGGGCGGTCGGGTAGCCTAGTAGTTAAGGCGTTCGCTCGTCACGCCGAAGACCCGGGTTCGAATCCCGACATGGGTACAATGTGTGAAGCCCATTTCTGGTGTCCCCCGCCGTGATATTGTTGGAATATTGCTAAAAGCGGCGTAAAACCTAACACACTCTCTCTTACCTTGCGGGAAAGAAGACTTAACATCAGTCAAACTCTATTTTACAAGCATAATAGCATTGAATTGTATTTTCGAAGAGAGTTTGATTTAAAGGAATGTCAGAAGGTGGTTTATTTGATATTGTCTTACAAAAAAATTCATTCCTATTATCAGAGAATCACGGAAGTTCCGGGTTAATGCTGCTCATTATATAATTCATTATTTGTTCTAGTTTAATCGACTGTAGGTCGTTGAAAGGCATTTAGAAGTGATACACATGGGGACGAGAATTTATGGATGTCAACTTCTTATTATGAGGAACTCAGGGTTTCGGAGTACATGCTTGCTCCTTCATCGAGTGAATGATGAATCTGTAATATTTGATACATAAAGTCATTTTAAAGTTTCAGTTTTAGGATTCAAGTGAGTGAGTTTACGCCGCTTTTAGCAATATTCCAGCAATATCACGGCGGAGGACACCAGAAATGGGCTTCACACATTGTACCCATGTCGGGAATCGAACCCGGGTCTTCGGCGTGACGAGCGAACGCTTTAACCACTAGGCTACCCCACCGCTCCTTTAGGATTCATGGAGGAATTGGGTGGTATTATAACAAAATTAATATATGAATAGCAAAAAACACTCACAAGTATCCTAGACCAATACCTACTTGACCATACAAATATAAGATTAAAGCGTAGTATTTATTCTCATATTAAGAAATGACAATGTTTATACCCGGACATCTATTTGTAAATCATGTAATATTGTGACGAGGGATCATGTAATTATGGTGGCCGCGAGAAAGCGATAAGAACAAGACGAGAAAGCGATAACACAAGACAAGAAAGCGATAACTCAAGACGAGAAAGCAATAGCACGAGACGAGAAGCGAAAGCAATAGACGATAAGGTTATAGAGCGAGAAAATGATAAAACGTGGCGAGAAAGCGATAGGACGAGAAAGTGATATTTCCACAATGCCGTACATTAAAAGGGTTTTGCTGACTTTCAGTGGTCCATTCCTATAAATATTTTACATATAGATACATAATGCTATCCGGTTGGCGTACCCGGATGAGCTTACTTTGTATTGTATTTAGCAAGATCAACCTACACTACAACGCAGTACCCTTTAACTTTATTTCGCAAAAAATCCACAGAAACTCCGTGGGTTAATCGCAAATATTTACGATTTCCTGCGAAACATAATTGGCACTTTTATGGGACGAACTATATTAATGACCCATGGGCATCGACCTGAGCGTTGTGTAGGATCATACAAGTTATAGCCACTGTTTTTATTGTCCAAATAATTATTTTGTCGGTCATCTTGAAGATTTGGTTTGACGTCGAATACTAGTACGTGCTCGTCCGATTTAGAAATGACAATTATATTGATTATGATAAATGTATATTATGCAGAAAAAAAATATACATGTACACTGCTATGTATCTCTTAAAGCATACAGATAGATTAGATCAATGTCTAAAATAAAGTCTTTTATATACGACTTTTGAGGGGGGCATTAACCCGAAAAATCATTCCGTAAACAAGAGGAATGGAATTTTTTCGTAAAATATTATTTAATAACTGATTTCTCATAATTCCTTACAATCAACAGTCTTCGGAATTCGAAGTCCATGCTAATATGCTTGAATGAATAATGTATGTTTTTATCATTTGACTGACGTAAAGTCGGCTTTCCGCCATGTGAGACAAGATATCAGTTGGACCGATTATAGAATAGGCTCTTTGTTCAAGCAGGAATGTATACAACTCTTAAGTTTTCTGAGGATCGTTTCTCAAATTCTAAGGCTGTAAGGTATGGCACCAACGCAAGCGTCGCTGTCGATGCATCTGTTGCAAAACAGGGACGATGACTGGTCTTCTGGGTCGGATTCCAGTCCCGCGAAGATGGTTCCTGACAGTCTGATCTGATATTCTCCTCAAACCAGGGATGCGTCCTGCAGCCTCCGTAGCTGTGGCATTGCGATGACGTAGGTTGAACAGTCGAATTTAGCGATCCTGTTCAGGGGTGGTCGGCCGGTTCTCGGACGGTCTGCAGTGGAATTGAACTGTGTGTATCGGTCCCAAAGGCGGCAAATGGTGCTGTGGTTGACGTTGAAGTTGGGTGCAACAGAAGACTGCGATTTCCCTCTTTGGATACGCCCTATGGCGATGTTCCGATCGGCAGCGCTGAGTCGCGGCATTTTCGAGCTTGAAAAATGTTGACAATTGAATGACAAATTATTGGCTTATGCTTGCCTTTTTATAGCAACTACCACTGGTTACAAATGCCATAACGTGCACGTGCATTTTGCTTTACTGTTTACCTTCATGACATTTTTGAACTGGTGTGAAAACAATGCCGTTTAAGACATTGCAAATCGACAATGGCTGCGTTTTGACGCACCGTTTGTCGAATATCAGGCCACCAACATTTTCCAATAACATATATCCAATTTATATACTGGATTTTTAATGTGTTAGGTTCAATGAAATACATACTACCTGTGCGTTACTTTCTTTTTTGAAGAGTGTATATTTGATAGACTTATATTTAAAATATTCATACGTTGAAATGCCAGCTAATTTAGTATCATATTAATACACTTCATACTGTCAGCAACGTTAGCTGTGTGGCCACACAGACAAGGATGTCTCTCCATACATGTGGTTAACATGTATTAACTGTACAATGGTGTTTATCAAATTTCTATATGCAAGTACACATACATGTAGATTTGTACAAGACAATAGACACAATACAAGTTGATCATATATCAAATATCGAAAGGAATATTTACGTACAAAAGCATTATGGTATTCGAACTGTAACATTATATATTACTCAAAACAAGTTAAGAACATCCACAATTATAAGAATGTGTGTTGGAATAACACCAGTCACGACAGATGAGCCATAGACATATGAAAAAATCCGGTTGTCTTTAACTTCTTTTGAATAGTATATATTTAGATTTTAACCTGAATTATTTAGAGGCGATAGCCATAACGGCCAAGCGATGGACCTATGATGTACCTAATTAGGGCCATAAATCAATCAATTTATTAGAAATTAAAAAGCCATTGTTTTAAACTCAACTGCATCTCTATGTTATGTTTTATTTGACTTTGACGTTTAATAGTCCTACAAAAGCCAGTTTAGTCGGGAGGCCGTTATTGACGTAGGAACTTTGTTGGTGACAGACAAAAATCGATGGACTTCAATTATTCAGACAATGACATTTCGGTTCAAATGGAAGGTCTAATAACGCGATACATTTGCTCAGCTAGCATCTGTTCAGCACTGCCTGTCGCCAACAGCAGCCTAAACACTGACATTGCAGTAACAGACTGTCATGGTTCCAGCCATGCGTTCCACCAAAACGTTGCTGCTGATGTCTTGTTTTACCTACCACTGTGGTGCCACTTGTACGTGGCCTTTCCTCGGCAACTTAACGGTGAATGATGCCAAATCGCCACAAGTTGTCATGAATTGCCTGAGGAAATGCCTTCAAAGATCCTGCACCTCTGTCAGTGTAACCTCTTCGGGCTGCAAGATGGCAGCAACATCCAATCCACTGGAACTTGGTATTGCACGGGTTCCGTCTGTGAGTGTGAACCTAAACATTTTTCGTTTTAAAAAATGTTTTAATATTTTTATTATTTAATTATTTTTTTTAATTATTATTATTATTATTATTATTATTATTATTATTATTATTATTATGCACACATTTATTCTTCTGATGATCCTCTTGTGAAGCATGACTCATGATGAAAGTAAGGCATTCCACAGTTTTATTAAACGAGCCAGGGATGTGGAATATAAAGTCAGTGCCAGTGATTTTGTTTATGGCTCTGTATTGCTGGACGGTACAGAAATGGGTGTAAACCAAGCCACATCAAATTGGCTTAGATTCAGTTTTTCGAGGCGAGGCTATCTGAACGACCACTGCATCGAGTTTATGTGCAGTGTGTTGAGAAGGTTGGCAACACCGCAGAGTCCTTCGCTTGGATAAGGTCGGCTGGCCTGAAAAGTGAAACAGGAGGCTTTCTGTTTGCTGCTCGGGACCAGTCACTTCCATCTCGAAACAGTAAATGCGTGATGTTGCATCAAAATGTAAATATAAAATGTAGATTATGTAATGAATTTAATGAGAATGCCCAACACATTGTCAGTGGATGCCAAGCTTTGGCACAAACACAGTGTCTTAAGCGACATGATGGCGTGGCTCGATCATTTTGTTCCGTCTTCGCCATGCTTGTGGTTTTGACACAGAGGTCCACCCATGGTACGACCCGGAATATGTAGAGGGCATCATGGAAAATGATAAATACAAAAGTCTTTGGAATAGGCCCGTGTACAGCCTCAGGCGTATCCTGGCCAACAAACCTGATCTGGTCCTTTTTGATAAATCCAATGAAATCATTAATATCACAGAATTTTCTGTCCCTTTTGACGCCAATGTGATTGACAAGATTCAGGAAAAAACATGGCAAATATGCAGACCTCACTTTCAAAATGTCACTCTTACATCCCAAGTACCGAGTTGTCCGACTCCCCATTGTTCTCGGTGCCTTAGGTTTGGTACCTACCAATCTGTTGACTGACACTGGGAGAGTACCCGGGTTTGCTACCAGGAATACAGCCCTTCTGACAATCTGGGTAATGCACAAGGCTGCAGTGTTGGGGAGTCTTCACATTCTCCGAAAAGTTCTGGGTGGCTTTGACTAGGCAGTGCTTCCTGGGAGAAGTCCCATTCCCTGTCTGGGCTGCGAACAGAGGGGGCAAGGGCCTTGAGCTGATGATGAGCCTAACCAGCCTGACTGCCAGGATCACCCACACCCTCTTTAATCTGTAAATAAAAATAATATAACCAGAAAGAGAAAAAAAACAAATACTGGAGAAACATATATGTCCCTGACCAGGCTCCATATTTCCCATTATCCCTGTCAACATGTAATTTATACAAGCCATTGATAAAATGGACCCACTGAAATAGCAAAGAGCCACAAGTACCAGAATCAGGGGCGGTGGGGTAGCCTAGTGGTTAAAGCGTTGACCCCTCACGCGCATTCAGTTTTATGGGTAAGTGAGTGAGTGAGTTGGGTTTAACGCCGCTTTTAACAGTATTCCAGTTATATCGCGGCGTGTCAGCTTAATGTGGGAGGAAAGCCCAAAGTGATGCAGGTCTCAGACGTTTACCACTTCGGTGAAACCCACGAGCACGGGTATGGTGCTGACAAACCTAGAAACATAATCGGGGCGAACCGGGATTCGAACCCACAGTCATAGGTTTCTGGCGTGCCCAAGGGACGCAACCCTGCACGGCGAATCGCGGCGCCTAAGACGACTGGGCCACCCGTGCCCCCCCCCCCCCCCCCCCCCCCCCCCCAGTTTTATGGAACCCAGTGGACTAAATCGAAGGGTATGACTTTTGTTGAAGTATTGTTGTGCTTGCCTTTCAGCGTCTCGCGGGGGCGTGTCAGGATCACCCATGCGCACCCGGCACAACGTGTGAACCACACCCAAACGGAGCATATCAATGCACCAAGAGGAAGGGTAAGTTTTGCAAACCAAAGATGATCTGACGAATTCAAGGTAAATATACTCCTGTACACAGCTAGTTTGCCTTGAAGCTCGAGTTTCAAACCAGCAAACGCATATTTAACGTCAATGCAAACGAATATAGTCAGTCAGGCAGTCAGTTGGGTTTTAACAGTATTCCAGTTATTACACGGCATGTCAGCTTAATGTGGGAGGAAAGCCCGAAGTGATGCAGGTCCCAGACGTTTACCACTTCGGTGAAACCCACGAGCACGGGGCAAAGGAATAAAGCTTAAGATGCTGAAGTTATCACCGTTCCTTCACAGAGTGCCCTTTCAAGATGAAGTTGTGCTATCGGTTCATCAGAATACGTCAGATGCCTACCCTTTTCGCAAACACTCGGTGACATAAAATGAATGGTAACACCAGACCTCATCTCTTATTTCCAGGGATCCATTAATCATTGTTTTACCTTTTACTCCATCTGTATATTCTTTCGGTAGATAATCGATTACTCTCTTTTGACCTTTTGAATTGTTAAAGTTTTGCGTCATCACTAATGAAGGATGGTACATCGTATTATGATATACATAAGGGGGAGAGGGGGGTTGGGGTGGGGTGGCAAGCATGGGAAGATAAATTCTAAGGCGAACCGTCACGGATATAAGTTAGAAAAAGGAGCGTAGGTGGTGACGCAAGTTCCGAAACAAAGCTATGGTAGCGTATAGATCGAGGGTTTTTGTTACGATAGAAAGGAGATGTAATGCACCGGGTACTTTATCCCATGTATGTATGTAGCTAGCACATAGTTGTGGCTACTTTAACAAAATAAAGGTCATGGGTCTATGGAATCAAATGAACGTAAATATACGACAACGCGAGGATATTTTAGATACAGAAGTCAACGCCAGAAATTATCAGCCAAAAAATTGGGCGTAAAAGGCAATGTAAATTACAGTAAACTACGTTTATAACGAACGCGCTTATAACGAACTGACCGATATAACGAACTTATATTTTAGTCCCTGTCATTTGTTGTATATATGTTGTATATATGCTTATAACGAACTACGGTTATTACGAACTAAAATTATGGTCCCTTTTAGTTCATTTTAACCGTAGTTTACTGTATATGATTTGATCACTGAAAATCAGTGATGACACCCCCGGGTATCGCGCGAAAGAGTAAATATATCCTGCGCTTACGGTAGCACTCAAGTTAAGAATGGTTGACCGTGGTTTTTACGTTAATGCCATTTATCAAAGTCTCTCTAGAATCTGATCTTTTACTTTCAAAGTACAAAACATGCATAAATTTAACGACATACATTCCTGTACTTTTTTTATATTGCAAGAAATATAGTCCTTCTTTATCATATTGAGTGGGTATAAATTATTCAACAAAATAACCTTGGAAATACTTTGTCTGCTATTCAGTTCTCTGTAATGACATTTCACTTGGACCAAGATAGTAATTTAAAACAAATCTACATCTCTTGTTTTTTTCTTTTCTGTGTCTTTCTTTCTTTTTCGTAAATAAGACAAAAATGCTGAACCAACTCGTCGGTTTTAAATATCGATGAGAATTATGCGATAGTGTTAATGGACTATCATGTGACATGGATATCTATAAAGGTGAGGTGAGGTGAGGTGAAATGGGGTAGCGACGTACATGTACGTGTGTGTGTTTGTGTGGCTGCTTGTACTAGTCCGGACTGATGCCGATTTATAGCGTTAGCCCACTGAGATACCATGCCGCAGTTTAACATGAATACCCCACTCAGTATACTGACTCCGAGCCGACCAGTCCTTGTTTAAGCCCCTAAATGCCGAGCGCAAGACAGGGTAACAACAAGTACCATCTTTTAACGTCTTTTGGTATGACGCGGCCGGGGATCGAACCCCGGACCTTCCGCTCTCCGGGCGGACGCTCTACCACTAGACCACGGAGGCGGTCTCTATAAGGGTAATATGTTTAAATCAAATCAAACAGACCACATTGCACTGTCAATATATACATCCCAAAGGAAAATTGTGGAAGATTACAGAAACACAAAGAGCGGTCATAGGATGGTAGTGGACGGATATGAAAAGGTAGGACGAGGTGTATCATGACAATAAACAAAAAAACAGTTGGCGGGGCATAGTGAGGGTGCAAACAAATAAGATTGACGACAAGGGTGTGCAAAAAAAAAGGGAACTTTTGAGACTAAAGCAATAAAGCGTCATACACCCACGATTATTTTGTCAAACAGTTATGCAGCCTGGCAGGGTCCAATGATTATTTGAAGGGGTCTTTTGAACTCCCCTGGCAGCACGTGGTCCAGTCCGGCTGACGTAGCGAGTGGCCAAGACGTCTCCCGATCATGCTCCAGACGTGCTCTATGGGGAAAAGGTCAGGCCTCACGGCTGGCCATTGCATTCTGGTGTTGTTTTGCTGCTGGAGGTAGCCAGTTAGGATACGTGCACAGTGGGCACAAGTGTTAAGGTCTTGAACGACACTATGTGGATCGGCATGGTGCCCAAAAAGCACAACTAGTGGCACCGCGTTGACGTTTGCATGACGTTCGTTTGGACGCGTCCAGACATGGCCACGCCTATCAAGAAAGTCCTGAATGAATCTGGACAAATCTTATAACATTACACGAGATCATCGACGATTCTCACAGTTTCTCCGCTCTAAAAGCACAACTAGTGGCACCGCGTTGACGTTTGCATGACGTTCGTTTGGACGCATCCAGACATCGCCACGCCTATCAAGAAAGTCCTGAATGAATCTGGACAAATCTTATAACATTACACGAGATCATCGACGATTCTCACAGTTTCTCCGCTCTAAAAGCACAACTAGTGGCACCGCGTTGACGTTTGCATGACGTTCGTTTGGACGCATCCAGACATCGCCACGCCTATCAAGAAAGTCCTGAATGAATCTGGACAAATCTTATAACATTACACGAGATCATCGACGATTCTCACAGTTTCTCCGCTCTAAAAGCACAACTAGTGGCACCGCGTTGACGTTTGCATGACGTTCGTTTGGACGCATCCAGACATCGCCACGCCTATCAAGAAAGTCCTGAATGAATCTGGACAAATCTTATAACATGACACGAGACCATCGACGATTCTCACAGTTTCTACGCTCTCAAAGCACAACTAGTGGCACCGCGTTGACGTTTGCATGACGTTCGTTTGGACGCATCCAGACATCGCCACGCCTATCAAGAAAGTCCTGAATGAATCTGGACAAATCTTATAACATTACACGAGATCATCGACGATTCTCACAGTTTCTACGCTCTAAAAGCACAACTAGTGGCACCGCGTTGACGTTTGCATGACCTTCGTTTGGACGCATCCAGACATGGCCACGCCTATCAAGAAAGTCCTGAATGAATCTGGACAAATCTTATAACATTACACGAGATCATCGACGATTCTCACAGTTTCTACGCTCTAAAAGCACAACTAGTGGCACCGCGTTGACGTTTGCATGACCTTCGTTTGGACGCATCCAGACATGGCCACGCCTATCAAGAAAGTCCTGAATGAATCTGGACAAATCTTATAACATGACACGAGATCATCGACGATTCTCACAGTTTCTACGCTCTAAAAGCACAACTAGTGGCACCGCGTTGACGTTTGCATGACCTTCGTTTGGACGCATCCAGACATCGCCACGCCTATCAAGAAAGTCCTGAATGAATCTGGACAAATCTTATAACATGACACGAGATCATCGACGATTCTCACAGTTTCTACGCTCTAAAAGCACAACTAGTGGCACCGCGTTGACGTTTGCATGACCTTCGTTTGGACGCATCCAGACATAGCCACGCCTATCAAGAAAGTCCTGAATGAATCTGGACAAATCATATAACATTACCCGAGATCATCGACGATTCTCACAGTTTCTACGCTCTAAAAGCACAACTAGTGGCACCGCGTTGACGTTTGCATGACGTTCGTTTGGACGCATCCAGACATCGCCACGCCTATCAAGAAAGTCCTGAATTAATCTGGACAAATCTTATAACATTACACGAGATCATCGACGATTCTCACAGTTTCTCCGCTCTAAAAGCACAACTAGTGGCACCGCGTTGACGTTTGCATGACCTTCGTTTCGTTCCAGACATCGCAACGCCTATCAAGAAAGTCCTGAATGAATCTGGACAAATCATATAACATTACACGAGATCATCGACGATTCTCACAGTTTCTACGCTCTAAAAGCACAACTAGTGGCACCGCGTTGACGTTTGCATGACCTTCGTTTGGACGCATCCAGACATGGCCACGCCTATCAAGAAAGTCCTGAATGAATCTGGACAAATCTTATAACATTACACGAGATCATCGACGATTCTCACAGTTTCTACGCTCTAAAAGCACAACTAGTGGCACCGCGTTGACGTTTGCATGACCTTCGTTTGGACGCATCCAGACATGGCCACGCCTATCAAGAAAGTCCTGAATGAATCTGGACAAATCTTATAACATGACACGAGATCATCGACGATTCTCACAGTTTCTACGCTCTAAAAGCACAACTAGTGGCACCGCGTTGACGTTTGCATGACGTTCGTTTGGACGCATCCAGACATCGCCACGCCTATCAAGAAAGTCCTGAATGAATCTGGACAAATCTTATAACATGACACGAGATCATCGACGATTCTCACAGTTTCTACGCTCTAAAAGCACAACTAGTGGCACCGCGTTGACGTTTGCATGACCTTCGTTTGGACGCATCCAGACATAGCCACGCCTATCAAGAAAGTCCTGAATGAATCTGGACAAATCATATAACATTACACGAGATCATCGACGATTCTCACAGTTTCTACGCTCTAAAAGCACAACTAGTGGCACCGCGTTGACGTTTGCATGACGTTCGTTTGGACGCATCCAGACATCGCCACGCCTATCAAGAAAGTCCTGAATTAATCTGGACAAATCTTATAACATTACACGAGATCATCGACGATTCTCACAGTTTCTCCGCTCTAAAAGCACAACTAGTGGCACCGCGTTGACGTTTGCATGACCTTCGTTTCGTTCCAGACATCGCAACGCCTATCAAGAAAGTCCTGAATGAATCTGGACAAATCTTATAACATGACACGAGATCATCGACGATTCTCACAGTTTCTACGCTCTAAAAGCACAACTAGTGGCACCGCGTTGACGTTTGCATGACCTTCGTTTGGACGCATCCAGACATCGCCACGCCTATCAAGAAAGTCCTGAATGAATCTGGACAAATCTTATAACATGACACGAGATCATCGACGATTCTCACAGTTTCTACGCTCATTGGCTTCTGGCTAGACAATGCGTATTTTCTAACAGTGGTACAACACGTGCGCGCCGAGCATGCACACCAGCTGCATTGAACATATTGGCTACTCTCTCTGAAGTCTATCTGTGTGAAGCATGTCGACAGCCCTGTGACGTTAGCCACGTTGTAGACGAGACCCATTCCGAATATAAACACAAATACTGCAATATAGCGAGACAGAGAGTACGTGTTACTGTGGATAATGACAGCAACAATACTTAATAATGATGGCGATTTGATGTCATTCTTTTAATAGACGCAATCAGGAATGACCCCGACCCGCTACCCACAAGCACGAGAAAATGCAATATCCACGTGCAATATTTCGGGTGTGTTTATTCCGTCAGCATGTCATTAATACAAGCCATTGATAGACTGCACACTTAGGACCCATTGAAATAAGAAAAGATCCTTGTACTCGGATCAGAGGCGGGTTCGATTCCCCATATGTGTAAAGTGAATGAAACCCATTTCTGGACACCGTTCCACAAAAGCGATCTTAGCGTTACGACTATCGTAAGCCAGTGTTAAAGTATGGGAGTAACGATCACCTTAGAGGTAAGATGGTTTTGTGGAACGGGGCCCTGGTGTCCCCCGACGTCATATTGGTGGTATAAACATACTCACTCACTGTTCCGATATCGACTCGTGAGGTGGTGGAATGGGGTTTAACGTCGCGTCCAAGATTATTGCACTTATATAGCGACGTGCATGTACGTGTGTGTGTTTGTGTGGCTGCTTGTACTAGTCCGGACTGATGCCGATTTATAGTGCTAGCTCACTGAGATACCATGCCGCAGTTTAACATGAATACCCCACTCAGACACAGTAAACTGACTCCGAGCCGACCAGTCCTTAGCCCCTTAATGCCGAGCGCCAGACAGGGTAACAACAAGTACCATCTTTTAACGTCTTTTGGTATGACATGGCCGGGGATCGAACCCCGGACCTTCCGCTCTCCGGGCGGACGCTCTACCACTAGACCACGGAGGCGGTCGACTTGTGAGGGATAGGAATCATTAACACATTTCTTATGCACCACGCAAGAGCGCCTCTTACAGAATACATTCAGTGAGTGAGTGAGTTAAAATTTAACGTCGCATCGGCATCATTTAAGCCATATAGCGACGACTCCAAGGAGTATTTGTTCATTTTTCAAATATTTTCCACAAAATACTATTTTATCCAATCGTTCAAATATCACAAGAATATTTTGTCAAGGTCTAAATGTGTGGATATATTTTAAGTCAGAAAAAAGTAGGGCTAAGTTTCAATTTAGAGAAAGAAGGGATGTATCAAAAGTTAAAGAAAGAAGGGATGTGTTTTAAGTTGGAGAACATTTGACTAACTGTCGGCCCCTGAATACGAATCATCTCACTCTGACGAACTTAGCCAACACATTATATATTACACATATTATGATACTGTCTCTTTATTGCAGACACCCCACGCTGCAGCAATAACTTCCATAAGACTCCAAAGTGCAAGTTCCCGGACCAGGTTAACATTAGGACGGTGCCGAAAGTCAACTTAAACGTTTGCGGGGATTTATGTGTTAACCACACTCAATTCTTATGTGGTGGATTCGTGTATGCTACCCGTTATCTCTTGTGCCGCCTGTTCCCTCATCACAAAAACCTGCTGGATTTATCCTGTACCAAGAACATTATATATGATTCATATAGACGCGATTGTTATTTTGTGTAAATATTTCTTAAGGCTTAAGTAGGCCTTGACGAACATCATGCGGAAGGACCGGTTCAATTCCACACGTGTGCAATATGTGAAGCATTTTTGGTGTCAAACGCCGTGATATTGGTGGTTGGTTGGTGTGTTTTAACGCCGCACTCAGGAATATTCCAGCTATATGACGGCGGTCTGTAAATAATCGAGTCTGGGCCAGACAATCCAGTGTTTGATATGACGAGCATCGATCCTCACAATTGGGATCAATGACATGCATCAGTCAAGTCAGCGAGCTGGACCACCCGATCCCGTTAGTCGCCTCTTACGACAAGCATAGTCGCCTTTTACGGCCAGCATGGGTTGCTGAAGACCTATTCTACCCCGGATCTTCACGGGTCGATAGTGTTGCTGAAGACCTATTCTACCCCGGATCTTCACGGGTCGATATTGATGGAGTGTTGCTGAAGGTGCGTGAAACCACACTGACTCAAAGAACTAAACCTCATGTATAATAACATCGATCTATCGATGGCCTGTGCATCAAGGCACATGATCATGCAACAAAATAATTTAAGTACCTTGAAATTACCTAATAAAATAGTTTAATGTTTTTGTCACTATTTCTATAACATGTCGCCCACAATGGAAGGTGTCAGGTTGTCACTATGTGTGACCTTTTTCGGCACGTTTTAAGATAGCTAGCCTCTTTGGTCATGATTGTAGGAGGATACGCCTACTGTGTTATACAATGTAAAGTCGTCTAATTGTGGATTAGATGTTTTTTTCTTAATTTGGAACCGAGCGCCATTATTATAAAACAAAAAAGTATCGAATCTTCAGTTAGGCTACCTTAAATTCCAAAACACAGAAGCTGTCTGCTAATTCAGATACGCGTCAGCAAAACGCGTGAACATACAGGCATCGAATCTGAGTTTCCTGATAGAGTAGAGCTAAAACTGTAGTAGTGTTACTAAATTTGACAATACTTGTTTGTTTATTTGTTTGTTGTTTAACGCCGCACTCAGTAATATTCCAGCTATATGACGGCGGTCTGTAAATAAACGAGTCTGGACAAGACAATCCAGTGATAAATATCATGGACATCGATCCACGCAATTGGGATCAATGACATGCATCACCCTAGTCAGCGAGCCTGACCACCCGATCCCGTTAGTCGCCTCTTACGACAAGCATAGAAACCGTTTACTGCAAGCATGGGTTGCTGAAGACCTATTCTACCCCGGATCTTCACAGGTATAATAATTGTTTGTCGAGTTGCCGCCTAAACTATATAGCCACACTCGGTTGAAAAAAACTAGACACTGCAGAGTGTTATTAAGCTAGATGATGTTTGCGAAAAAAAGTGCCATTAGACATTTTCTTTCGATATGGTGTTCATGATAGTGAAAACGTTAATGTGCCCGGAAGCTGGAAACAAAACTATTACCGTCAGTCATTGGTCAAGTGTCGCGATCTCGCGTTCTCTCGTTTTCGTATTTTTGTGCCAATTGCCTATACATTTATATGCAACTATTTTCAAAAACACGAGAACGCGAGATTGCGACACTTGTTTTATTTTTCAACATGATCTTCCTGCTTTTCAATGCACTTCTCATATCGACAGTGAGACTTTTCAATTCCAGTTAGGAAGACGTTTTCTGAAGCCACCCTGATAAAAACATTCATTCACGTCAGCTTTGATGTCATCGTTGTCGTCATAGCGCTTTCCACGAATGGTTTCTTTCAGTTTAGGACACAGGTTGAAATCACTTGGTGCCAGGTCTGGCGAGTATGGAGGGTGAGGAACCTCTTCGAACCCATATTGTATTACAGCAGCCTTTGCAAGTCAAGGTGTGTGAGAAGAGGCATTGTCATGAAAAAGTAGGATCTCCAGCAGTCAGCATTCCTCGCCGTATTTCTTAGATAGAATCTCTCGGGCGATGAAGCAAATCATCATAGTAGACACCGGTAATCGGCTATTGCTTTTGTAAGTTATCAACAATGATCACGCCCTTTACATCCCAGAATACAGTGGTTATAACTTTCTTCACTGATCTTGAAGACTTGAATTTCTTTTGTGTCGGAAAAGTGGAATGGTGCAATTCCATGGATTGACGTTTTGACTCGGGACCATAGTGGTAGACCCATGTTATATCACCCGTAACTACTCTTTTGAATTTGACGAAACCTCCTCAATTATCACTAAATTTTCTCTGTCAATGTCAGTTCTTTTTTCATCAAAATCAGAATTTAGAAACTTTGACATGTAAATGTCATGAATAATAGTTTCAATGGTGCCATGGCTAAGACCTGTGTCGTCCTCAAGTTCAGAAATGGTAATACGTCTATCTAACAGTATATATTTTCGATCTCCTTGCTTGAATCTTCATTGATGAAAGTTGAGGGACGGCCAGACCTAGGATCATCATCAATCCTTGTTCTCCCAGCCTTATACACGGCCGCCAAACGTTTGACAGTGGAATAGCTTTTGCACTTATCTCCATACATGCTGTCATGAATTTCTCTAAGGGAGTACTTTTCTCTAAAGTAAAAAAACCTTCATGATCGCTCGGTACTCGTTCGGGTGTTTATAAAATTGATTTTTTAATTATAATTTTTTTTTATAAAAAGGCCTCGACAAGCCTAGCATTGCATTTGCAATTGCATATTATGTAAACACAAGGACATACATGCATCTAAATTATCTGTGCCGAGTTGACTAGTCGCTAATATCATGTTTTATCACTTAGTATCCATGTACAACAAGACAGATAGACCCACTGTTTTATTGATAGCAACAACAATAATGTTATATAATCGTATCCGCGCCGACGCTTCTCCTCTTATCCGCGCATCGGGGCGGATACGGTTACCATGACATTTGATAATGGATTGGTGGCTCTGTCAGTGAAATTCGCTGCCTTACAGTTCAGTTAAGAATTGACCTTCACTTTGTGTGAGTTCATTGGAGTATGAACCTTCATAGAGTGAGGGCCAAACTGTATGAACGTCGGATCTCCAATGAACTCACACAAAGTGAAAGTCAATTCTTATAAAAAAATTTATCACAGTTTCTTACCTCAAAGGATGTAGGCCAAGATCTAAACACAATTTTATTTAGTACTTGTGACTTCAGCCATACAACAACCAGCTATATCGCGGAGTAAAATAGTTCCTCAAAAAGAGAGGTGACATGGGCGTATGGATGCACAACTTGCTCTTCAGAAACATCTTACGCAACACATGTGTTCAAATAATAACACCATTAGATGAGAAAGGTCTGTAAAGAACTACCTCAGTAAGTCAGTAACAAAGACAGCGCGTCGTAATGCATTTACATCAAGTACAAGACGTCAAAATGGCCGACACGATAAACGTGACGGGAGGACTTCCGAAGTCGTTAATGAACCTGTGGCGGTTACATGTGTTTGTCATCATTGATCAACTGACCGATTATTGAAATGTGATTAAAGATGCGTCAAAGGTAAATTTGTAGATTGCTGGAGACGGTCACTGTCAACCTAGACACAGGTCGAGTCGATACTGACGATAGTTTGGATGTGCATTTTTTCGTTTGTTCATTAGGATGGGCCGTAGCGAGGAAATTCGTGAACAATCAGGCAGTCAAGCTCTCTTACGTTTCTCAATGTATACTGAAATGCTGAGACCAAGATAAAAGGTTCTAAATGATCAGAAATAATGCTTATGTATGTTTTCGTGCTAGGGAAATCCCAGGGGTTTCCCCAGGAATGTGGAAGTAGTCCGTCAGTGTTTACGTCATTTCAAGAACACGGTCTCGTGAAAAACGTATGAACGTCAAATTGTGTCGTTCATACACTTATAAACGTCAATTTCGCGGTCATGTCACCGACCTCTCGTCCAATGGAAAAGCCGTATATCGTGTAAACTTCAAATTAAAAAATTATTTGGATATCAATTCAAGTCACTACAACTCCCTTTGCATTTTTCATATTGAATGCCTATTTATGTGAACGAAAGATACATTTCACGCACAAACCATCTCCATCTCGACCAATTTGTTTGTGTTTGTTGTTTAACGCCGCACTCAACAATATTCCATCTATCTCTATAATCGAGTCTGGACAAGACAATCCAGTGATTGATATCATGGGCATCGATCCACGCAAAACAAAACGCAGTCATGAATTTTCAATATTATACTTTGACCGTTCAAAATGGTTCAACAAATGTTCCTATCTATTCAAATTCAATTTTAATTTCGCTAATTGTTCCCATCCAGACTCATTCTACTCTCCTTGATGTATATCGAATAAATTCTTTTGGCTTACCACTTAATCAATCAAGTACGCATGACACTCGGGTTATGAATTTACCAGATTATCTTGCTGTTTCGGAAGCGACAGACCAGTATATTGAATTTTCGGCTGGGGATTTTCAAACATGTTATGGTGACCACGGAAAACACTGTCCAATTTTTCAAAGTCCGAAACCAAAAATATCGCTCACATGCGCACTTGCTTTGTTTACTGAAGACGCACAAGAAATTAAATCCTTGTGTGATACTTAATTCCGATTAAATGGGCTACGTTCCATTGCTCTCGAAATCGAATCAGGCACAATTCTTCTAACTGGAATAAAAACCATAATACTAACGTGCAAGGGTCGCATTGAGAAGCGTCCAGCTTGTCAGATTTGTATATTAAAAATTCCCTGTCCCTTTGCGTTGAAACTGGATGAATTCGACATAGACATGATAATTCATAATTGTGAGAAAAGACAACTGCTTCAAAATTATACCCACCTAATCTCTTACTTTTATCGGAATTTTTAAAACATCCATTTTAAAAAAACATTGACAGTTTACAGTCCCTTCTTAAGGATTCCGCTTTTAAGATCGCACATTTATTAATTGATGATAAAGTTTTCGATGAAATTCTTAGAAAGGACACAGAATTTCAAGTTGATTTACGCCTTATTTCTCAACGTATGAAAAAGGCACAGGTCATTTCGGATAATTTAATTGAAGGTAATTGGATGCATTCCCTTCCACGCTACGCTTTAGATGGGGATTTAACCAACCCATATCACTTAACGGCAAGCATAGCCGCGGGTTTATCCCTATTTCTCTTGATAATCGTTCTTTTTTATGGCTTAAAGTTCGACGCTTATTTTTTGCATTGACCTTACTTACAGCAGGCTCCCCAACTGACGGTTTGACAATTTGGAAAACACATCAAACTACACC